TATTGACAAATTCCATTAAGATTTCGTGCTCTGACTGTCCTCGACACTTTATGTAATTGTGCAGCCAACTTTTTTCGAATTGTTTGCAATGCCAATTATTTTTGGTTACCCTCTTCCGTTTGGCATTCGCGGAACGAGTCAGTTGTCCCGAGTTATTTTTACTGTTCTCGTGAGAACATGCATTTAAAGTGCATGCATTTAATGGTTATGACATAATGCAACGGCTTTTCATTCAGATATGCCAAGCCATATAAAAAGTGCTTTCATTTTTAATGGATATGGAAGGACAATAGAGGTAGGGTAATGGTACTTACTAAAAGCTGATGGCACTTATTACAATCATTCTACCATTTTGGCTTTGATGTACAATGAGAATGTTCCATTTACTTGAAATTGTATTAGCATCTAGTCAGTGGCAAAATACTGACAAAGTTTTAATCATCTTCATCTCAACTTTTTAATTCTCTACTTTCCAAATAAAACATGGACCACAAACCACAATTCATAGCAAAATCTAGTATTATATAAACTTTAAAACTCCTTCCCAGACAATTTTCTGAATCAATATTCATGCTTAAATAAATGAATGCTTATAAAACTTGTTCTATTCCCTATTCTTCCCTATTTATGGTAGAATACTTCAGATTGTTTGGTTTTCATGGTCGAATAACCTTTTACAAATCAAACTGAACTTATTTAAAATGAAATTACAAACAATACATTTTTTAAATTTCGTGTACAAGTATATAATATGAATCCTTATAGTTGCATTTGAATATATTGCTGGTCCTTTCCTTTCATATTATAATAATAACTAAATAAGTAATAAACATTGATATTGTCTAGGCTGTTACACTTTTCAAAAAATATCAAAAATTAAGTAATTGTTTTTCTGTTGAAATGGCAATTTAAGTACTGACTCTAAATATGATCAAAAGTGCCAGCAATGCGTATTAAACATTTATCTATGGGCCTATTTGATGTACGCCTTTGGATTACCAGGAAACTATAATTTTATCGTCATATATTGCCAGTCATTTTGCTATTTGTCAATAAAATATTCATATTGCGCATACGCCTAGTGTACAGGAGGATAGCGACGACAACACATGTCGGGTTGACAAGCAACACTTGAACAGCAATTGTTCAAGTTCCACGCACACACACAGTTCGATTTGCAATACAAGCCCTTTGGAATCCTTGCTCAAATTACAACGCCAGGACAACTGTGGCTGTTGTCAGCCAACGCATATACTTGTACACAGAGACATGCATACTATATACATATACTAGTATTATATCTGTGCAATATATATGTACTATATATGCGAGTACTGTGTTTACATTTGCAAATTATTGTGTGCTGGCAAAAAGCAAAACCCATTAGACTCGCTGCCTGGCTCGTAAAGCTCACGACGTGCAATAATCTGCACAATTGTAGTTTATGCCTTAATTTTTGTTTGCCAACGACGACAAAGACCGCAACGACAGGCACAAGGACAAGTGAGCAGAAGGAACAGGAGCTCCAGCTGGAACTGGAGCTAGTGCTGGAGCATAAGAAGAAGAAGAAGGCAATGGACGGGCATGTTTTATGACCACGTTTGTCCCTTTGTTGGCCCATTAAACTGACAGTGGCTGGCAGTGTCTTTTGTTCTGCTGGAGCGAGCCTTAATTACATTGGGCGACATCGTTTCAATCAGGCGCTCTATACATTCCTTCTGCTCGTCCTTTTCTCCCACCACCTTTCGTGTTCGTAAGTGCCTTTGACGTCTGCTGCATAAATGCAAGCCAAGTGGCAAGTGTCTTCGTCTTCGCCCTCATCTTTGCCATCGCCTTCGGTTGGCCAACTTATGACGTTCAGGCCATAACTCAATTACAGTGCATAACGTATTTGGGACTTGCTTTGACGCGCACGAGTCTCGCATAAAAACTTTGAAAAATGCTGAAGATGTGCGAGTATATTTTGTGTGCGGTTTTTATAGCGCCAAATAAGTTTTCCTTTCTAGCATGTGGAAATGACTATGTGGCTGGTTATTTACGTCTGTGAATTATAAAAAGTGTCAGCGGCCGACAACTTCAATAACTTTTAGCTGATCCCATTGGGGCAAGCAGTTTGTTGTTTTTGTTTTTTGCCAGCAACTTTAAAGTGTGTCCCAAAAGTGTCGCGGCCACGAGCAATCTAAAAGTCCATAAATTTAACCTTTTTGCATGTAAGCGGGACAACATCGGCCCCCAAAACTTATACCCCAGACGCTGACGGACCCGACTACAACATTTCGTAGGCATTAAAAGCAAAACTAAAAACTTTACAAAATGCTAAACTACTACTACAAATTTTTTAATGTGGATTTATCTAAGTTCAAGTCTAATAATGAAGTCGACATTTTTGTACACTTTTTCGACTAATAAATATTTAATTTCATTAATATACAAAAAATTGGCATTAAATTTGTGGCAATCTAATATTTGTTAACAATAAATATAAAGTGAACAGACAGTTTCTAATATATAACAAAAGCAGCGGGGAAAAAGCAATAATAAGTTAAAAGCATACTAACAACAACAAGGCTTGAATTTTATTTTTTTTTTTTAATTGTAATGAATTTTTTTTTTAACCAAAACTAATATTATATATTTTTTCGTTAATTTTCAGCTATCATTATTGATTTTATTATGAATATTGTCTTCTTATTATTAAAACTGTTTGTTTCAAAATACAAGACGTTCTTCAAAGAAAAACATTTTAATTTGGAGATAAGCTGATAGTTTAAGACGAAGCTGTTCGAGAGATGAATTTTCATACCAAGAAATTATAGGATTTCCAAAATGATTTATTTGTAGGAGGGGAAGATGGTGGAGTAATATGCGGAGTCGCAAAACACCCATTATTCAAAGAAGTTCGTCAAGTTTAAATTGATGAACGGAACGAAGAAATATTTACCATCAATAACATGTGGTTTTGAAAATTCGGAACTAACTATTTGTGAAGGTTTCTAGTAAATGAAAATCCTCTAGGATGAGTTTGATGTGATTACCACAGATAGCATAATAAAATATTCATGATCTCAGATTTTAATGTTTTTTTGCGAATTTCTTTGCCCCCCTTTCTTCGCAATCGAGAAATGTTTTCTCATTAATTTTCACAACGAACTGTTTCTCAAAATTAGAGCTGCTCATTATTTGCAAAGAGCATTACCAAGTTCACATAAATTGGAGCTGACACAAAAGGGATACCCACATATATTTCTGCAGCTTTATTTTATAGCTCCCTAGGCAGCTCTCCCCTCCAAAGACAAAAAGTGAAAAATAAAACAAGAAGACAAAGCCAGTGGCACGCATTAAGGGCCCCCAAAACAAAAGCTTGTAACTCCTTTTGTGCCAGCAGAAAAATAAAGTAAAATAAAATAGAGGCAGTAAATTATGTGAGCCCAATTTTTTGACTATAAAAGTTACCTCTGTCTTAGTTGGAAAGTGGTTTCATTTAATCCTTTTTGGTAAGAACTTTAAGCAAACAACTCCAAATGCTGCTTCAAATATTTGTAGGCCACACTTTAACACTTCTCGGAGCCGAAGTTGGCACACGCACAGACAGACGCCCACAAATACACAGATGCAGATACACAGATACAGATACACACATACACATATATAAAGTGGTTAACCTGTTAGTCGGCAACTTCACTTGCTGCCTGACTTCAATATCTCAAACACTTTGCACTCTCCGCGCCCCGCTGTCATTATCAACACACGCTGGCATATTAACACATTTCAACTTTTCCACATCGACTGCTGTTTATAGCGCTATAACTGCCATCTGAAGCAGGCTATATAGATGGAAGGGGGCGGACGTCCATTCACATTCACATTCGCACTGCTGTTCGTGGCCAAGCGCTTGGTGTTGTTGCCGCACGCACGTCTCGAAGCGAACTGAGCTGAACGCAACACGCAGTCCTTCGAAAGGACGACAACACGGCCACTTGCCGCATCCGCATTGGCTTTGCCATCAATTTTGGCTCCGAGCCGAAGGATGCTGCAACATGAAGTTTTGCGAGAGAGTGCAGAAAAGCGTTTGAGAGTAAAGGAAGAGCTTTCCCAATCCGTCTCTGTGTGCGTCTGTGGTGAATATACCATAAAATACACTGTGGAAAATGGAATGCCAACTGGAATAGCTTTTCGAAAAATCCTGTGTCGATTGTTATGTTTATTTTAAAAGAAAAGCTTGAATGTCATAGCAATTATTCGCATATTCTTTATTCCGAGTCCTTATTCGATATTATTGTAGTTTCGTTAGGTTTTTGATTAAATTTATTGTTTGGTTTGGTTTTTTTTTAGAAGCACGTGCCACAAATCCACTTTATTGACGTATATAAATTATTAGCTTATTAACAATGCAACTAATTTTGAAAAATCATTGCAATGTTTCTATGAAGATCGAATGAGGTGTAATGAGCCTAATTTAAATCATCAACCATCGTTTTCTCGCTAATTTCTGCTCATTTTCAATTGTTTGTCAGGGTTTCATTTGAAAATAAATTAAATTGTAAAACCGAACTCAGAAATGCCACAAAAAAGCACCTATTGGTAAAAAAAATACAAATTCAAAAAAGATGAGCGAAAAAAGAGCAGCTGATCTTTCCGACGTACTAGAGCCATAGAAAGGGAACAAAAATGGGAGACTCGGCTTCGGCAAACGCCCGAAAGGGCATCCACACTTAGAGCCATAGAAATAGAAACGGAACAAGAACGGGAGTCGCGGCAAACGCTAGTTGTTTTTAAAATTAAATCACACACCAAAAAACATAACTTATAGACTCATTGATGAAGAATGTATACACATTTTGAATTTTTTTTCAAACTGATTTTCAATAGAAACCCGAATATAATTTTTTATAATATTTTTACAATAACAAAGTTGGCCCTGAATTGAATTTCATCTGCTTGTCAGCTTTAGTCTAAATAATAATACAAAATAAGTTCAGTATTACACCAGACACACAACAGTTAACAACACATCGGAAAGATATTGTTTTGAAAAAAATAAACAATTTTAAAAATTAACACAACACAACTAACACAAACCAAAGAGATTGCTCATTGACTCTTGGTAAGTTTGCTGTCGAACAATATTTTTCGACTGATCTAATGTTCAACTTTTCCCAAAACAGAGTTGGCATTGACTCTTAACTCATCTATATGTGAGACATAGTCTAAGGACCTACACAATAATTTCAGTATTACACCAGACACGCAAGAGTTAACAACACAGAGGAAAAATATTTTCTTAGTAAACAATACACACTGGATTGCCACACTAGCATTTACAAAGAGTTTTCTCCACTATTAATGAGGTCCTAGCTCCACGACACATCATCACACTTTCATTGATCTATGGTAAGTATTCTGGCGAATAATATTTTTCGACTAAACTAATAATAAATGTTCTCAAAACAGAAATAACAGAGTTTGTTCCCCTTGACTCAACGCTTCTGAGATGTCTGTGTCCCACACAACGTTCACCACACATCGGAAAAATATTTTACAGAATAACTTGCTCAAGAATCTGCACACAATGGTAATAAAGTTCTAACCCCATATCTCATCGTAACATTCCATACCACCTATGGTAAGTATTCTGGCGAACAATATATTTTACGACTGAACTATTATTAAATTTTTCTCAAAACAGGAAATAACTTACCGCACACAACTTCACACAGATACGTCAGTAAAGGTTACGCCCTTTTCTGTAATTAGTTTGTAAGCTTAAAGTGTTCTAGTTTTAGTATTTTATATGACGATTTTTATTTTAATTCAATTCACCGGTGGTGGTGCTGGTCCTGGTATAAGCATGGCCTATTAACTCATCCGTATGTCAGACATAGTCTAAGGTCCTACAAAATAGTTTTAGTATTTCGCCAGACAAATGAATAACAACATAGTTGGCAGACACAACAGTTCACAACAGATTGGAAAAATATTTTACCGGATAGCTTGTGCAAGAAGCTGCATACACTGGTAATGAAGTTCTAACCTCATATCACATCGTAATACTTCCATTGACCTATGGTAAGTATGCTGGTGAACAATATTTTACGACTGAACTAATATGCAATTTTTCTGAAAACAGGAAATACATACAGAAAAGGTTTCGCCATTTTCTATAATTAGTTTCTAAGCTTAAAGTGTCCTAGTTTTAGTATATTTTTATATTTTTTGCAAAAACGCTGAAAACCCAAAAAAAAAAAGATGGAAAATTGTAGGAAGAAAACAATTCTCCGAGACGTTCTCCAAGGATGGAGCAGCCTTTTATTGCTGCTCTCCTGATTCTACACACTGGTTCTGATGACGCTACTGGATGAGGGCGAGGTTCAAAGAGCGCTCCTACCTCAACTTACTCTACTGGTTCTAATTCTACTGATTCTACCAATTCTACTGATTCTACCAATTCTACTGATTCTACCAATTCTACTGATTCTACCAATTCTACTGATTCTACCAATTCTACTGATTACTTGCTTAACAAATTAGAGGGCGAGAGGTGGCATAATACCTGGATGGTGGTGATCGAAGGAGATGCAAGGCAAGAGTATGCACCAATAATATCCCAATTCTATGACAATTCTTATTTTAATTCATTTCACCGGTGGTGCTGCTGGTAATACCATTACCTTTTTTTTCGTTTTCTTGAGTAACAAAGCATTAGTCTTTCTAATTGAATGCAGGGAGAAATTGAATTTTTTGCTAAGGTTATATTTCTCTGACGTATTAAGCGGGGCGATCGGCGCTGGCTGAAAAAACGGTTTGGACCCTTTGACGAACGTTGTGGCTGCGATTACGAAGACACGACAGGAGATGGCGGCTCCTTCGTAGTGTCGGCGCCTTCAAAACTTGGCAGTTGTATAAGCTCCTAATGTGAGTTATTAACAACAAATTGTTTTTAGTCGCAATTGTTTGTAATCCACTTTTTTTTATAGAAAAGACAGCGTTCGTCAATCAAAATTTGCAGTGTAAAATAAACAAAATAAAATGAATAAAAAAAATAATTAGTGGTTTTATTTATCATCATAGCAGCCAAACCAGAGTTTGTGGCCTAATGTTCATTTGAGATAAAAAGCAGATATTTGCAATAGAAAGTCTGAGTTTTATAATTCAATGACAGCAAAAATCAAGGAAAAAGATTGCTAAACTAAGCTTTAAAAAAATAATAATGAGTAATAAAAATGTTTAATCGTTAGAATAAAAGTAATCAAATGAAAATAACCGAATTATAAGTTCAATATAACTAAATATGTGATGACTAGTATAGTATGAGTATAAATAAAAATAATTTGATAAGCACATTCTAAAGAGTAGCTTTAGATTAATAATATCTGTTCTAGAACTTTTGGAGCTCAGCAGTCATCTGAACATGAAACAATGGGAGTCTGGTGATTTTTAATCAATGTAAATACTAGGCGCTCTATCAAGTTGAACTGCTTTTCACAATGCCAAATTTAAATTATGAACATCTTCTTTGTTTAGCAATATGCAAACGACATTTATCAATCAGCGATAATAATTCAAGTGTACGTACCTATAACAATTTTGCAATTATGCTAACAATGTTATTTATGCAGCAATATATCACAAATAGTAACACAGTAACAAGAAACTAATCAAGTTTTATCGTATTGGTCTAATGCATAGAAAATAGAAAACAGACCATGTAAATAGCGGTACAAGTTCTAATAAATTCAAGAACGCTTGCTCATCATATTCATCAACAACTTGGCAAGAAATTGAAATCAGTTGGCAAGACGGAAGCGGCCAACCTTTGACAGCATGTTTAACACATTCGCAATCAAAGTGCATGCCAAGCAATTCTGATTCGATTCTGTTAAACTTTAACATTCCCCGACATCTGACAATGTAAACAAACGCAACAAGGCAACAAGCGCATGTAATCAAAGCAGCAAAGCCGGCACACCGGCACACTGACACACTGATGCTCTCACACACGCCGCACTCTCACGCTTGCTCTCGCGATATGACGATCAGCCGAACAGTTGTCGCTTCGGCAAATTAAGACACGATCGTAGTAACTGGTACTGTCTGTTATCAGCGTCGGCAGGGGCAGTGGCGTCAGGCCATAACTGGGCTAAAATATTTCGCTATAGCGCGAGTTGTTGTCTTCAAAAGCGATTCAGTTACACCCAACTTCAGTTAGTTGCGATTTTAACATCGGCCCAAGCGCATGTGCGACGTTGACAAAACGGTAAAAAAAAAACAAAAACAAAATCAAACGCTCTAAAGCTGCGTCGGATGCGCCTGTGAACTGCTTGTTGCAACGCTTCAGTGACTGTCAAACTGTGCATGTTTAGGGAAAAGTACACATACTATATAAAAAACAGATATATCTTGATATCTTAGCGATTTATCTCTTGTTCAATGCAAGATCTCTGGTGCTTCAACCTCTAATCTCATTCTCTAATAAAATCGCACACGTTGTAGGTGTTAAGCAAATAAGCATGTGAACATTTTGATAGCATTTTACCTGAACTTGATAAGTAAACGTGTTTAAGAAACCCAGTCGAAATTTAGCTGTTCTTTGTTTTTAATAACACTCTATAAAGATTGCCGATTCTTTTACGCATATTGCCGATATAAACATAATATCAAAGTGATTTCGCCACAACATTCAAAATGTTTTGATCGAGGTTGTGTAATTTGTTGTGATTGATTGTTCGATAAAGATGTTTTGAACAATGTTTAATTTTTAAGTCAACTATTTAGCTGTTTATTTAAAAATTTAATTTACTGTTATAGATCTACTCAGACAAAGGTATTCCAGACCCGGGTGATTTTAATAACAAAATACAATATAGAGCTATAGTTATGGAATTGAATGTTGCATAAAATATAAGAAAACTAAATAAAAATAACTAAAAAAATAAATTAAAAAAACTAAATAATTATAAAGAATTAATAATCATGCAAGCTATGAAAAATTTCAGCTTAAAAATGTAAATTTAAAATATATTTTTAATTGTTACAAGCAATATTATCCGGCTCATAAAAATGCGAATAATTACTTCTTTAAAATAGAACTGGACTAACGACTTCAAATCAGAATATTTCTGAATTGAACTAATTTTAAAAGATTTTAAGGAATTATAGCTGCAGCTGAAAGTCTACAGATTGTTAATGCATAACAATAACAAATCTATCTATATCTATAATCATTCAGTAATATATCTATAAATTCATATTTTACACATTTCTTGACACAAATGAATGCCCCACCATTTTTTTCAGCTTTCCAATGGCTAATTCTAATTATGGTTCTAAGCAAAGGTATCATCAATCAAGAATTAATCAATCATCTTATTCCTCAATATTTTGTATGCATAGTTAATTAATTCATTGCTCATTTACATTCTTTTTTATGGTTCTATGACAAGTTTTTTTACTTAAAACTCCTCTTTGTTTCAATGCACAAATAATTAAAAATAGTCGAAAGGTATGTCTTCTTAAGCTCATCATCATGAATTGCTGGTTTCTAAATGTGTACGTCATTTGGCATTGACCTAGTCTCTTGAATTGTCTGTTCACATATAATTCTTTTAATCTGGTATCTTAGCTGCGACAACAATAACAACAACAACAAACACAACAACTAATTGCGCCATTAAAAGCAAGAGGCAAGCGGCAACCTTTTGCTGGCTGCCTGTCCAAAACCGACACCCGAGCCACTCAGGGCCAGCATTATAGCCAGGGTGTGCAATAAAAGAACAAACTATTTTGATAGTTAATGTCCAATGCGAGAAATCAAAGTTCAATTGCCCGATACAGAAACAGAAACATAAACAAATTCAGACACGCTACAAACCATAAAAATAACACAAATGCGCTTTTATTTTTTTATTTAATTAAAGCAACATTGAGTTGCCTGCATATTGGCACGTACTTAGCTGGACTTGGCTGGTTTAAGTCGTGACCCCCAACACACACACACACACACACACACACACACACAAAACAAAAAAAAACAGAACATACATATTTTGTTGAATATCTTGAGCTTTAAAGCAACGCTTAAATACAAAATTACAAGACTGGTTTCTGCCGAGTATTTTCTTCATTACCTCAACCACTGCTGACCAACTGCCCAAACCGGCTTGGGCCAGAACATATAAGCCAGTGCTATTTGGAGCTGGGATTCCCCAAAACTCTGATCCGTACATCATAACAACACATTACGCGTGCCGGGAAAAATCCCAAAAACTACATAATCAGATGCAACCATCACTTATTTAATCGGCTTAAGCTGACTTCAATTCACCGCTTCTTTCATTGTCGCTTCCTACCTCAACGAACTTGGCCATAAAGAGTGTTGAGTCGCGCAGACTAATTGCAGAGCTACGCATTGTTAAAGACAACAAAAACTGACCACTAAAAAAATAGTCAAAGAGCCAGTTAAAAAATGAAATGTGCGAGACGTGTATAAAAGTTAAAAAACTATAATTTTCAACACCGACTTATTTGTACTCTGACCAACTCCTATGATGATGCAAAGACATCGTTCGTTTTGAATCGAATATATACAATCCACATTAATAATAGTAGATCTACATACAAAATAATTGATATATTGCAAATCGATTTTTGGGAAAAGAAACACCAAAACTGTTTCCTTTTGACCGATCATTCAAATTGCAGCTTTTGATTTGCCAAAAAAAAATATATCTATATGAAATACATCTATAATTTTATCACATTACTATTATAACTGAAAAATGTAATGGCCAGAAATCGTAGACACAAATAATTTGCAACCAGTTAAACCATCGATTCAATGAAACAGTTTCCAACATGTTCATACATTTAAAATACCCTGGAGAAGTGTATGAAAAGGGAAAAAAGCTGAAGTAGCCTGTTACGCCATTTCTTATTGGTTTGAAACGCATAAAAGAAAACAAAATAACGTCAACATAAATAAAAAGCAAGACATGTGACTCGGAACTCATTTGGCATAACAACTAATCTTAAGATCCATAACTAACGATAGTTCAAATGAATTCCAATGAATTCATTAAAAATGCATGAAGAAAAAATAAACACTCATTTATTGTGATATTAGAGTTGCATTTTTCTTTAAAATTCATGCAAACAAATGAAATTATTTGGATGAGAGAAGGTTAATGAAAGTTTTCGTCCGTAGGTTCCCCAAATATTACATAATGCTCTCTGACATCGCAGTATCGTTGCAGCTTTTGAAGAGATTTAGAGATTGTTATTCAGCCATAACCCATAAAGATGTTTTGACAATGAATGCACTTTTGCATTAATTGTAATCTTAATCAATGATAATATACACAATGATAATGCTGATGATAATGATATTGATAATAGATACTAGATAAATTATTAACGAGTGGAAATCATCATCTTAATCATTAATTTAAGTGAGGCTTTGGAAAATGTTCAGGGTATCTGATGATATTGTTGGCATATACGGAGCATATCCCATGATAGCAGCTGCTACCCTAATAATCGGTTTTAAAGATTTTTAGAACACTTAATCGTTTTGCTTTCCAGCTCAGTTCTGAACAGGTTTAACTATAGTCTTCTAATAATAAATAATAAATTCAACCAGAAGATTAAACTGGTATATTAAAATAAAAAATAAAAGCAGCTTAACAGAAAGTATTTTTTTTGCAACAACATTGAAAAGTTAAGCTGTTGTTTATTCCTTTCAAAATCAGGAAAAATGTCTGTTCTACTTATTATTTAGCTGAGGTCAGAAAGATTTTACCTTATTCTAAAGCTGGGATGGTAGTTAAAATTGCCTGATAGTTTCGGGTAAGAATGTTAGCGCCGATCCTTCAGAGTAGTTTCGGAAACAGTCATCGTCTTGCATTTCAAATATTCGGACTGATTTCAAAATCTCTATATGAATTGGCATCCCACCCCCATCTTGATTAAATCGTTCCGAATGTCAGTATAAAGAGAGACCTTTGTTCTTACATGTCACCTTGAAGGTTCAACAAAATTTGATTTGAACTTCAAGTCGTGGATTTTACACATCCGGTTTCATGTCAAATTATGAAGACTTTAACTCAGATTATAATTTACCCAAAAATGTTGTTTGTGTTTATTTGTTCGTGCTCGTACACGCGCATTCAAGTAGAACCCCAAACATTCAAGTATACTTACACACATATAGCAAAACCAATAATTTAAGCAATCATATAATTATAAACAAACGAAAAAAGAACAGAGCACAAACTTTTCTCAATTTGGTTATAGAGTGGAGAGGTGTTAATTGGGAATTGCCCTAGAGTTATTTTTGTGGCATATTTTCGCAATAAATTTTCGTGGGATTTTTTCTTTCTGCTAGTCTAGTCTAAACACTTATATGGCTTACTCATGAGGTTAACAAAACGTGACGCTTTACGCAACGATATGAGATACATGAGTAAACCAATCGGCAGACAACTTCACAAATGCTCGTATAATTGAAATAATTGCATATCAAATTAATGAACAATTGAATGCCTTTAATTAAACGCTTAGTAAGTTGATGGGGAAAAAATCACACAAGACTTGTCTGCTCAGCACAATTCATCATCAAACAACTGTTTAAATATTGTCTAGGAATTTTTTGTTATATTTTTGAATGATTTTTTTATAATTACATACTGAAATGTGCTAGCTGTGTTTTCTTTTTGCCTTTCTGCATTTTTTCAAGACATTTATAAAGATATAGAGACATAATGAATGCTTATTTTGTAAATATATTTTAATATAATTAAGCTGATTACTTAGGAATTCAGAAAAGAGGCTGAAAAAGAATCAGCATTCATTTTTCTATTTAAATTATGAAATAAGAAGAAATGCTTTTAAAAATAACTTCTACAATATTGGATTTGACTTTTCAAACTCTAACCTTTTTTAAATGCAAAGTGCGAATGTTTTAAAGAATTGCAGAGTCAATTGCGACTCAATAGTAGATTTGCGTTGCTGGTCCAGACTAGCTCTGTTCCTGCCTTTCTTAATTTAATTATGAATAATATAATTAGGAAACATCTGAACATTTGTTGCCTATCGCGATTTAGCCTCTTTTCTCAATTTTCCGTCATTTCTACATGATTTATTAAAACGGAACTGACTGCCAAATGAACTTCGTTTTCATTCACTTACAACATTTTGGAAGCTCTAAAATTTGATTCAATTTACTTTTTTTCTGTATAAATTAAGCGTCACGTATCTGGGCACTTAATTCCTAATTAACGGAAGCACGTTAGACTCAGAGCATAAATCTTTAAGGCACTTAAAGTAAAGGACGAGCAAAAAGAAAAAAAATTGAAGTGGAGGCCAAAAACTGTTAGCGAACTTTTCCTATGAAAAATTCTATACGCAATTTTTTTATGTTTGCTCGCTTTCTGTTGGCTTTTCATAATTTATGCGCCATTTTCTTTATATGCAACGAGTGTATGTGTGTGTGTATGTAAGTGCTTTAGCGCCTTGGACTTTAATGCTGGACAATGTCCGCCATCGCATTTTATGTGCGCCCCGTGGCGTACGTGCGTGTATGTGTGAGCATCTGTGGGTTTGTGTTTGGCTGTGTGTGTGTGTGTGTTTGAGGAACAACGTGCTAATTAATTAAATTTGTACGTGCCTTTGCCCCCAAGATTGGTCGGACATCGAGCATAACGTGGCGTATGAGTGATATTAACAGGCAGTCATAAATCTAACTTAACTGAAAATACATAGACATAGGTTTTTGTTTTAGTCTACGTGCTAACTGTTCCAATGCCAGTTGGTTAAATGAATTGTTGTCTTCAAACATTTTTATACATCGCTGATGTAAAATGTAAATAGTTGTTAAAAGTAGATTCAAACACTTCCCTGCACAACCATAATAGACATTCTTTATGCGGATAAATATAATTATATAGTATAAATCTATCTATACAAAAATGTGTTCCATTTTATATAGAATCATTTAGTTTGGATTTCAATATTTTTTCAATTTACCGACACATTTACCTGCTCTTTTCAGCCAATAAGAATCAAAAATCAAGCATAAGCTTCCGCATGACAATTTAATCACACAAAATAAACAAACGCAACGCGATTTAAGCAAATAATAATAGGCCAAAGAAAAAAACCCCACTATCGATTTCCGCACACAACAAACAACAACAACCGTGAATTATTTTAACATAAACCATAATTATGCCAATATGAGCAGAAAAACAACAACAACAACAATAGCAACAGCAACAAATCAACAAAAACCACACCAATCTGTTAATAAGCACATCAGTCAAAGCATGCAGCACAACAGAAAACTAACAGCGGGTCGGCTGTTAGCCAACATAATGCTGTTATTATTGCAGCTACAGTTTTGGAGTCATGCCAATGGCCTCCAAACTGAAATCAAACCAGCAGGTGAGCTTACAAGCAAGAAAATTAATGAAAATTTGCAAATTTAATTATAAGCACTCATTAATTACGTGTGAAAACTGCAACTAACAATTAAAAGTTCGAACAGAAAAAAGGCAATTGCGCGCTGACCTCGTCCAATATACATATGTATGTATAGTGGGTAGTGGCTGCATTAGCATAAATGTACGAGTAGTACATACATATTATTATTATTGTTCAATATTTACACATCAGCAATTTGAATACTGTAAGTAATGGCTAAAACACAGCATGTGTTGTGATTTGTTTCTTCTTTTGCGTAAGCCCGTTGCAAAGCAAAGTACAGATAAATAAATGCTAAAAACAAGCGGCAATCATAATAATGGCAACAATAACGAAACAAGTGAATATGAGCGCAGAAAAGCAGTCAATAAATGTGGCGTTAATGGCCTTAACGAGCTGACAGGCAGACGACCCGCTCACAGCTGATGTAAAAATTGGCACACAAACGTACAATATTAATACATAAGTACAAGTACATTTACACATATGTAGTATGTATGTGTGTATTTTATTTGCCAAACAGCAGCTGCTGCAGATGTTGGGCTTTTAACAACAAAGACAAATGCTTGGGCCGTCACTTAAATACATTGAGGAGCACTTGGCTAGAGACAAGCTTCTCAATTGCAAACATGTTCATACTTATTTCTAAGATAAAACAAGTAAAAAAGCTAAAGTCGGGTGTCCCGACTTTGAAATACTCTGTACATATGTTTACAATAATTATAGAAAATAAAAAAAATTAAGAAAATAAAAAAAAAAATTTGATCGATTTTACCTCTCTCGGTATTCGAACTCACGTAAAGGGTGTATAATTGCACATTTACATAGCAATTGCGTCTGTGTGAGTGTATGTATGCCTATGCGCATTAATTCGTGTCTGTGTAAGCATTTTCGCAGTCAACCAAACAGCAACATCAACAACAGCCGCGGGCAGCGCTTGAGCAGCGCTGCAGCAGCGCTGCATCAGCAAATATATTTATGGCTATAACTTCTTGTTAAATCGGTCTATCATAATGAAATTTGGCATACGGACATATAATAACTAACTGGGGGTATTTCCAAAATTTTAGTTCGAAATTCCAAGAATTACGGGAGTTACGATTTGCGGGGTAGAGGGGGGAGGGAGGGGAATTCCAAAATATACATTTTCTGCGTATTCACATAAGGCATCTGGGACTAAAATTTGGTGTTCCTAGGTCTTATAGTCTCCGAGATATAGGCGATTATACGAATGGAAAATCGGGAAAACCCCCATAGGGGGGAAGTGGGGGGGAAAATCAAAAAAATAAAACAAACTCGTATAGAATACACACATAACGCATCTTCGTGCAAAATTTGGTGTCTCTATCTCTTATAGTCTCTGAGATCCAGGTGTTCATACGGACGGACAGACGGACAGACGGACAGACGGACAGACGGACAGACAGACAGACAGGGCTAGATCGACTCGTCTCGTCATGCTGATCAAGAATATATATACTTTGTGGGGTCTGCCACGCCTCCTTCTGCCTGTTACATTTTTCAGCTCCCGCAAACCTAATATACTCTTGTACATTTCATGTACAGAGTATAAATATCACCAAAGAATTATTCTTTTTTTTAGCAAAGTTAACCGAACTAAAGGTCATTGTGCCTTTCTCCAGATAGATATAGTTTTAAGAAATCGTAATGTACACACTAGTACTATATAAAAACATTTTCCGGTTAATGTCAGTTTAATTATGCTTTATATGCAAAGGGTTAGAGGATTGAAGGATAATGGAATAAGAAAACTTTGTATTTATATTCCCCTCTACCTAGGGCTGATGCGTCCCTCACGTATAGCTCATTTTGAATTTGAAATGCTGAAGCAGAAAAACACATACATACTTGTATTGCTGTATTATTTTCCATTGTTAAACCATTGTCCTATTCATATGAGTGGTGGTGTAGGCACAGCCTACAGGTCGGCCAGATAAGCTAATAACTCATTGTCATTGCACACGCGCTTCCACCAGCTGTTTGCCAAACTGGGTGTTAATTTTACATTCATACATAAAAGATGTGGCAAAGCAAACAGTTTTGCAAGCATTTCACATGGCACTTTCTCATAATTGAGACCTTGAGTGTAATTTTCTGTTTCTTGTTTTGGCAATTATTAGCAAATAAATAGCAGCATACAACTTGATGGCAAACAATTGCCCCTAAACTGAGTAGCGTCTTCAAATGCTGGTAATGCAAATCCAAATACAAGACCTTTTAACATCAACTACATATTTATTTATGATGATATTTATTGAACGATGATAAGCAATAATATAAAAATATATATTTGTATACATATTTTTATGATATGCAACTTAATGAGCCCAACTGTGTCTATTTACCTGCGTGTCTAATCAAACAAAACGTGATCAAAAACACGCGCAATATTTGCTTTCGCCTAATTAGACATTATTAAACATTTTATGGCCCTTTTTTATTGTACCAGCTTTGCGCGGCTTCCTCGGCTAATAGCCGGGCACTTGAACACACCCTAATTATATATTATAAATGTGTTCTACGTATGATAGCTACCCATATAAAATCAAAACGAATCCGTGTTCGATTTACACCTGTTGAGCGCAAGAGTTGAGAACACCTTTGTTGTTAGCCGGATCTGCATTCTTAATGTGAATTTAATTAACATTTTATGTGCACACCGGAGTCATGACAGTGCACTGATTTATATAGAATGGCAGGCCCAGACCTGCATGCACAAATGGGCCGCAACGGCATTTCCCCCCCTACGCGACATTCTCTGTGACGTCAACAGAACAAGCGGCTCAGTATGAACGAAGCTCGATTCAAAAGCAATCATGTGGGTTGTTCAGTTAATTGAAAATACCAGTACTTATACATTCAAGTTGAGGGTTAAAGCTTAGCTTACTTATGTACAGTAACTATTTAGAAAAAACGCGGAATTTGATATTATCGGTATCGGTATATGATATTATATACATTTCTCAGGACGAACTCGGTTATCGAAACTAAAGGAAAGCATGTTTTTGTTTAAAAACTTCGCTTGGGTGCAGACTTCCCATAAGTATTCAAATATTTGCAACATAATTTACATAATCACTTATTTATTAAATTTAATAATGAAATGCGAAACAAGAAATGGTTTCCTTATCCTTAAAATTAGTGCATTTTTAATTGAAGATTCCAATTTAAATACTTGTCCTTAATTTATTTATTACTAGCATGTCTTGTCCGTCTTTGCCAAGACCAAGTATACAATTTTTCTTGTAATCTTTTTGAGAGTATATAAACTAAGTTTGAAGTTAAATGATGAAAATTGTAGATTTTTTATACAAACGTTGCAGCTCGTTTTTCCCCACTTGGAGCTCGAATTTACCAAAACCCCTTCTTAGTGCTCACTTTAACTATGAAAGGAATCTTCCTAGCTTTTACCATTTGGGCTATGCGTTGATCGCCAATCAGTCAGTAAGTCAGGACAAATTTTATTTTCGAATATTGTGTCTATATTAATAAACTAATTATTTTTCAAAATACAGACGAAATTCATTTCTATAAACATAAATATCATTCTGTCTGTCTATCGTCAGTTATAAGCAAATTTAAGCGTCGCTTTTTTCGGCCAAATACAAGTAAATAAAACATTATTGAAGAATTTTTAAAATAGAAGCGCGTGACTTCTGCTGTCACCAAAAAGCAAGAAATAAACAACCGGTAGACCATTGAAGTTTTTAAATTGTGGTCACATGTTTGCTGCCTCTTTGCTGAATTTATGGAACAATGCTCGAATATTTGAATATGCTAATTGAGTAAATGTTTGCCAATAAAGATGCCCAAATTGCACTGTAAAATGAGAAACCCATTATTTAATTCAATACTGTTTCCTCTCTACCACAGACAACACAATTTGCTTCTATCAGGAGCACAATACGACATATCAGAAGGATTTGGGCGCAGTTTGGTTTGCCTCCAGTGATCCTTGCACGGTTTACAGCTGCGCTGCAGGTGTAGAAAAGGAACCGCTCGCCCACATTGTCGAGACAAAGGTGGACTGCAATGAGTTCTATTGCGAGGTGGTAAGTAATTGGGGCAATTCCCAAAAAATAAATGCCACATTCAACATTTTTTAAGCACCGTTCACATAATTACAAAAAAATTTAAAAAGTATACCAAGCCCTCAAAAAAATATCATAAAATATAAATAACTTAACTCTTAAAAATATTAAAAAGTGTAATAAAACAGAGCATTGGCCGAGATTGAGTTTTATGGTTATAACTGGTTTTGGAACTGTTTTGAATCGGGATGAATGAACAGTTAAATAAAAATCATAAAGTCAATGCGAGAAATAATCGAAACAAAGCAAACAAAAAAGAACGAACAGAGAACGTTTTTAAACTTTTGCGAACTCAAGTAAAAAAAATTACCTGTTTTGATTTTAAAAACTTCCCTATTTCGAAAATTAGTATTATTTAAATTAAATTAGTGGACATTGGATACTTCAAGATTAATCAAAGTCAAATATTGATCGTGGGAGATCGTTAAAGATGAAACAAATTCGAAAATTGAATTTATTCAAAAACATGCAATCTTCCTATGCTTGCAGGGATCGGAGCTGCGCAAACCGTCCGGCAGCTGTTGTGGAGAATGTGTCCGCACCCATTGCCAGCACAATGGCACGCTCTACGCTGTCGGCCAATCCTGGCACAATGAAGCTGACTGCACGCTGCTGGAGTGCGGTCGCTTGGAGGGGGGCGATATCATAATCAACACCTACAAGCGCGACTGTCCGCCCATGCCGGCCAATTGTCCGGCAGCGCGCATTGACAACTCCAAGTGTTGTCCCGTTTGTCTGGCTCTACCGATGCCAAGGGCTGGAGAATTCGACGACACGCCGGCGCAGGAAACTTGGACACCGGAGTATTATCGTCAGCATCCGTGCGTGCGCGATTGTCAATTGAATGCAGCACCCATGACTTGCCATTACACATTTGTCGTCGAATGGTACCAGACGCTGTCGAAGGCCTGTTTCGATTGCCCAAAGAATCTGACGGATTGTGAGCGACCGCACTGCGTTATCGGCGATGGCCTGACCCGCAGCATTACGGTGGTAAACCGCATGATGCCCGGACCGTCGATCGAGGTGTGCGAAGGAGATATTCTGGTCGTGGATGTGCAGAATAATTTGCTGGGCGAGAGCACCACAATGCATTGGCATGGACTGCACCAGCGCTGGTCACCCTACATGGATGGGGTTCCGCACATCACACAATGCCCGATTTCGCCCCATTCGAGCTTCCGCTACACCTTCCGGGCGGACAATGTGGGCACACACTTCTGGCACTCGCACACGGGCATGCAGCGCGGCGATGGCGTCTTTGGCGCCCTCATCATACGAAAACCGAAGGCGTCAGAGCCCCATGGCGGACTCTACGATTTCGACTTGTCCGAGCATGTGATGGTTGTACAAGACTGGATACATGAGCCGGGTGTCAGCATTTTTGCAAATCATCACCATTCGCTGGGCGACAACAAGCCACGCACCCTGCTCATCAATGGACGCGGTCGTTTCTACAATCGGATATGGGAAGAGGCGAAGCAGCAGCAGAGGAAACAGCAGCGCAGCAATGGCACTCCTTCACCCAAGACAGAGGTGGAAATAATACAACCCTTGGATGGCACAGAGCGCATTGGCCTCAAGCCCGATGCAGGGGCGACGCGTTCGGCGCGTCTGGCCAAAACGCAAGCCACACGGCTGCTGCCCGTGACTGGTAATGGCACTTTGCCACACTCGCGTCAACGTCGCGGCAACCTGGATGAAGTGCCGCTGGCTGAGATCCCCCTGCAGGTGTATCAGGTGCGTCGTGGCTTTCGCTATCGCTTCCGCATCATCAATGCCGAGTTTCTCAACTGTCCCATTGTGGTGTCGATAGACAATCATCCAATAACTGCCATCAACTCGGATGGATATGATTTCGAGCCGGTTGAGGTGGGCTCTATAGTTACCTATGCCGGAGAACGCTTCGATTTCGTGCTTAATGCAAATCAAGTCGTGGGCAACTATTGGGTGCGACTCAAGGGCTTGATGGACTGCAGCGAGCTATTTACCTCCGCCTTCCAAGTGGCCATCTTACGGTACGAAGGCGCTCCGGCGGAGGAGCCCACCGCCGAACTGAGCTATGGCCACAAAGCCGAAGGCATTGAGCTAAATGTTATGAATCGAGGGCCTGGCTATCCAGACAGTCTAACCATAGCCGAGCTCCGAGCTCTGCCCATGTACGACAGAGTCTCTGGCATCGATCATGATGCCCTGGTGCCTGAAGCAGACTACAAATTCTTTGTCTACTATGATTTCTATGCCAAGGACAATCCCGAATTCCATCCCAGCGAATATTACGGCATCGACGCGAACATGACACAACAGAATCGCCTCTATACACCGCAACTAAATCACATCTCATTGAAGTTCCCCTCCCTGGCGTTGCTGCCAGCACGCAACAGCGTGGACGATGCACTCTTCTGCAATGAGACGAGCCTGGCGGCTCAGGGCGTCGATTGTCGAAAGCAGTTCTGCAAGTGCCATCATGTCCTGCAGGTGCCGCTTAACGCCATTGTCGAGTTCATCATTGTGGACGAGGGTTTCACCTTCTATGCCAATCATCCATTCCATTTGCATGGCAATGCGTTCCGAGTTGTGGGACTGGAACGCTTAGGCGAGAATGTAACCATTGAAATGGTAAGTCCAAATTATCAGACTGACCAACAAAAAATTCACATGAGTCATGGGAAAACTGAAATACCTAGTTCATGCATTTCTTATATCTTTCTATATCTTTATGGAACTTTGAATTCTCCTTTGTAACCCCATTTATCGCGTTTTGTTCACACAGATCAAACAACTGGATCAATTCAATCTCCTAAAACGTAATCTGGTACATCCGCCTGTTAAGGACACTGTGACTGTGCCCGATGGCGGCTACACTATTATACGTTTCGAGGCCTACAATCCCGGCTTTTGGCTCTTCCATTGCCACATCGAGTTCCATGCAGAAATCGGCATGGCCTTGGTGCTTAAGGTCGGCAGCAACGATGAAATGGCTCCAGTGCCCCGCAACTTTCCCACCTGTGGTGACTACGCACCCGATTCGCGAGAAGAAAGCGGTGAGGTTGAGACAACAACTGGCAACAATCCCACCAGCGCTCCTCCAGGACCAGGCGCTGCAGTTTCTTGGACAAATGGTAGTACGAGCCTGCTCTTTGGACTATTGGCACTGTTATGGAACCTGGGCTGAGCCTGGAAGAGCTTTGAAGGGGCTGTGCGAGTAGCGTAAACAAAAATATCTGTGATTGTCTAATATTTTTAATAGTCTTTAAGAAATTAAAGTGTCCAAGTAGCGTATTTGTAAATAAATTTAACTAATATTTTATTTAAGATGCTCATTAATTCTCTCATCTAATCCAATCCTTTCCAATTTCCATCTTTTAATAGGACATCCATCTACATAGATCTTTCTCAAGAGAGTTCAGGGCACACTTCTGATCCAATTTCTTATATGAATGTCTTAGTAGGCACTACAATAGTCGTCTTATTAGTTGCTTACATCTATCAGAACCAATCAGGGTCACACACTAAAATACGAACTAGATTTCATTCAAAATAAATATTAAGATTATTTATAATCCTGATTCAATCATGGCCAAAGCCGACAAAAACCGTTGCCAGAAAGTGCGTTGCATGGTGTGTAAGAAGGTCGTGGGAAGATTTATTCTCAACCATCGCACTCCTTTGAAGAATTTTAAAAAAGGAAAAGGCCAATTGTACGCAAGGATTGCGAGTGGTGTAATGAACCTTATATGTGGAAGATCATCCGTAGGGTTCTACGGACCGTCCCGTGTGAAGCAGTCCCGCATCAAACTCCCAAATTCAAACCCAACTTATGAAAAACATTCTCGAGTCCCAGTGTGCTCGCACACTTCCCATAAATGCAAGGCCCACAAAAAAACAAGGTCTAAGGTTCGTCGCCAAAATTCAAAACCCTCGAATGGAGTCCCCAGCCGCACTTCAAGCAGGAAGATTGCCAAAAAGTCCACAAATGAAGTCCAGCGCGAGCCATCAACTGCCAGGCAGCGTGAAATGCAAGAGCAGAAATCGAAAGCCCCGTACAAACCCGGAGAGGAGGACTTTCGGATTGCGGCTGAAATTCAACGCTATCGTCAAAACCGCCTCAATGAGCTCAATCTTAGCGAGAGCGAGCTTCTAATCGAGGATGAAAACCTATGCGTGCCAGCCTACAAAATGGTAGTATTTAAGCAAATGCAGCGTCTAGGTCGGCGTCCGAATCCGGAATTCGAACGGCAGGCGATGCAGGCGCATCCCGGCAAGGTCATGCAAACACAAAGTTCCCTTGTACCCGATGATGTGAAGTCTAGTGAATCAGCACCAGCTACAACATCGACTGGACCAAACGAACAGGCACCGATAAGCCAAGGCTCTAAGCAAAATGCCCAAGTAGCGGACTTAGGACCGTTTCACAATTTGCCTATGCCGGAGGGTGAACCCAATTGTTTCGCTTCGGAAACAAACAGTACATGTAATTTTTATTTTGGAGATGATATCGGTGGATCGTATTAATTTATTTAGGCTCGATCTATGAAGTAGTCTATAGATAAGTCCCCCAAGTTTCCCAAGTTCCCCATTAATTGAATGAATTTAAAGGTATAAAATTATGAGTGATTAATTCTAAGGGGGACAAGATTTTTGGAAATATTCAGCAAGTCCGCCTTATTCTGATATCCATAATCAAAAAATCAGTTTATGAATGAAACATCTGCCATGCCTTGCAAGTTATATATACTTGTATATATGTAAGATGTTGTAATTTAATTGTAAACAAAAGTGTCACTGAGTACGGGGATATAATTAAAAATAATAGACAATAAAGAATGCATTTTTAGGTATTACTTAACATAATATGATATCTCTTTAATAGTGAACGCCATTCATAAGATTCTACCAACCGAGGAATGATTTTGAAAGAAATCAAAACATTTTTCGGCTGATTCGAAATATAAATACCTAAACAATCACTTGATAGCTATTTTGAAAACATTTTATAAATTCAATACATATTTTAAATCTGGAAGCTAGTTCATTTATTTAACATACTTCGTTTTTCCATTAATCGGTGATCAGACGAGAATGACGAGACGTTGGCGAATGCCAAGCGTTGAAAACTATATCTTATATAAAGATTTCTGTACCATTAAATTGGAACCAAATATATCATTGAGACATACTGGTTTCTGTTCACAAATTTCTACCATTTCATTCCACAGGTACCTCCTCTTTTTGCATTTCTTTTCAAATCTACTTAAAAATTATTTTATAATTTCTTTTCAAGCGTTGAAAACTGAATTTTACATGAATCTGTGCAATGTACTTACATGTGTCCTTTTGTCCTTTCTTGGTCTAACTTAACGACTACATTCAAGGTTAGGAAATTGAATACCCAATGAAAAACGGAGTCCTTCAAGCTTGATATGGTATTTTAAAAGGAACTCCAAGGTATGATTTTGACACTTGAGAAGTGGAAATAGATTGTGGGGTCCGATGAGATGATGAAAGCCTCGCTCATTTCTCAGAAGGCCTCCAAATTTCGAATATTGTCCAAAACAATTAAACATGAAGGTTCGAACATAATGGAATGAATGTGTTTTGTCCTATAATGAAGTGGAATCCGTTGCTAGGGATCTTGCAGCAGGATAATGATCAGGAATATAGTGGTCTGTTTTCACTCCAGACCTGCAATAGTTGAATTTTTCTTTCAATTTATTTAGAAAATACATTTTCAGTGTGACAATTGCACAATTTGTTTGTTTTAAATCACCAAAAATACACAATATATGCATACTAAAAAATTAAATTAATTGCATATAGACAAAAATTATTCACTATTACTTTTTTACACAGTTTACTTTCTCGCTCATTTGAGTTAGCTCAACAATCATTTAAGGCATATGGTGTGTATAAAGGGCAACATTTCAATTCATTTACACTACATCTACATATTCTTAATTGTGGTTGTAGTTGTAGTTGTTGTTTGTTGAACCGCGGCAAACGTTCCCAAACCGAGAATTTTACTTTATAGCTTAATTAATATTAACATACAGACAATGTGCTACTACATGCATATGGAAAATATGTATATACGCACAGTGATATGAAAATTTAGAAAAATGTGCTTATTACATGTGTCCGGAGCTTGTTTCCCGACTGAGAAATGTGCGTGATTAGCTCCAGACATCGGCAGAATAGCGTTTTTGTGCCTCCATCCTCTTCAAATATTGCACAGCATCCGCCTCGCTCATGTTACCCTTGCTTGACAGAATTTTCACTAGAATGTTTCTAACGTCCACAGCCATGTTCTTTGCGTCACTGCATATCGAAAAATATATAGAGATTAAAAGAGATAAACAAAGATTTAACAAATAACTTTAAATGCCGTTTACAAATTTTATCAAAGGAGCAATACTAAATATTTATTTTTAAACTAATTTTAGTGGCATTTCAAAGCATGATTATTACTCACCCGCATATGTAAAAGTGACCTTTGTTCTCGCCAATGACATTCCATATGAGGTCTGCATCTTGTTCAAGCAAATGCTGAACATACACCTTTTTCTCTTGATCTCGCGAGAATGCTGTTTTTAGCGTTAGTGTGCCCTTCTTTTCCCACTCCTCCAGCTCGGCTTCATAAATGTAATCCTCGCTGCGCTTGCGGCAGCCAAAATAGAGCACAGACTCGCCCACTGTTTTGCCCTCATCGCGCAGGAACTGACGCTCCTGTAAGAAGCCACGGAATGGCGCCAGTCCAGTACCGGGTCCAACCATAATAATGGGCGTTTCCGGTTTTGTGGGCAGTCTAAACTGCGACTTGCGTATAAAGACTGGCACCTTGACCTCCTCCCCACCGTCCTGCGGCTGCTTATTTTTCAGGTATGTGGTGGCCACACCTTTGTTCACGCGTCCCGTGGGCGTCTTATACTCTACCAGCACCGCTGTAACATGCACATCGGTCGGATGTAGCTTGGCCGACGACGAGATGGAATAGTAACGCGGCTGAAGGCGAGGCAGCAATTCGCACACGTGGTCAATGGGCGGTCGACACGTTTTAATGTCCTCCAGTATGTGCACAATATTGCGACAGGCGTCTTGTATCCAGCTCTGGTACTTCTCCTTGCCCTCGGGCGTTATGGATGCCATGCTACGCAACAGTTGCTTATCTGCCTCATCCGAGCAGTATTCGGCCAACTCTTTAAGAATGTGCGTACGCGGTATGGCAGTGATCTCCAGATAGTGCGTCAGAGCGGTGCGATAGGTGGTGGGGCAGGGGAATGGATGCTTTTTGCTGCTATCCGTATCAGTATTGATCAATGAGAAGACCGTATCCAAATCGGCATTACATAATTGACCCAATTTCTCCACCAGCGACTTGTCATTGATGGGATACATGGCCACATGATCGCCGGCATCGTAACGCATTTTCGAACCATCGATATTCAGTTCGATGTGCATGCACGAACGGCCGCCGCCCTTATGCAGTTCCCGATTGACTCGAATGGGCGCCAAGAAGGGATTTTTGGCATCGAAGGGTGGTCGCTGATTTTGCATTGAATGCAGACGCGCGATCTCGCCAGTGTATATGCGGTCTGGCAGCACATCGGGCTGCTCCAGCAGACGATATTGCCTGATGAGCACCTCCTCACCACCACCCTCAATGCCAAAGAAGTCACAGACGGCGGGCCAGAAGCGATCCTTCCACGTAATGAAGTCATCTTCAATGCTGTGGATTCAAATTAAATTTCCATTAGTTCCAATTTATTTTATAAAAATAAAAAACGGTTCTATTTGAAAACTATTATATTAAAAATTGAAAACAATTTTTATTTGATTAAAGATATCCTTCAAAAAATCAAATTTTACAGATTAAAACTTTTTGGTGACTATTGTATTAATACTCGTATTATAGTGGATACAATTTAGAACTTATTATTGAAAAAGCTTATTATTCAGCAGAACAAAAAACAAAAGCGCTAAAAGCATAATTAATTCTTCTGTGGATCTTTAAAATACTACATCTGTATGAAACTGAATTAATATTATACATTATAGCCTCTGTTCCTAAATAATGAATGAAGTTAACTAAAAAAAAAAGGAGTACATGCATACTTACTTCGCATCATCATCGCCTAGTCCGAGTTCGAATACTCTAGTGGCGCCCAATTCCTCCAGCCGTTTGTCCACATGGATGGCTACCTTATTGTAGTGCTCATAGGTTTTATTGCCCAGACCGAATACCTATAAAGTTTAGGAGAAATCAACAAATTAATAACTGCGCATATCAACAGGTGTGTCTTCCTATATTATCATAGATATACATATGTATGTATGTACATGTGTGTGGAAGGCTGTAATTACCCTGCGCTGTGCTCTTCTAAATATGCGCTTTGGTTTATTACATAAATCATTAAATAGCAGTGCGAGCAAAGTGCGGCATTGACGGCGCGTGCCGAGGCTGAGGGCGGCATTGAAGCCGAGCGTATTTAACATGCTGCTGCGGCTGTTACGTCAGCCGAAGACATTAACGCCGATACACCTCTCTGTGTTTTAATTCAATAAACGTTTCCACTAGACATATTCACGTTAAGCTATTATAATTAATATTCGTCATTTTTTTTAATAAACAAATCGCACATTTTACGCAACCAAAACACTTTGCAGGGCGGCGTGTGCACGTTTTGACAATTTATGGTGGAACGCTCAGCTGTTGATAAGGCGTCTATTGTGAATGGCGCATGGCGCAAGCATTTTTAAGCTTTCGAGCACATGTGCACGGTGGGCACAATTCAAGCAAAATCATTTCAGAAAAGCTTATGAGAAATTGTCAAATATTTTAATATTTAAATTACTGGCACGAATGTATAATTATCTGAGCTTATCTGAGCAGTATCCGTGGCTATATAATATATTTGTAATCTGAACAGACGTTTATACAATATTATTTTAGCATTTCCATTTAAATCACCAATTTAAGCGCTTTTTGCTATAAAATAAAGGTTCAATTTATTTTCTTTATTATATTTATTTAAATATTTCCTATTCCAAACGAATTTAAAACTTTATGAACTTTTTTAAAGCATACCATTGACTACTTTTTTAATGTAATTTAAATGTACGAGTGGTATTTAATAATAAAATGAACAAAGTAGAAACGTAATACAAATATAAGGATATTATTGTAATAACGTTTGATTTTAAATACTTTCTGAAATTTCAAGAGAAAAGCTTGATTTTGTGCCTGATTAGCTTATTACTGCGCTCTGTATACTACGTCAGCGAGTCGAATTCGATTCATGGATGAGCTCAGCATTTTCTTTATGTAAATACAGTACCATGTTAGGTCAATTTTTAATTATATACAATTGTATAAATATTTATATATACAATTCACGTATTTTTTATTTGGCACGCAAAAAGGCATGGGATATAAGCGAAAATAAATCCATGCGGTTATTGTAAAAATATTTTTAAATGCATATTGCCAAGCTGGCAACCTTTTTTAAATATCTAAATCTTTGTAGAAGATATTATCAGCCCTGATAAGCACAAATAACAATTGTATGAAATACACAATTGCCGCTTATTATTTGATAGAAGGAACGTTATCATTAGGGCCACTGCTCGATAAGCGTGAATGCCGGCAGTTTTGAAGGCCAATAGATAGGCCAACAAACCACCAAAACATGTAATCGCTTTTATGATAACGGAGTACTATTAGTTAGAGGTACTGGCTACTTACCGCATAGTTAAGGCCAGTTAGATCGACATCGCCATTGTTGATCCACTCATAGAATTCCATGGCATTATCTGTGGGATCACCCTCACCATAGGTGGCCAAACAGAAGACGGCCAATGAGTTGGAGATGTCTTTCAATTGCAGCAATTCCTCCATATCGCATTCCTCAGGATCGGCAACCATGCCCTTCAGGCGATAGCGTATACCCTCTTTGGCCAGACGACCGGCAAATTCCTCGCCGGTGCCCGTCTGTGAGCCGTAAAAGACGACCAGACTACGACCCGAAGTTTTCAGTTTCTTGATAAATGAATTCTCAACAGCGCTGCTGGTGCTCACTGTAGTAGGTCTGTATGGAATCAAAGTTAATTAGTTAGCATAAATCCACATGGATAGTGCATTATACTATATTAAATTAATTTACGTTCAGACAGGCAAATAATCTGTACACAAGTATGTATACAATTAAGTATGTGTGTCAGAAATCGGCAAATACCAACAATTTTATGCAAAAGGCAGGTTTTTAACGAAATTTGAATTTGTGTGCAAATTATTTGTCTGTCTGACCATAACTCTGCCCAATTGCAAGCTATCTGAAGCTAATTCATGCATTTCAAATGATAAACACTCTATATAATTATATTAACACTCTTTTCGTAACAGTCTGATATGATAAAAAGATTGATTGACTGTTTTACAAAGTTCATCACCATTTAACAATCTTCAGCAGACAATCAACATCAATCGAATCAGCGTTAGTTGAACTCTAAATTCGAATTTTATTCACAAGCCGGGTCTTTGAACTATTCATGTATGTATGCAGTTCGAAGTAATACTCACTGTATGGAATAGCTTCGGATGGGCTCCTCTTCCTTCTTGCGACTGCGCAGAAAATACCAGGCAGCACCTGCTATAAGTACCGCCAATAGAGCCACATCGAGCAGGCCCAGAAAGGGCTCATCACCTGTGGCTTCTATGGGTTTCTCACTGGCCATACTGATGAGGAGGATGACGTTGATGCAGACTGGACTTGGTTACTGTGAATATATTTATAAACATAGACAGATATAAATAATAGCTATACTAGATATGTATGTGTGTACTATTTATATGTAGATATGTACAAGTATGTGTGTAAGAGAGTTTGCAGTTTGCCGCATTTTCATCGCAAAATTTGCATACACTATACAAAAAGACGAAAACTTTTTCCATTTGCATAGGGCGCACTTTGAAACGCGTACCCACATCGATAGAGCTCTGTATATATGTATGTACATATGTATGTATATATGTACATAGGTGGTAGGTGTATGTGTAAGTGTGTATGTAGGTATACATATATGTATGTATATACGACAGCGATACGCACTTAATGTATGCCACGTAAGCACAAATTGTATGCGACAGAGTCTCTCTCAGAGCCGCCAATTTTTACTATAGTAGTGCCTGTAACGGTCCGCACTTCCGCACTTGCTCTAACTGTAAACTGATGCAGCTCTCAGAATCTCTCTCTCTCTCGCTCTCTCTCTTTCTCTCCCACTCTTTCTCGCTTGATCAGCGTCAGGTTTCCCCATCTTGACATTGAAATTTGAAAAACTATAAACAAGCTCGCCTTGCCAATTCGTTAACTGTAATATCAACTATAATTTGCCGTTATGTAATTCAAAACAATTTCAACTAATATGATGTATGTATTTGATGTGTAATTGCAGGCTTGCACAACTCGCGACGCGACAGCTCCGGTCTTGGTCTAACACTAAACGGCTGGCGCGGTGCAAACACGATTTTATTGTCTGGCTATATATTTGCACACGAAGCTTATCAACAATACAATACCCACACACATACACATTTACAAACAAGCACTCACACAATCACACGCTTGTTAAAATCTATTTCATATTTTGTATGTACAATAGTGTAATGGAAATGATGAAAATGTCGAGGCGGGTGCGAAAAAAGAAGAAGAATTATAGTATTGCGTGAGATTATAGAAACCCCCATCAATGAAGAAAGTGCTACAGAGAATAGTATACAAATAGTATACAAATACACATTATATATTTGATAAATATTCGAGTTTTCTGAAATTAACAAATTTAAGATAAACTTTTCACTATCCCTTTCACCATCATTGTTTTGAAATGTTAATATTAGCAGCATGCTTTTACAATAACTAATTCGAATAGTTTTTAAAGATATTTGAAAAATAGAACAATGTGGAAGAACTTTTTATCTGAGCTTTATTGAATACGAGTCTTATTAGGCACCACTTTTCTTGAAAATAGTTTCAAAATAGTTCACGACCAATAACCTAAGCCGACAGACATATAGTATGTATATATGTACTTATTATCAGAAGGATCATGACATTAAATACTTTAGATACTAATTAGAATTACTAATAATATACCAAAAGCATTTGCAAAAAAGTGTCAATTAATCATATGACGAAATACTTGTATTTGTAATATAAATTTTAAAACAACTTTCCGTAGCTAATATTTGTTTCAAGATAAGAGAAATTAGTCATTTTTCTAGTGTAACAATACAAACTTTTTATTATAAATATTCCAAATTTAAATGAAGAACCAATCTATTTAAAAACCTAGTTGCCATTTTCGACTTCTAAAACAAAGGGAAGAGCTAACTTAAAATGATATAGTATATATATATTTGATGGAAAATACATTTGAGCCAATATTTAAGAATGGAATTCTTAGTAATTATCATTGAATTATCATTGAATATTGATTTATCGAATTATAAATTTACAATTTACAATTTTTTGCTACAGTAGAGAATCAATCGGTATTAAAAAGGTACTTTCAATTTCATCAAAATCTTCTTAACTACTTTAACCAATAGTGATAAATGGCTGCGAACTTATTTATACCTTTTGTGTTCGTGGACTAAACAACAAATTACATCATTAACTGTAAGCGTTTGTAGCTACCGGGCAATTATACATAGTTGCTGACGTTTTCTAATGAATGCAAATTACAAATCAACGCCAGGTAGCCTTGCAAGTTTACGACTCGTCTGTACTCTTTCCTATTTGGTGTCTACGTGTTTCCTATACACAGCCACTATACTATACCAGTAATTTAGCATAGGAATTGTCAGTGCGATAGTTCTAAGAGTGGAGCGCGTGTTGTTGTTGTTGCTGTTGTTGCTGTGGTCAACAAATGGCAAAAAATAAATATTAAACATTAGCCAGCGACGGACGCGTATGCAAATTACCGCCGTCAATGCGAACACATTAGGAAAGGTGCGCTATGGTCACAAAAAACGAAAACGAAACACACACAAAAAATGAATAGCAAAAGAAATCGCCCAAAGCATTGCGAATTAGACAGACACACGAGGTGGGCTTGAAAAACTGAACACAAATGTGGAGGACAAGTGGCGAACCGAATGTATTGTCGCACTTTGTAGGTCAAAATTGGCAAAGTGTGACGCTCGAAAGATTTTGGAGGAACTGGACATGTGATGTGTTCCAGCCAGAAAGATGGTTTCTATTATTTATTGAGGTGGTGGGAAAGCTTATGCTTTTTTGGAGCTGTATATCGTATGACTTGGATGGAATGGACAAACATTTAAATAATTTCTCGTAGTAATGGATCAATCGATATCTAAATATATTATATAATATTGTTCCTTTTTCTTCCTTTTCTTTGTTGCATTTCTTTGTTGATAACTGATATCCTGCTGGCTGATGAGCTACTCATTATTAACTGCTAATTTAATTTGTTAATAAAATAACAGAAGAATGTCTTCTTTGTTCGTGCACTAATTATTATATTATTATTAATAACTGACACCACATACAATTACCCTTAGTGGAGTTCCCTCAATTGAGTAACTAAAAAAAACTCAATGTCAAACTATAGCTCGCCAACTCACGTTTCTCTTTCCTCCACGGTCGCCGTATCGACAGACCACACAAAAATTGCTGGCAATCGGTCAAATTATACATATACATATTAAATTTAAATAAATGCGGTTTTTCACAATACGGTTCATTGACAAAATGAGGGACAGCATTATGGTACAGACGGCTTAAGGGCAAGAGATGATGGAAATGTAGTACTTGACGGTTCATCCAGAAATAAGTCAAATTTTTGGTATATGGTTCTGAAGCGACTTCAATTCATCCCATCACAGATATCAGGGGTTGACAGACGAAACTAGCTTAAGTCTTTAAGCCAAATATTACAGATTAATACTATTTAAACATTTTGAAACTGTCGCTTTCGCACAAACTAGGTCGGCTTTACAGAATACTCATATTGGTGAAAATTAAGGTTTTCTAGATATTTTAGGAATTTAGTTTAAGACTTATTGTATAGTTGAAGCAACTTGCTTCCCTTTTATCGCGCAAATTGAATCTATTCGTGTGTTTTAAAGCGCGTTTACAATTTATCAGACCGTAAAGGTTTATTTATATATGTATATACTTACATAAGTATGTATATCTGGTGATTGGCGTGTGTTTTATGAGCAACTTTGCCACCCAATGTGAAAGTATGATTGGCCTTTCTGGCAGTGCGGGTTAATGAGTGAGAATCCCTTTAACCAGGCAGTCAGTTAACCAAACATTGAGAGCAAACAAACAACTGTGTTTTTTCTAGTTTAACGCCACCTCCAAAGGGCAAAACTCCTCCAAAAGATTACTGATAATTCCCTCAAATTTCGCGTCTGTTTACACTTTCGCAGCTGTTCACAAATAGATTTAAAAATTTGTTGCGCTTCCGCACCCACTAATAGTTTAATCCCCGATTAGAAATTATAATTTCCATGTTGTCTAGGGCAAAAAAAGAGCTTATCGTTACAACTTGGCGTCATTTTGCACGCGCACGATGATTTGACGATTCCCGCCCCGGCGATGCGATCCAGATGTACCGGAGGTATACGAAGCTTAACGCTCGACAACCGCAGACTATAGTTGGAACTGCCATTGAACTATGCACGGGAATGTTTATATGTATGTATGTGTGTGTGAACGCTCTTTATGCTCATAGTAAGCATGAATAGGCGAGTTTTTTGTTTCTTATCTCTATGGCGTCTTTGGAAGCGTAAGCCCGTTTAATAATATTTACAGACATGCCTTTATAAAAATGTACATATATATATACTATACGTATATATATACAGTTGCACAGAGATTGAAATCTGTTCGATGTTTGTCAATAAATTTTTATACTCTGTACATGAAATGTACAAGAGTATATTAGGTTTGCGGGAGCTGAAAAATGTAACAGGCAGAAGGAGGCGTGGCAGACCCCACAAAGTATATATATTCTTGATCAGCATGACGAGACGAGTCGATCTAGCCCTGTCTGTCTGTCTGTCCGTCTGTCCGTCTGTCAGTCTGTCCGTCTGTCAGTCTGTCCGTCTGTCCGTCTGTCCGTCCGTATGAACACCTGGATCTCAGAGACTATAAGAGATAGAGACACCAAATTTTGCACAAAGATGCGTTATGTGTGTATTCTATACGAGTTTGTTTTATTTTTTTGATTTTCCCCCCCACTTCCCCCCTATGGGGGTTTTCCCGATTTTCCATTCGTATAATCGCCTATATCTCGGAGACTATAAGACCTAGGAACACCAAATTTTAGTCCCAGATGCCTTATGTGAATACGCAGAAAATATATATTTTGGAATTTCCCTCCCTCCCCTCTCTACCCCGCAAATCGTAACTCCCGTAATTCTTGGAATTTCGAACTAAAATTTTGTAAATACCCCCAGTTGGTTATTATATGTCCGTATACCAAGTTTCACTATGATAGACCGATTTAACGAGAAGTTATAGCCATAAATATATTTGCTGCTGCAGCGCTGCTCAAGCGCTGCCCGCGGCTGTTGTTGATGTTGCTGTTTGGTTGACTGCGAAAATGCTTACACAGACACGAATAGATGCGCATAGGCATACATACACTCACACAGACGCAATTGCTATGTAAATGTGCAATTATAAACCCTTTACGTGAGTTCGAATACCGAGAGAGGTAATATCGATCAAAATTTTTTTTTATTTTCATAATTTTTTTTTTTCTATAATTATTGTAAACATATGTACAGAGTATTTCAAAGTCGGGACACCCGACTTTAGCTTTTTTACTTGTTTGACATAAGCATGTTTAGGCTTTGAATAATTACGCGATTTCTGCTGATCTTGGAAAGTACTGCGTGTCTACAAAGCGCTTGAAACAAGACTACAAGTATATAGAAATATAAGCATTTCCAATATGTATTATAATTAAATATTGAAAATACTGATGCAATATAAATGTATAAATAGGGCTGGTTGCAAGCTTGAGCTAAGCCAATTTTAGATATTTCGAACCAATATTTAACGAAATTTAACAATTAAGGAAAATTTGTTAATTACATTTACGAAATCTTAGGACTACAGAGCGTAACAGGCTCAATATTTTTTCAATTAGAGAGCCTTTACTAATTTCGATTCTAAACATAAACAGATATGTAAATAATTAGTTGAAATATAAATCTCAGTATAAACAATAAGATAAAAGAGGCGGGCAAAATTCTGTTCTAAGAAATTGCGATACGTTTTATATTATTTAAATAGTTCAGATTAATAGATATTTGAATGCTGCTATTCGATTAAAGTATAAAGTACTACATAACAAGTATTTATAAGGGGGATGTTGGTATATTCACAGTTAGCGTATAAAGCATTAATGAGACTTTTGCAATACACTTTAAGCAATACTCTAAACTTTAAAATACTTTAACAAACCCTCTGTATAATGTAGTTAAAACAAACATTAGCCTCCACTAAAACCATTTCTTTGTTTTTAGAGCTTGTTCGCTCGGCAAATTGTTTTTGGTCCCTCTATTTCGAAATGGTTTTGGGTTTTCTAAAAAGTGAAAGGGCAAAAGTGGAGCGATTTTAATTATGGCTGGCAAGTAACTTTAACGTTTGGGGTGTTTCTGGGGCACACGAATGGCCCACACCGATATGCTTTTATTCAAACAATTTTATGAAGGCATTACGTATTTACATACGTTTTAGAACGAGTCGGTTCACTGGGTTCAAAGTCAAATATTGTTGTAATAAACAAAGGTAAATGACATTGTTGCGCTGATTGTGAGACGCGTAGAAACATATTTCTAACTAAAAATAAAAATATACAACTAAAAATATAGAAATAGGTGAAGCGCACTTTTTTGTGACTCTCACGTTCAATCTGTACCTATATCTCTATCTGTCTGCAGTCGGTTGTCTGCGAAACATTAAGTTTCAGAGACCAAACTAGCCCTATATGTTCGCTTAGACGCTAGGTTTGATGAAGGTAGCTCTGCTCTTCGTAGATAGAACAGTAATTGTGTCTAATAAACAAAAAGCCTTTTCCAAAAATCCAAATTTTATTTAGTACGGGTTTTGTTAAATATTTGTATGGACTAAAGCTATTAAACAAATGCTGATATCGTATCTATAACTTCTGAATATAACAGTTACAAATGTCTTCTGTTTTCTGTTGTCTTTGTATTTTATTTATGCATGTATAAAAATAAGCATTTAATAATTTGTAAACAGCAACATTAAAACGGGGCTTGTTTGAAATACAAAACGAATAATCTTAATACGAAAATCGTCGAAGAAAATGATAAAGAATTGTATTTACGTTTCAGTAGAAGACTTTAAAGGCAAAGTCACGAGTCCCGCCCACATCTAATATATTAAATGTACATACATGAATACATACATACATGCATACATATTGATTGTGGACCATCAAACCGAAATTTTGTGTTTTATTTTGTTCAAATTGGCCTTGTCTGGCTGCGTTTAGCTTAATTAAAAACAGCTGATTATATTAAGCTGTTTATTAGGTTTGCACTTTGTTGTCGCCCGCCTGAGTAGCGCACAACATTCAGACAGACAGACATATATACATATGGCGTACATAGTCCAAATTACAGAGCCATTTGTACTAGAGCTGGAAAATAACTGATGGAACTATCGATAGTAGCGCTTAAGTTGAATTTTTGGCATCATGGATGGTTTTTTATTCGGCTTTGCGTGTCAAGAAAAGCAACAATAAATTTTTAGTGGCATTCATGCAACTGGTTTTTTGGTTTGCAATAGACATTCTTGCAGAGCTGCTCTCAGATACTCTGCAGTTTGACCAAACTAGCTTCACACTCTACGATCAAACTATTAGCAATAGAGAAATCGATCCGAAGGCTGGCTTGAACATTATTTTAGGTGGGCCTCAGAGGGTTAAGCATCTTTGTCCAGTAAAGAGGTTTAAATTTGTCTTTCCATCAACTGATTTAGATTTGAGAGGAATTTTATATAGATATGTAATCATGAATGAACACAGATTTCAATGGTCGATTCAGCAAAGATGTTGTCTAAAATAATCTTGACTAACTATAACTGTTTGTATGCAAATAAATAGCTTTACAAAAATCAACGATTGTTTAAAGAAGTTGGAAAATACCGATGGTTGCAAGCATCAAATATTTTCCAGCTCTATCTGCAACGAATTTGATCAATAAAATGAGCAACAACAACAAGAGTAACCGTAACAGCTGATAGCGCAACAGGCTGGCTGGCTGGCCACATATGTATGTGTGTGTATACATGTATGTATGTACAGCTATAGTCTGCGCGTTTGTCAATTATACAATCTAAGCAGTTGATGCTGGAAATCTGTGTGTTCACACGCACACACACATGCGCGTATACTTAAGTACGCATATTTGTATGTGTTTGGGCGTGCCTAAAAATAGCGCAAATAATGGGAACAAACTTTAAACAAATTGCATTTTAAGTGTCGTTAAAGAAGAGGAAGAGGAGCAGCATGTGTGCACGCGCGTGTTTATAAATGTAACCTCAAATTCGTCTCTGAAACATTTGAAGCGACACAACTACCTGTTTGATGGTCAATACAAAAGCAACAGGTAGCGAACTTTAAACTCCCAACACATATGGCCATCTCGCTCGCACCCACAGCGCCTAATGCGCGTGCGTGTCTGTTTTATAATTATTGGTAGGTTTGTATCGGAATTGTTGTTGTTGTTGCCGTCGTTGTTGTTGTAACCTTGACCATCAATGCAGGGCTTCGTGTTCGAAATGTTCAATTAATTTATGAATATTGGACTGCGCGTGGCAAAAAAAATCGCTTAGTTAAACATATTGGCTGGCCGTAGTGCGCATTGAAATATTGTGTGTGCATGTATGTATGTATGTGTGTGTTGATATGGTTTTATTTACTTAGCATTTAACACTTACACTGTTTCTATGTACTTATTGAGACGAGCGCACAACAACAAAACACTCGTGCATGCACCGTACACACAATATTTTCTCCTAGCTACGAATTTGTTTTTCCTGATTTTCCACACACGTCTGCCGTTTTACACCGCTTTTCAATTTTTTATTTTATTTGGCTAAAGTGGACAGGCACGACGAAGACGTCAGACGTTATATATGTATGTACCTACATATATGTATTTCAAATATGTACACACATATGTATTTGTAGCTGGTTAATCACAGACTAACGGCAGCGCGAAATGAGACAGACACGTTTCCAGTTGCAAGCCGTCCGATTGACTGACTCTGACTCTGACAACCAGCGGCAAAAGTTATCAATGGAAGGCAGCAGCTTGCGGTGCACACTCACACACACACACCAATGCAAATGTACAACACAAGCATGCTTGAGTCAAACGGAACATATGGCTAGCGCTGATTGGCAGCTGTTCTGCAACTCTTTTGCTGCACAAACAAAAAATACGAGCTTGTGCAAGCCTTTCAACACTGATCTGGCAGCTCTCGATGCTAGCAACGGTGCCCAATCGATTTAAAAAGGAATATCACTAGCGTTACCCTTTTGTGTATTTTTGTATAAAAATAAAATAAAAGCGAAACTTTGATGCTTTCAGGGCTATTCTATTTTACAATGCTGCTTAATTTAAATAGAGTCGATTTTTTTAAACAAAAAATAAAGCTTCATGAAATAGATGATATTTGTCAATATATTTTGCTATAATTATGGTTGAATGGAATCTTTAATGCATTTCTTTAGAAAAACCAAATAAAAAAACATTGCAACTGTTTTAAAATGTGCGATGTTTTGAAAAAACATCGATACATCGATAAAATAGAAATCGATTCAACGCCTTATACAAATCGTCGACTCTGAATTAATCGATGTGTTTTCACACCCCTAGTTTATTAACTATAGTTTTGTGTTTGCCAATTGGAGATACATTTTAACGTAAAGACGCGTGCGATTACGGCACGGAAATGCCACTTAAATTTCTTAAGAAATGCCGTCAGTACAATGTAACTTCAAAAAGCCTATTTGTAATATCCGTGCACCATTTGCTAGGTGAGTTCCTTATATACATACATATATGTATGTATGTAGGTGGGGGCGTAACAGTAACAGCGACCAACACCAAGAATAAATAACGCGCAAGTGTGCATTTCAATTGCATGACTGTCTCAAAAACAACAACAAAACAGCTGGTGTCTGGCAAATTTGCGTCAAATTTTACACTTGTCGGTGTGTTTTATCACTGCCTTCTTTAATGGAAAAGCATAATTGCCGTTTTATGGCTGGCAACAACAACAGCAGCTAGCCAGCAAACGAGTCACAGTGTAGCGCGATAAGTTCGCTATTGTTCTTGTTGTTTATCTTACCAGCTATTGTTGGCCATGCCCATTACCTGTTTTCAGAAATGTGTTTGCTTATGCAAAATCATTTATTGGCAACAGCAACAACAAAATTAAATTCCTCACATGCCTTAGTCGAGTACCTGTTGCGTCGCTGTTATGACCCTGCAGACTGTTAGTTAACAGTGTCGCTTCCTGCAAGCGCATGTTAGCCTGCAAAAAGCCAAAATATCAACGTTGAAACCATTTCCGGCTAATAGAAGCGGTCGAGTAGCGCCGCCGCATACGTCACAACGGCAACGGCAACAGAAACAACAAAAATAGAAAACATACATGGAGAAAAGGCATTAGCATATTTGCTTGTGCTTTTGACGCTTCCCGCTATGTTTTTTATCGACAACAACATCAGGGTGTGTGCGTGCGTGTGTGTATGGATGTATCTTTTATCTGCTTACGCTTTTATCTATAAGCGCGTGCACAACACGTCGACGGTGGACGAGCTTAGAATTTCAAAAACCGAAACCACTGTCTCAATGCGCCAATCGAGAATAGTCGAGTGTGTTCTGGAATTCACTTCCAAACAAATTTTATGTGAATTTAGTAACGTTTTTTTTGACAGTTAAGCAGTTTGTTGTGTTTACTTAACGCTTTAATCGTTTTTTTAATGTACCAGATAAACCCCCATAATGTGTTGTCAAAGATCACATCGATGCATGCATTTGTTTCGAAACTGCAACTCTCCTACAAGAATTTCTTAATTTAAGAATTTCAGTTTTCTGAAATATGATTTTTGGCAGCGAAATAAATGTACAGCATTTTTTGTATTCCCCTTATCAAAATGCTATTGGTATCCAATAACGTAATCGCTATCATAGACTCAATAACTCTTAACTAATAGCGTTTCTGAGTTCATGGGTACAACAAGTTTTAAAAGTTGGGCGAATAAATGTTATATATTGACACTAAACCCTCTCTCTCATTTGACAGACTCTTCCACCACTGTTGACTGCACCATCAGCTCGGAGAGCAAGGGTCAGGAATGCTTGGATAATGTATGCCAGCGCCTGCTCATACAACAACCCGAGTTCTTTGGCCTGCGCTATCTCGTAAAGGGCAAGGAGGACGAGTTCAAATGGATTGACTTGGAGCGTTCACTCAGCCGCCAGCTGGAGAAGTATGCTGCCGGACCTAAGATCTATTTACGGGTGCGGCACTACGTGACGACGGGCGTGCGTCATTTAAGCGATGAGGCCACACGCTTCTACTACTTTCTGCAGCTGAAGAGCGATATCTATGAGGGGCGCATTGCCTGCGATATACGCACAGCCATTTTGCTGGCGCTCTATTGCCGACAGGCCGAATACGACAGCTATCAGGGGGATAAGCAGACCAAGGAGTATTTGAAAAAGTCGTTGGTGCTGCCGCGCAACATGCAGGGACTGGCCAATGACGACAGCATGGACGGCCTAGTCCTGGAGGTGTTGCAACAGCATGCAGGCATTGCGCATCTAACCCAGAGCCAGGCCGAGGAGCTGTATATACAGTGCTGCCAGCAGCTGGAGGGCTATGGCGAGGAGCGCTTCTCGGCCAAGGACACGCTGGGCAACGATCTGTGGCTTGGCCTGGCCATCAATGGCATGGTGGTGACGGCGGACAATGGACGACAATACTTTCCCTGGCGCGACTTCCACACAGTGACCATCGATAAGCGCACCATCAAGATAGAGCAAAACAAGCCCGAAGGCGATGGCAGCATCGTGGGCAGTTTCATCTTCAGCGAGGCGGATACGGCGCGCTATTTCTGGAAGCTATGCATAACGCAGCATAAATTCTACAAGCGCCACATAGACACTGCCACGCTGGGCGGAGCAGCGGGTTCGACGGCGGCTGCATCCAGTGTGGGCAGCGGCGTGGACTTGGAGAGCGCCAATGGCATACAATTGGGCGGCGACAGTGTGGGTTATGTAGACTATGATTATGGCGAGGCGGCTGCTGTGGCAGCAGCGGCGGCAGCAGCAGAACAACAACAGCTGCAGCAACACCAACACCAGCAGCATCAGCAACAGCAACAACAACATGTACGTCTGTTGCAATCACGCGAGGATTATATGTCGGCGCCGCAGTTGCCTTGCAATGCGCTCATGTCCTCGAACATCTCACTTGCGGCCAGCCAGCAGCTGGGCAGCGACTATGCACCACAGCTGCTCTCGCACAGCATGCTGGACACTCGTTTGGGCCTGGGGCAGAGCAGCTCCTGCCTCGACTTGAGCAACAATAACTTGCACAGCAGCAGCACCAGCATGCACAACAACAACAATAATAATAACAACAGCGACGAGCGGGAACGCTTGAAAGCCATGCTGCCCACCTATCGCCCAGCGCCTGACTATGAGACGGCAGTGCAATTGAAATATCGCACCCCTTCTGCCGAACTGCATCATTTGAATGCGAATGTGGCGCCGCATTATGCGGCAGCAACCCCAGCAGCGAGCCTGGCTCTGCCCACCGCATACTATGCCGGCTCGCAGCCGGATGTGCACAATCCCAGCGTTTATGGGGAGAACGTGCTCTTCGGCCATTTGACGGCGCATCGCTATCCGGATGTGGCACAGCCTGCCGCAGCCTTGCATGCGCATGCCCATCAGCTCAATCTCTACCAGGCGCAGCAGCAACACCAGCAGCAACAACAACATCCAGCCGCTTATCTGGAGCTCAACCAACGCATGCACATGATGCGCCACAAGGCGCCGCCGCCATATCCCGTTAATCGGTTAAGTTCCTCCTCAACTCCCGATCTGGCTGTGGCCACGCCCCGTCCGCTGCAGGGATATCGCAATTATGTGTCGGGCTCATCACCCGATTTAGTTTCCAATCGCAATCTGCTCAATGGCGGTCAGTATTTGCACGTCGCTAGCGGCGTCCACGGAGGCAATGTTCCCACTTCTTCGGGTGCCACCATGTTGCACCAATATCCATACATTGGACATATGGGACAGTCACAACCATATCTGCCACCGCACGGCACTTTCGAGAACCTCAACATGATCGAGGAACAGCCATCCATTATGTCCCAGCTCCGACAGTCGGCGATGAGTCAAGCGGCAGTCGCAGCCAACAGTCAGGGGTGAGTAAAACAGTAGTGGAACGGCAGCTTACGAATCAACTATTCTTATACCCTGCTCTTATATTCAGCTACGAGACGCATGCGCAGCACTCACCCACATTGCCGCCCAGCGGCTATCGGGGTTCGGCCAGCAGTCAACAGTTGGCGGTGCCACCGCCAGCGAGCAGTCCACAGCCAGCAGCACAGCTTCAACCGACGCCATCTGCGCAGCAACAGCAGCACCCGCACCAGCAACAACCCACGCCACTTCAACGCAATGCCATCAACGGCTCCATTGAGCCCATCTATGAGAACGTGCCACTACCACACTATGCCCCCGGCAGCGGGGTTGCCTCGCAACGCAACAGCATGCAGCGGGGATCGGGCGGCAGTCAACGTGCCGGATCCGCACAAGGTATTGCGTTGCCTGTGCCCGCGGCTCGACAAGTCAGTAATGCCAACAATGTGGTGAAGCTGGCCATCAACTCGCAACCTCCACCGCCCCAGCCGGATGAAATGAAAAAGTTTATGGGTGAGCGTGCGGCGAGCACCGAGCTGCAATTTCTTGAGCCTCAGGCGCCGCAGCGTGCAATGCGTGCGGCATCGGCAGCTCCAGCCATTGGAGCAACACCGCCACCCCGTCAGCATCGGCCCAGTGCGAGCCTCAGCAAGTCAACGACAACAAATTCCGTGGATGTCATTTCGCCTGCGGGCGCCACAACGCTAGCGCGTCATGCTTCCGCCTCCCACGATGATGTGCTGCATCAGCAGTTCAGTGCCATGAATCTTTCTGCCTCCGCGACGTCTTCCATGTTGAACTCTACGCTGGATAGCAATAGCAGCAGCATGCTAAACACCACTTCCTCCTCTGTGGCCAGCAAAGAGGTGAAGCGCAAGAAGCGTTGGAATATATTGTCGCGCAGCAAGACGCCGGATAAACAAAAATCGGCAACGTTGGGTCGCGAAAAGGCGAGCAGTAGCAATAGTGCCGCCCAGCAGGCCAAACTGGCCACCAAATTGAAACTGGCTCAGGACGATCTCAATTTGCCGCATCGTTGGTCCACGGGTGTGACCAAACCACAGCCCATTTCGGGACAATATTCCAAGGATAAGCTGGTAAGCAATTGTTATTGAAGACAATAGCAGTCGTAGAATATTCCGCTTGCTTAATAATAAAGACAAATCCTCCATTGATGAAATCAAATCACTTAAAACGGAGCAATTTCAGACTATTGTTGGAACTCAGTAAAATTTTCCTAAAGTCCAAAACCAGTATTACAAGGTTTGAATACTATTACGCCTCAACCCAATTGTACTTTAAATAATGCATCAATAGGCAGTTAACTGCTTAAATATTAAACAGCAATAAACTGCAAATAGTCTTAATTTAAATTTTTAGATGGTTTAAAATATGAAAAGTGTTAAATTCTTATGGTCGTACATTTTCTATTTTCTTTTGAATGTGCAAAGTAAAGTTTAATATTTAATCTGGCATATACAATCACAACAATTTCGAATATTTTTCCACCATCCTAAATATTAATTCTGATATTTAAGCTGTTAATCAAATATTGTTATTAATCAGCAAATAATAGGCAATCAGAGGTTCAAATACTGCCCCAAAATAATTATATATGTAGTATATATCAAAATAATGCTGATATGCATGCATATACTCCCTTATATAAGCGTTTAGCAAATCATTGATCAATGCTTAACTAACTTTCATTTCCAAATAGTGCCAAATACTCAATGAAAAACTTCAGGATGCCCAACTCTTTATGGAGTTCGAACGCATACCCAAGCGTCGCGAGCATGCGCAATACAATTGTGCCCTATTGGAGGAGAACGAGCCGAAGAACTTCGATCCCAACTTTTTGCCATACGATGACAATCGCGTGCGCCTCACGCCATCCATGGACAATAGGCATGGCTATGTGAATGCCTCATATATATCCGTGGGTTTCAAGCGATTCTATATTGGCCAAATGTTCTATATCCATTCGTATTTTATAGGCGACTGTGGGCACCAAACAGCGATTCTATATTGTTGCCCAGTCCCCGCACGAGGCCCAGACAATGCGCATCTTTTGGCAATGCGTTTGGGAGGCGGATGTCTATTTGGTGGTGCAATTGACTGAGGACATGAGTTATATACCGCCGAGTAGTCAGCAGCACATGGAGTTTGGACAGGTACGTAACTTTTTTAATTAGGCAGTAATATTTATTTCTAAGTCTTTAAATCCATTAATGCCAATAAATAATCACTTTGTCTACAGTTTCAGGTGTACCAGGAGTTCTCGCAGACCACCGATCGTTGTACCACCAGTAAGCTACGACTGTATCATGCGCCCTCGCGGCGCTATCGCTCCGTTTGGCATTTGCAGTACGCCGATTGGGCCGAGCAGAATTGCCCCCGGGATGTTAATCATTTCCTAGACTTCCTGGAGGAGCTGAACTCGGTGCGTCTGGCCTCGATACAGGAGGTGCCGCCGGGTCATAATACCAATCCGCCAGTGCTCATACATTGTCTGGAGGGTGGCGGGCGATCTGGCGTGACCTTGACCGCGGATCTATTGCTCTACACTCTGGACCACAATGAGGTATTGGTGCTCGTTGAAATTATGCGACTATATTAGAAATTAACTTTAATTTTCTTTGCCCCTGCCAGGACTTGGACATACCGCGAGTCATTGGTCAGCTGCGACATCAAAGAGACAGCATCATACCCTCACTTGCGCAATATAAGTTCATCTATAATCTGCTCATTACATATCTGAAGCGTACGAGATTGATTTGAGCCAGACCTTGGCAATTGGCAACGAATACAGCGAGTGTATTACTTAAAGATTTTATTAGGCTTTGCGAAAATAACGAACAACAAACAAATGTATTTTTTAAATTGAGTATTGGTTTCACCATGACTGTTTTTTAATAGGCAGCTTTTAGACCGTTTTTATAGACCCTTAAGTGTGTTCTTTATAAATAGGAAGTACCGTTTTGTGGTCATATTAATTAAGCCATCGCGTCCATAATTTGTTAACTAAACCGTGCGCTAACAATTGTTAAGCCATTCGTAAGAGAATGTTGATTCACAAACCAACAAACAAACAAATTTGTTAACATAAAATATCAAATTCATAGAGCTTAGGTTAAAAGCCAAATTATTTATACACACACATACATATCTAATTATAAGAAGAAACGATATTTACATTTTCAAACGAAAAGCAATAAAAGAAACCATCATTTTTGTACTAACTGTTATAACATTAATTAAATGAGTGACATTAAAATTGGTTCTGTTTCTGATTTTGAACTAAAATCCAATATTTGTTTAAACAACACACGGAACATGACCTACTATTAAGCGCTTATCTGAAATAGGTTTGGCAATAAAATCACATCCCAGCTGTTAACAACGAAAGGAAGATAGACAGAACGCGAACGTCATCAGACTTGCAATCTGGCATAAAGATCGCCATATGTTAGTGATCAGCATGACGAGGCGAACTGAAGAAGCATTCCCCATCTGTCGGATTTCTGTTTCTAGACAAATAAGTCTCGCAGCTTTAACACTGTCACGCTGAAATTCGGATTTCTGCAAGCAGATAACTGAAAATAAAGGATCGTAAAATTTTGCCTCGACTAAGGTGGTGCCCGTATATACATTGTTGCATCAAATAGTAACGATCGGCTAATGTTTCATTAAATATATATCCAAATCAAATCGGCAAATAATCTAGTTGCCATAGAAATGATCAGTTCCCAGATATTGTTGTCAAAGATCTATGTTTACTTTATTTTTCAGGTGAATATTATTGAATACTTAATTCCCACCGATTGACTAGTATAATACTACAGTTAGATTAAACTGAGAATGCGAATGCCAAAACAAAATAACTAACGCGTAAACACTCAACTACTCAACTGGCCAGATTAATACCTGAGACGGTAAATCAGAACCGACTATGAACAAACAACTCCTGACTGCTATCGGTGTTCCACTCAATAATGAGTGTTAATTAAGTGAAAATATGATTAATTTTCGAATAAATATTTGTTATACTATATAAACAATAGACATTTGTAGATAATGGTAATGGTTGTACCACTGAACTTTATCTGAGCTTTTTACAATAATATAATATTCCAGAGCGATAATTTTAATCATAAACAGTGACATTGACGATAAGGATTGTACAAATTCAGTTAAAGTCTGTGACTCCCAATAAAAGCGATAATATTTTCAAAATATTCCAAATTACTACTTCAATCATGGTTTACGAGATTACGTCAACAGATTATATTAGATTTAGATTAATTCAAACTTGCGGGGGATAATAATTAGTATATAAACTAATTAAAATCACATTACAATACTCTTTTACCCAATTCACTATATTATATAGTTGCCATATGAACGAATCAAATAGGGTAAACAATGTAAGTGATTGTCAGTTGTAAAAGAGATTGATTCATTTAATAAGTGATGGGTGATACGTAAATGGGATTACGCTCAAGTACAGGTTATTTTGATTTCATGTGGCGCCTTCAGGGCTGTGATTAAATTCACATACAAATAGTTGCTAATTGTCTAATCGTATAGCCACATATAATATTCCAGCCGTGATATTGGGATCTCCCAGAAACCACATCTCCTAAAGATTGTCTGATCAGAGAATTCGTCGCCAATCAGCTGGAGGGAAAATATTTCATATCTAGGACAAACTAAATTCATCATTCATCGTCTTGCCGCTCTACTTTTTACACCCACATTTTGTAAGCATTTCGATCATCTAAATCGGAATCGGAATACGGAACATTTCTGATTACAAGCTAATAAATTGAAGCGTCATTAATTTAAATGGGTTTATATTTTGCAGGGCAAGTTGTTATTATTTGTATTTGATAAGATTTGAATAACTGACAGGTGTAATCAAATGAAAATTTAAGCCTATACACATAAATAGTTCTTACATATGTACATTAGGGTGTTTGAACTTGTGAGAAATTTGATTGAAAACAAAAAAAAATGATACTTTTTTAATATGTAGAACCCATCAAGATTCAAAATGTTTTGAAGTTAATTTTACATTCCATCAGACTTAATGACAGCCATTTAGATTGTTAGCTTTCGTGGACTTAATATGTCTAGCTTATAGACAAAGCAAGACAAGACAAAGCAATCGGACATCGACATTAAAAAAGCTTTGCTTTGTCTTGTCTTGCTTTGTCTATAAGCTAGACATACTTGTATTAAGTCTAATGTCTAGCTTATAGACAAAGCAAGACAAGACAAAGCAATCGGACATCGACATTAAAAAAGCAAACACCCTAATATATAAACAGTTATCAATCTATCACGACTCTAGGATTTGTGTTTCAATTAAAAACGAATACTAACGATGAATCGCGTATAAAACACATATAAAATGTAATCAGCGCCGTTACATTTGTTTCCCAATTATAGAACGAATACTAACGACGATTCGCGTATAAAACGTGCGATTCGTACAGGTTCGCCGGTAGTATCGTATTGAGAACGTTCGTATTCGGTCGCTGTTTGTTCGCAAGGTATATATATATATAGTATTTGCAAACATTGTGTAAACCAGTTTTGTGTTTTGTGAGTTCACAAAGTCCTTGGATATTACAATGGTGACAAATTATAGGCTTTAGCTAAATTGGTCAATTTTTAAAAATGTGTTGTGGTGGGCTTCTATATCTAACATTTGTTTATGTTGTGTTCTTAAGCCGCCAATCTATCTTCTTTGTTTGAACTATCAAATTATTATTAAAATTATTAAATACAATTTTGTGAATGATATCAACAGCTGCATGATGTAGAAGTCTGATCTAGTCCACCTCGACGTACAATATCTGTCGTAAACTAATCTTGCATTTTATACAAGAAGTTGCTTCAAAGAGTTACATCTTGCAGTGAAAGTATGTTCATTGATTACCAATATTTTGTGATTATTTTCACATTAATTATACAAACTGGTAGAGCTGTGATATATTAATTACAACTGTACAATTATTGCCTCTTCACCCAGCATTCAAATGGCTTTAACGGCTGCACTTTTTTTAATTGTTGGCGCCCTAAGCGCGCTATTTCTGTGGGTCCAGCGCAGCCATAATTACTGGCAACGCAAGGGATTGCCGTATGTGAGACCCACATTCCTGATTGGCAACACAAAGGAGATGTTCACGCTGGAGAATAATTTCGGCTTACATCTGTCTGAAATATATAAAGCCCCGAGTATGCAAAATGAAGCCGTCGTTGGCATTTATGTGATGAATAAGCCCGCATTGGTTATACGTGATCCGGAACTGATCAAATCCGTGCTCATAAAGGATTTCACTGAGGTATGTAACGAGGACATCGAGTCAAAGAATTTAAAAACACTTTGCTGTCAGCACTATAAAGCAAGACCAACTTAATTCTATTACTAGAATATTTAACGAAACTCTACAGAGTTTTTAAAAATTAATTTTAAGTGGTCATTCCATAAACTTATTAACATTTTTTCACCATTTACTTAAGCATCAATAAAAGTAAAAATCGGCCAGTTCTTTAATGCAGATTTTTTATACCCTGTACCCAAAGGGTAAAAGGGTATATTAGTTTTGTGCGAGTGTATATGTAGCACACAAAAGGGGGCGTGGCAGACCCCACAAAGTATATATATTCTTGATCAGGATAGGATCAGCCAAGTCGATATAGCCATGTCCGTCTGTATGAACGCAAGGATATCAGAAAGTATAATAGTTAGAATAACCAAACTTGGTATCCAGATTCTCCAGATTCCCCGCTATTCGCGATTTTCTATAACTCCCGTTATTCTTGGAATTTGAAACTAAATTTAAAATTTGATAGTCACGTCCAGTTAATGATTATATATCCGCATCCCAAGTTTTATTATTATCAATTTTTTTTGTGGGGTGGTACAGGGTATTTAAGAGTTGAGCCTGCTCAACTTTAGCATTGCTTTCTTGATTTTTAATAAAATGGTGATCCTTAAAGGGTTATAAATGCTTTAGTGTCGACTTAAACGATTGTTTCCATATTCAATAGTTCTCGAATCGCTATGGACGCTGTGATCCTCACGGCGATGCTTTGGCTTCCAACAACCTGTTCTTCGTCCGCAATCCCAAATGGAAGGAGTTACGCACGAAGCTGACGCCTGTTTTTAGCAGCGGAAAACTCAAACAGATGTATGGTTTAATGCAGGAGGTACGTATGCCGATCAGGGCAGCACTTTTATTGCAGCATTTCCACTATAACTTGATTCACCGCAGATAGCCGAGGATCTGGAGTCGCATCTGGTGCGTCATAGTAACGAACAAGGGAAATATTCGACGGAAATCAAGGAGCTGTGTGCCCTTTTTACCACCGACACAATTGCTAGGTAGGCCAGGCTTTTAGTATTCGTATACGTATATATATGTATATATAACAATCGTGTAAAATATAAAATTATAGCACAGCGTTTGGTGTACGCGCCAATAGTCTCGAGAATTCAAACTCGGATTTTCGAACCCAAGGACGCAAATTATTCACCTTTACATTGCATCGTGCCTGGGACTTTTTTGTGGCCTTCTTCTTACCGAAACTGGTGTCGTTCTTCCGCATCACGTTTTTTACTCCCGAGTTCTCTAACTTTATGCGAAAGAGTATTTCACATGTGATGCACGAACGCGAACGCACTGGCACTCTGCGGAATGATCTCATCGATGTTCTAGTCAGTTTGAAGAAGGAGGCAGCGTTGGAACCAAATAAGGAGCATTATGCCAAAGACAATGATTTTCTGGTTGCTCAGGCTGGCGTATTCTTCACCGCGGGCTTCGAGACATCCTCATCGACCATGTCTTTCGCCTTATACGAGTTGGCCAAGCAACCAGACCTCCAACAACGATTGCGCGAAGAAATCAACGAAGCCCTACTGGCTGAAGGGGGAAAACTGTCTTATGAGACGATCAACTCGCTCGAGTACCTATCCATGGTGGTAAACGAGGTGTTGCGTCTGTATCCAGTACTCCCCTTCTTAGATCGTGAATATATGGGTGTTAAAGACAAATCGGGCTTCTCTTTGAAGCCTTTTTATAATTTCAAAATTGAAAATGGGACCCCAATCTTTATTCCCGTGTTTGGATTGCAGCGCGACCCCAAGGTAAGTATTCCATAAACTTATTCAAATCCATACTACAACCCTCTTCTTTATTTTACAGTACTGGCCGAATCCAGATCTTTTCGATCCGGAACGTTTTTCGGCTGAACAGAAAGGTTCTATTGTACCCATGGCTTATCTGCCCTTCGGCACAGGCCCCCACAACTGCATTGGCAGCCGCATAGGCCTTCTACAGTCTAAGATTGGACTTGTACATATTCTAAAGAATCATATGGTTCGTTGCTGTCCGGATACTGTCGAGAACATAAAATTCGATCCGAAGGCCTTGTTGATACAAACAGAATCGGGAATAAATTTGGAAATTATAAATGACCGCTTGTATGATAATAAGATAAATACATAGATCCAAAAAGGTTATGGAGGAGAATTAAAATCTGTTTATCAAGCTATTATTTAAGCTTCTGGGATATCACACAAATTAAAAAGCTCCGTTTTAATATAGAGTACTCATTGGGTTTCATTGAAGCGACAATGAATTGAAATTCGAGATTTTTCTGTTAATATTTTGGTCAGACAGGCAATAGACTGGCAAAATAACTAGAAAGCTGCTAATGGTTGATGGATTCAAAACTGGAAATACTTCGTTTTTTATATTCTCATTTTTTAGAATTTAAACTTAGAATTAGACTAAATATAAATAAAATTCTATATAACTGTTTATAAATATACTTGAGTTTTCGTACCTAAAACATTGTTTATGCATTGTAACATAATTATTTAGTATGAACTTTATTAAATAATTACCATATTTGTCTAAATAACAGAAATGTGATTTTGTAGTATATTTCATGTAAGTCAAGCCCCTTAGATGTGATAAATTTTCAAAAATAAGATACTTGTATATTTCTTGCTAGCCATCAATTAATTGTAACTATGCAGACCCGACTATGAATAAGCAACTCCTGACTGCTATCGGTGTTCGGCTCAATAATAAGTGTTAGATACCACTGAACTTTATCTGAGCTTTTTACAATAATATAATATTCCAGAGCGATAATTTTAATCATAAACAGTGACCTTGACGATAAGGCTTGTACAAATTCAGTTAAAGTCTGTGACTCCCAATAAAAGCGATAATATTTTCAAAATATTCCAAATTACTACTTCAATCATGGTTTACGAGATTACGTCAACAGATTATATTAGATTTAGATTAATTCAAACTTGCGGGGGATAATAATTAGTATATAAACTAATTAAAATCACATTACAATACTCTTTTACCCAATTCACTATATTATATAGTTGCCATATGAACGAATCAAATGGGGTAAACAATGTAAGCGATTGTCAGTTGTAAAAGAGATTGATTCATTTAATAAGTGATGGGTGATACGTAAATGGGATTACGCTCAAGTACAGGTTATTTTGATTTCATATGGCGCCTTCAGGGCTGTGATTAAATTCACATACAAATAGTTGCTAATTATCTAATCGTATAGCCACATATAATATTCCAGCCGTGATATTGGGATCTCCCAGAAACCACATCTCCTAAAGATTGTCTGATCAGAGAATTCGTCGCCAATCAGCTGGAGGGAAAATATTTCATATCTAGGACAAACTAAATTCATTATTCATCGTCTTGTCGCTCTACTTTTTACACCCACGTTTTGTAAGCATTTCGATCATCTAAATTGGAATCGGAATACGGAACATTTCTGATTACAAGCTAATAAATTGAAGCGTCATTAATTTAAATACGTTTTTATTTTGCAGGGCAGGTTGTTATTATTTGTATTTGATAAGATTTGAATAACTGATAGGTGTAATAAAATGAAAATTTAAACCTACTGTTTATTCGCACACGTGCGGTAGTGAGAATAGGCAGGACGATCGTGGTCCTGACGAGTTAAAGGACGCTGGTGGTCCTACTTTTGATCAAGGCAGGATCCAGTGGTCTGGTTTGATGTTTGGGTGGACACTCTTGAACGGGATGGTGAGTGCTTTCAGTGACCAAGGATACCGGCTGGCAATCCTTGGGAGCATGTAGTTCAACGTGGTAGTTGGCGTGTTAAAAGATCGCCGGTTCCCGTATTGACCCAAAGTATTATTCTTACAATTCATGGCTTATATAGCCATGCTTAAAACTAGCTTATGACTATTTACATTTACCGTTTCTATGTATTGGCCATTGCCCCATACTTCTTAATCGAATGTAGGTTGACCCCGATCAGCTACGTAAGCTTATCTGCTAATCTGCTGCTGCTAATATGTGCAGTGCACAGAACTATCTGATTGTTGGTCGTATGCTGGATAAGTGCTGTGTAAAAGAATAATATGTGTCTTATGCTTAATATTCTTGCTTATCGTGTGCCTATTTGCGTCGCGTTGATGAGATGCATATACCCTTCAGTTCTTACATATGTACATTTAGGTGTTTGAAGTTGTGAGAAATTTGATTGAAAACAAAAATAGTTGATATTATTTAAACATGTAGAACCCAACAAGAACAAAGCTCAAAATGTTTTGAAGTTCAATTTCACATTCCATCAGACTTAATGACAGCCATTTAGATTGTTAGCTTTCGTAGACTTAATACAAGTATGTCTAGCTTATAGACAAAGCAAGACAAGACAAAGCAATCGGACATCGACATTAAAAAAGCAAACACCCTAATATATAAACAGTTATCAATCTATCACGACTCTAGGATTTGTGTTTCAATTAAAAACGAATACTAACGATGAATCGCGTATAAAACACATATAAAATGTAATCAGCGCCGTTACATTTGTTTCCCAATTATAGAACGAATACTAACGACGATTCGCGTATAAAACGTGCGATTCGTACAAGTTCGCCGGTAGTATCGTATTGAAAACGTTCGTATTCGGTCGCTGTTTGTTCGCAAGGTATATATATATATAGTATTTGCAAACATTGTGTAAACCAGTTTTGTGTTTTGTGAGTTCACAAAGTCCTTGGATATTACAATGGTGACAATTTATAGGCTTTAGCTAAATTGGTCAATTTTTAAAAACGTGTTGTGTTGGGCTTCTATATCAAACATTTGCTTATGTGGTGTTTAGTGTAAGCCGCCAATCTATCCTTTTTGTTTATACTATCAAATCGTTTAACACTTTATAAAACTTTGTGAATGATAACAACAGTTGCATGATGTAGCAGTCTGATCTAGTCCATCTGGACATACAATATATGCTTGCTACTATATGCTTTCAGCTGTGGAAGGCAGACAGATTAATAAAAAGTTACTTATCGGACTTGGCTGAGCCTGCATTGCAAGTTTAGTGACTCTAATCTGCGTTCATACAGACAGACAGACGGACAGGCTGATCAACTCGCCTCTTGAAGTTGTCGTGTCGGTTTTCGTTCAAAGTGCTCTTTTGTCGTAAACTAAACTTTCTTTTTCTAGTTGCTTCAAAGAGTTACATCTTGCAGTGAAAGTATGTTCATTGGTTACCAATATTTTGAGCAAAATTTTAACCAAAAAGTAGTGTGAATTCTGTCCTCATACATAGTCTTTTTTCATAGATCTGTATATAATCATCATCAAGAAAATAAATAAATTAAGCAAATACATGCATTTAAACTGAGATCTTTCTACTATTACGAGTATTCTAAGCGCGTTAATATGTTATCATTACATTTAGGTTATCGTGTTATTGACTGGCAGTACTTATAAAACCGCCTGTCAGACATTTCATTGTCTAGAATAATTTTTTAATACTTGTAAACACACTTACACATTGCGACTGTTTTGTTTTTCTTGAAAAGATTAACTGAGTGCGGATGATCAAGTTGTTGTTCTATGGACAAAAACCTGTTACCCCCTTACAAAAGATTGCATGCGAATTATTATTTTCATATTAATTATACAAACTGGTAGAGCTGTGATATATTAATTACAACTGTTATTATTAATTACAACTATTATTATTGCCTCTTCACCCAGCATTCAAATGGCTTTAACCGCTGCACTTTTTTTAATTGTTGGCGCCCTAAGCGCGCTATTTCTGTGGGTCCAGCGCAGCCATAATTACTGGCAACGCAAGGGATTGCCGTATGTGAGACCCACATTCCTGATTGGCAACACAAAGGAGATGTTCACGCTGGAGAATAGTTTCGGCTTACATCTGTCTGAAATATATAAAGCCCCGAGTATGCAAAATGAGGCCGTCGTTGGCATATATGTGATGAATAAGCCCGCATTGGTTATACGTGATCCGGAACTGGTCAAATCAGTGCTCATAAAAGATTTCAATGAGGTAAGTAACGGGGTTATCGAGTCAAAGAATTTAAAAACACATTATACAGTGAAACCAACTTAATGCCATTACAAGAATATTTAAGGAAACTCTACAGAGTTTTTATACACAGTACCCGTAGGGTAAAAAGGTTTGTGCAAAGTATGTAACATGTATGTGGAAGGAAGCATATCCGACCCCATAAAGTATATATATTCTTGATCTGCATGACGAGAGAAATCGATCTAGACATGTCCGTCCGTCTGTCTGGATGAACGCCTAAATTTCGGAAACGGCTGAGCGTATTTTATTTTTTTAATTTTTTCAATTTGTAAGATAGTTTCCATATTCATTAGTTCTCGAATCGCTATGGACGCTGTGATCCTCACGGCGATGCTTTGGCTTCCAACAATCTGTTCTTCGTTCGCAATCCCAAATGGAAGGAGTTACGCACGAAGCTGACGCCTGTTTTTACCAGCGGAAAAGTCAAACAGATGTATGGTCTAATGCAGGAGGTATGTATGCCGATCAGGGCAGCACTTTTGTTGCAGCATTTCCACTAAAACTTGATTCACTGCAGATAGCCGAGGATCTGGAGTCGCATCTGGTGCGTCATAGTAACGAACAGGGGAAATATTCGACGGAAATCAAGGAGCTGTGTGCCCTTTTTACCACCGACACAATTGCTAGGTAGGCCAGAATTCTAATATACTATATGTATATATAATAATCGTACAAAATATAAAATTATAGCACCGCGTTTGGGGTACGCGCCAATAGCCTGGAGAATTCAAACTCGGATTTTCGAACCCAAGGACGCAAAGTATTCACCTTTACATTGCATCGTGCCTGGGACTTTTTTGTGGCCTTCTTCTTACCGAAACTGGTGTCGTTCTTCCGCATCACGGTGTTTACTCCCGAGTTCTCTAACTTTATGCGAAAGAGTATTTCACATGTGATGCACGAACGCGAACGCACCGGCACTCTGCGGAATGATCTCATCGATGTTCTAGTCAGTTTGAAGAAGGAGGCAGCGTTGGAACCAAATAAGGAGCATTATGCCAAAGACAATGATTTTCTGGTTGCTCAGGCTGGCGTATTCTTCACCGCGGGCTTCGAGACATCCTCATCGACCATGTCTTTCGCCTTATACGAGTTGGCCAAGCAACCAGACCTCCAACAACGATTGCGCGAAGAAATCAACGAAGCCCTACTGGCTGAAGGGGGAAAACTGTCTTATGAGACGATCAACTCGCTCGAGTACCTATCCATGGTGGTAAACGAGGTGTTGCGTCTGTATCCAGTACTCCCCTTCTTAGATCGTGAATATATGGGTGTTAAAGACAAATCGGGCTTCTCTTTGAAGCCTTTTTATAATTTCAAAATTGAAAATGGGACCCCAATCTTTATTCCCGTGTTTGGTTTGCAGCGCGACCCCAAGGTAAGTATTTCATAAAGCTATTTAAGTCCCATAGTATACTCGTATTTACTACAACCCTCTTCTTTATTTTGCAGTACTGGCCGAATCCAGATCTTTTCGATCCGGAACGTTTTTCGGCCGAACAGAAAGGTTCTATTGTACCCATGGCTTATCTGCCCTTCGGCACAGGCCCCCATAACTGCATTGGCAGCCGCATAGGCCTTCTACAGTCTAAGCTTGGACTTGTACATATTCTAAAGAATCATATGGTTCGTTGCTGTGCGGATACTGTCGGGAACATAAAATTCGACCCGAAGGCCTTTGTGTTACAAGCAGATTCGGGAATAAATTTGGAAATTATAAACGACCGCTTTTATGATAATAAGGTTAATACATAGATCCAAAATGGTTATGGAGAAGAAATAAAATCTGTCTATCAATATGCTTTTTAAGCTTCTGGGATATCAAACAAATTAAAAAGCTACGTTTTAATATAGAGTTTCATTGAAGTGACAATGAATTGAAATTCGAAATTATTGTATAACTTTTCACCGAATGGAGAACAGCTCGCTAGAGAACCATCAAGAGATAAAATAGGAGGATCCATTAACTAAAAAGCTGCTAATGGTTGATGGATTCACAATAGGAAATACTTGGTCTTTTTAGAATTTAAACTTAGAAATTAATACTAAATAATGTAAGACTATATTTAAATAAAATCTTATATAACTGTTTATAAATATGCTCGTCCTGAAACATTGTCTATGCATTGTAATATAAATATTTGGTATGGAGTTTATTAAATATTTACCATATTTGTCTAAATAACTTTAAAAAATAGCTTGTCCTAAATCTGAAATGTCATTGAAACGATTTATGTGAGAAATCTTTTAGTATTTACAAAGCAGTGGGGCTTTAGATTAGTTCCTATATATAGGTTTATATGGCTCTGTCTGTATTCTCAATCAAATCTCTTTTCAATTTCATTTTTATAGGGTTTGTAGTATTATATATAATACCTTTTAGTATGCTGAGAAATACACTTCAGCTTCGTATTTGTTCTCAAAAGACGGCATTCATTCGTTTTTCGATAGGCGTCGACAAAACAGTTCCAAATTAATATTTTGTAGTATATTTCATGTAAGTCAAGCCCCTTAGATGTTATAAGTGTGCAAAAATAAGATACTTGTATATTTCTTGCTAGCCATCAATTGATTGTAACTATGAGCCACGTACGCCCCAGTGATCGGTGTGTCAAGGCACGTCCTCGCTCCCGATTGCCGAAATTGTGCTGTGTGGAGTGCTTGTGTGAAGTTTTAAACTTAATGCCGCGTCACGAGTGTCGCTGCAGTCGCCAAGATATCGGTATGCAGGAAAAGTCGCAGTCCAAGGTGAAGGCCCAAGCCGACAAACGCACGCATCCATTGAAGACCCGCTCAAAGATTCAACCCAGTGTCCTATCTACCTATAAGTCCGTTATCGCTCATTTGCGAAAACAGAAGCGTGAGGCAAAGAAGGTGCGTGGCATAAACGGCGGCAAGGGACCGAAACGCGCCACAAAGAAGTAGATAATTATAACCAATGAGGCAAGGGCAAGGTATAATTCAATGAGAGTAACCAGCATTTGAAGAACGGTCAATAAAAATATTAAAATTTACAAATCCATTGATAATATTCATGTATTCCTGAACCTAGTTGAGCGCATAAAAATAATTCCGAGGCTAAATTTACTTGGCTGAGACTAAAGACTGTTTTTGCTGTAAGGTACCATTTCAATTTAGATAAATATATTGTAATATACAAGTATGTAGTTATATAAAGCATTTTACATTGAAAATAGCTTAATTTTTGTAAAATTCCAACGACGAAAGAATTTCTTAGATTCTACGTCTACGTATGGATAATAGAGAAACGCTATACTTTGCCTGCCTTTTTGAGCTTTAATTTGATGCACTAATACCTCCATCTTAGATATTAATTAGTTAAAGAAGGTATTTGAGAATAACTAAGTTTATTTGTTGATGTATTTCGGTATCATTCAATTGAATTGGTTAAACCACTTGTCGCTATGAAATTAGGCTTTCTCAAAAACTAAATTAAAAATCGTAATAAAGAAATTTCTGAACCCATTGTTGAAATTACATTTAACATTATGTAGGCGGCAGGATAATCAGAATATCGTCGAGGTATTCCGACTAATCCAAAGATATGTTGAGCGAAAAGTGTTAAATATAATAATAAATTTACTTAATACTAGTCTTTTCGAATTTAATGTAAATAATCGGTATTAATAAATGAAGCCTGCTATAATAGCAAATACAACTCAAATTTGAAAGAATCATGAAGGATAATATCAATTGTTGCAATTTTCAATTACAACTTCATTAAGTCCTTCGACAGTGAATAAAAATACAAATCCTAAAGCTCATATAATTGCTGGGAATTAGGATAGTCAGTTTTAACTTTTTTATATTTGTATATTACTTGGTATAAACAACACCATAATGCGTGTACTTCATCTCATCTCTACAATAGTTTACAATTTAGTGCTAAACCTTTAGTTCAATAGATTTCGAAAAGATTTCAATGACAACTATTGAAGTCTAAAATGTCAAAATTAAAAAAATTTTCAAAAATTGCAGAATAAATATTAAAAAAATAACAAATGCAAGTTTGAATTTGTCAAAAAATTATGGTCGTTAAAAACCGACCAGTCCGCCGTGCCCTTTTTTTATATAGTAAGGCCAAGTCATTACATAACTACGAGAAACGGGCTGCGAAAAGTTTGCGTTTACTACGACAGATCAGAGTGGTTCTGATACTGACGTTGCGCACTGTATTGGAAAAAAGGGGGCGAGAGGAGTCTGTGAGAAAAGCTGTTCAAGTGCAGAAATCGTTAAAAAAACACCAGAAAATGCTAACGTCCTTGAGAAGGTCGTTGAAACGGCAAGGCCGTGAGCTGCAGGCCACATTCCAGGAGGATAGGCGCTTAGAACGCAAGCTCCGAAATTTGCAGCAGAAAGCCGAACGTCGCATCAATCTGAGAACTTTCCTGCAGACCTACTTTGCCGATATAAAAAAAATAATAGACTCAGATCAGCCGTACAATCCGAAGGTGCAATCGGTTTTGTCACATAAAACTCAAAACTATTTTTTAACAGAGAGGAATAAATCGAAGGATTTGAGGCCCGCAGTTCAGATGCTACAAAATGCTTTGAATACAATTGCAAAGCCTCGGTACAAAACGCAACGATCAGTACGATTTCATCCGAAATCAAAGAAAATGAGTTATGCAAAGCAATGGAACCTTAAAGATAGCCCCAATGAGCAAATAACAAAATCCAAAGCAAGGAAACATCGAAAGATAAATGTGGGAGATGAGGATCAAGTCGACATACCCGATGCTGCAGAAAGTTTAAAAACTTCTATATCCCAGGTATTCAACATTAAAGTTAAGTAGTTTACGCAAAAGCGCTTTGAATAATTATTAATATTTAAGGTTTTGCATCCCAAAAAACGAATGAGATCGACGAAGAAGTTAAATAAAAAGGAAGTGTTGGCCGAGGAAATTCTAGACGTAAGTAATCCTAGCACTTTAAAAAGACTTTCTACAAACAATTTCACTCTCCAAAAACCCTAAAATAAAACAAGGAACCTAAATATGCTATTATAAACAGAAATGATCAATATATTCAAAAAATTTTTATTCAATGATTTTCTCTCTTAAAGGTTTCGCTTCCCAAAACTCGTAAAAGCTTAAAGAAAAAACATCGGAAATGGAAAGAAGATCCCGCAGACGACGTTACAGACGTAAGTAATCATAAATTTTCGATGAATACTATACAAGACCTAAATATTAAATACACCTATTAAGGAGTCATATTGGAAGTCCCGAAAAAGATTAAGAAAAGGGAAAAAATTGCATAAAAAAGATGAGTCGATATATCAAATGGCAAACGTAAGCAATCTGTTATATACCAAAAGGATCTTTATTCATATTTAGCTACAGATGCAGAAAACGTTACGGAAAATGCATAAAAGGCGACAGTCGAAGAAACGAAAATCTGGAAACACACTGGAATTCAACATAATGCATTTTCTTCAGCGTTTACCCAAATCTGATATGAAGAAGCGAAGACGCCAAACAAATATTGAAGATGACGAGCTTGCGCCCTTCTTGGACGAAGTGAATGTAAAGTAGAAGAGTTTGCTTTAAATCTAGATCCCAAGATGATAAAGAATATATATAAAAATATCATCCAAATGTTAGCAAATAAAATCTATTACTTTTGTTTCAATACAAAATGTGTTAGGGATTATTGTTAGGGTTTTTCTTTAAATAACTTCTACTTAAGATAAAAGTTATTTTCGAAAATGTAAAATGCTTACAACTTTGTCATCTGGGGATCCGAAAACACTAGATAACCTGTTTTGCAAATGTGTGAAATGGAATTGGGAATGAACGGATTTGTTAACTCATTTTTTATTTACATGTCTTTTTTTAGGAGTTAAATCAGAAGCAAAGACGAACACTCTTAGGGGAGCAATTGGCAAATGACTCGAAAGACGTAAGTAGAAAAAAACCATTTCATTTGAAAGTAAAGATTTTTTGTTGTTTTTTAAAAGGAAAAAATAAAGAAGAGAAAGGGTAAGGGTAAGCGCCTACCAAAAATACGCTTAAGAAAAGATAATAGTGTTGACGCAGAAAGTCAACTTGCTTCGTACGAATCGGGAGGCAAGTTGTCCAGTCTAAAAAAGCAGAGTAACTTAAAAACAGCGGAGAGAATCCTAAATATGCTAAATGAGGCAGCAAATGAAACTAAACTGAAGTCGAAAATGAAGGACCACCTGCAGAGAATGCTTTTAAAGTATAAAACTGATGCGGGGAACCAGCGATTGTTATGGTCAAGAAAAGATAAGAAACTCTTGTCCAAAATCGAATTGGCCGTGAAATCGGACAACGTGTACAAAGATAATGTGCATAAGTCAGGGAAGAAGAAGCGAAGAGTACCACTTTCAAAAACTGCAGCCGAAATAGAGAACTTGCAGGCTGAGTTTGAAACGGTGGAAAATATCGTTCGTAAGTTTGAGCGAAATGAAGGCAATGAACAAAAGACAGAGGAAGAAGCGGAAGCCGATTTGAAGAAGCTGGAGGTAAAGGTTAAAACTGTGGAGCAACTCGTAGAGGTTCTGCAGAAATCAAAAAGTGCAATGGAAGAGCCATTGGATGCCGAGACGTCAGCGGATCTGGAGAAACTGGAGGAAAAATTTAAAACTGTCAAACGGATTGTTGAATTGTTAAATAAAGCAATACAAGAAAGGAAGCCTCCGTCAGAGTCCATAGTGGCAGCTGAATTAGATCGGCTATACACTAAGTTTAAGACAATGAGACGTGGCGATCCGTTGCTAAAGTCATTCGTATACAGAAGGAAACATCCAGACGAACAGATGCCAATGCAGGATCAATTGACAACTGGGAAGTCAACTGATCCATCTAAAGGCCAAATCGGGGAAGTTAAAGTTTCGGAACCAGGCCCACCACCCCATCAGAAAGGTAAGCAATTTAGTATATCGGAAGAGCCCCCAGATGTTGTCCCAAATACCGTTTGGGAGAATACGGATATAACAAGCATTGAAGACATAACGAGAAGCTCTGATCTTTCCAATAAGTCGGACCTGCCAAAAATTGAACACACCAAGGCAACTGAAAAGCAGAAATCAAGCAAGAAAAAAGATTCAGGAAAAAAAGGAACCATTAAAGCAGAGTCCAGCTTAGAACCAGTGGCAACGGTGGACAATGTTAATGCTTTATCCGCCAATAGGGTAATGAAATGGAATAAGACACATAGTGTTTTCAGCGCCAAATTGCCGGTTACCGACTTACATACCAAGCAGGAAACTCCACCCACAAAGGGGGACGATTCAGATCAGATGGACGTGAAGCCAAAGCAAAGCTATCTCCCTAATGTACAAAAGTCGATCCATAATGATGTGGGGTATAAGCCAGCACAGTCCTCCGCAACAGAAGAAAATCCACAAATTCCAGTTAAAAAGCAAGTCTCTTATGTAACGTTCTCAGATGCCAAAACGGAAATTCCGCCCGTTCCAGCTCTAGTACCTCTGATGCGAAGCCAACAAAGGGGGGAGGAAGAGTCTAGTGATTCGAGCCTAACATCCACCAAGCGGAATCAGCGCGAGCTGAGAAAGCAATTGGCTTTGAAAAGAGAGGAGGAGAACAAGCTTATGAATAAGGCCCAGCGGCTTTTCCAAATAATAGTGTCGCAAAAGGTTCCCCCTAAACAGTCCGATATAGACTTGCTCAATGAGTATGGCCGTGAACCACAGCAATACAATAACCGATTGAGTTTGCTCTGCGCAAGGTTCAATACTAGGAAGGATAAAGAGCAGAGATGCGATCCATATTTCATTGAGTACACCTACGAAAACATAATGCACGAGATCGAGGAGGCCCAGAGAAATCAAAGAGTATCGGATGAATTGCGAAGCGTAAAGAGCCTCCCATTGGACTGTTCCTCGAGCAATGTACAAAATACAATCTTCGACAATGAATATGTGGAAAATTTGCGCCAAAAATGGAAGAATATTTTTGAAAACACCGAGAAATCGCCCATGGAACTTCAATTGGCAGCCATGAGACAGAAAAAGTTAAAAGAGATGGACATGGCGGAGAAGGCGGAACGACAACGAAAATCTTTGGAGCTTAGAGGTATACGCGCACGAAGACCCCTCAGTGCCTTATACAGTGATCCGCGTTTGACGCATCGTATGCGCAAAGTGCTGGAGGAAATTGGAGTTATGGAAAGGCCAAAAGCGCCCAGGCGGAACTCCTGCCCCATATGTGGTAAACCGAATGCAGTGAAACGACAGCACAGTGACAACAATCAGTTCAAGGATGTCAAGTCCACATCCACGATGGGCAGTCACTATAGCGCATCTGAACATTATAAGGACGCGAAATGTGGACTCCAAGAATGCTTTACATGCACCCAACTGCCCGGAACTTTCTGATGGCTTCACTCAATTCCATTACCTGGTATTTGACTTGGTCGTTCAAATTATGATGTGTTGATATGTTTAGTAATATTGTCAAGAGAGAGATCCCATTATGTGCTCTTTAAAAGCATTCTTCGCGGCTTTAAAGAGTACCTAATGAGCTTTCTTTAGAAGACATGGCTGATAAAATTAGTTACAGCAACATATATGGTGTAGTTCTTTGTGAATGTACTATATAACAAAAATGATAAGAGGGGTTAACAAAATTAGAAAGTGTGTGTGGACATATAGTCCCTTCCTACCTTTTGTTCCAACTGCATGTGTCTATGTATATATAGGGATAGGGTCATTTCAATTCTTAAGATGTATAACAAATATTTCCCAAATTAAACCAATCTCTCCCATCTTTTAAAGGTATAGTTGAGGTTTCATAAGCCACTTATGGATTATCTATATTTAACTATTAACTGTTTATATTCATCAGAACGACATCAACGATTCGTTATGGTTTTAAGATATTATTGATATTTGTTCTTTATAACGTTTTTCATAAGATTTCTTATAAATAAAATAGCTTTTAACACCCAAAGGCTTAACTACGATACCAGTACCAGTCACTGTTCACGGACCGGTTTCCATTAGCCAGGTAGCTTGGCGATCGTTTAAAAACAATATACCACCGATTCTGCAAAGTACCGTTATGTACGATTATAAAGCTTAATCGGAACGCCTATCATTGAAAAGGTGGGCCCAGTAAGAATATGATTTTGATTTAAAACTATATTTTCAATTCTGGGGATTTGGTCGCTTAAGCCATTTTGCCAGTCAAATTTCGACGCGCTAAATAGTTTGTCGAGCCAATTTTAAGTTATGTATTTTAAAAATTAATTAAATATGGGAACCCCTTTTTCATTTTCCCTTGAACCAAACTCTGGCACTTAAGTTATTAAAGAGTCGGTATATAGATAAATGCAACTGAAACTTACCCAAACATTGCAACCGCTTCGGGTTGGAAGGTTTAAAATTCGGTCAATTAAAACGACAGTTAGTGAAAATTTATTACCGTTATTATCGTCAGAGAATACATTAGCTTTTTATATACGATTTCTGAGGTGTATTATTTAATCTGGAATGAATTTAAGCCGTGCATGAAAATGTGAAATGAAAGGTTGCACCTAAATTTGCAACAGCGATAGATTTTACGTGATTTTAAAATTTTAAGATTTACCAGTGTATTTTAAGGTTTACCAGAGTTCAATGACTAGGTATATCCCATGGTCATAAACTGCGAAAGAGGATGATAATTTATGTATGAATGTATTTAAAATACACATGTTTGATTTTGTATAACTCACCATCACTAAAGCTGTTGGTAGGGCACGATTAATATTCCCAATTTCTACCGCGTTCATCACGCTCATTGTCCCAGTTGCGGTGGAAACGCTCGCCTTGTTCCCGTGGTTGAAAGCATTGCCTTTCATCGGGGGATCGGGAACGGCAATTAAATCGGTTCGGTTCGAACTGATCGAACTGATCCTGAGGCGGCGGTGGCTGCCATTCTGGAGAATGTTGTCTTACGAAATTTGGCGGGCGATCTCTCCTTTGCCATGGATCCGCCGACATATCATTGGTGTTGCTCGCAGCTACATTGCCGAACTCACCAAAATTGCCTGAATCTGACCATGCTTCAGGCCCCTGGTCAATGGAATGCATATGAAAGAAATCTGCTTCTGGTGGTGGTCCAGGTGATTGTGACCGTGAAGGTGACGGCGATGTACCCATCATATAACTAGAACAAGACGGTTGTTCCATGATGTTTGGAGGTGTTCTAACAGTGTTGGGCTTTTTGTTGGCTTTTCTATCCCTTACTTCTGGCCGAAAGTTGCGCACACGGTTGCTCTTTGGTCGCATTTTTACTCGCCCAAAAGCATAGTTTAGTTTATTTCCCAATGCGTTCAACTTATCGGCAGAGGCGGGGTCAACCGATAAAGCGATCTCTTCTGCGGTACCCTTTGTGATTCTATGGATAACTCGCCACGCACCAACTCGAAGGCCAACATTCTGCCCTTCGACGAGCTGCAAAATTTCATCGGTTGTAGAGTCCGCCGAATACGGAAAGTATCCTACGTAGATTACCGAGCGTTTCATATCTGCGACAGGCACAACTCTTGCTTCTGCACCGGGCCAGAGTTTAAGTCTCGGCATTGTCTCCATTAGCCAATCGGCTGTACCGTCGTTTTCACACCATAACTGCAGCCAGCCCGTACTCAAGTTACACCTCGCAAATGTGGGCTTTAGTGCTCCATCTCGTTGATTTCGAATGGCACTCAGAATTGCCCCCTGTATGGTGGTAAGTTGGTTTACTGTCCACAATTCATCCGGATATTGGGCAGGGATCACAGCCAGTTTAATTTTTTTTTGGTTTGGTTGCTTAGCTCTCATGAGATTGGGTCTATCGTTGACTGGTGGCGATCTGGTGTCCAGATTAACAGCTGGTGCATTCATAGTCTCCGTGTAAGATCGCCGAAATGTGCGTTCCTCGGAATATCTCTCCAGTTTCGGTTGTGGGGACCATGACCGGTCATTCATTGGACTCTGCGACCGCCTAATGGGAGAATCACGGTTGTAACCTGGGTCCGGGAAATAGTTCTCCCGTTTTACTGGTGGGGAGAACGAGCGATTATTCATTGGATTCTGGACCAGCATTATGGGAGAATCACGGTCGCCGAAGCCTGGGTCCTGAGAATATTTCTCCAGTTTTGGTGGTGGAGACAACGACCGATTACTTATTGGATTCTGGGCCAGCCCTTTAGCAGTTTCATGGTCATAACCTTTGAGCAGAAAATGCTTTAAGCGTTTCTTTCCGGCACCGCTAAGCCGCAAGATACTAGAATTGTAACTCTGCTCTTCAGTTGGACTGCGAAGATCTCTTGAGCCCCCTGCATTCGGTTGATCTCTTGGGTAATCTGCACGGTTTTCGGCGAGTCTTTGGCCTGTTTCTTTGGCCACAAGCTGCCGTTTTCTTCCGGCACCGCTAAGCCTTCTCCGGCAAGCATAAACATTAAAGTTGACCGGCTTTTTAGATTCGTTATGAGAGATGTTTCTCATGTTTCCCACACGAAGGTTGGGGATCATGGCAAGCTTTGTAGCCTCTTCTCTATCGTAACCTTGGGCCATGTATTGCCTTCGTCGTTTTCGACCGGCTCCACTAAGCTTTGCCACAACCGGCGACGTAAATGTCTTAACTTTTGTCGGAGGTTTCTCCTCGTCTGATATATTTATCGGTTCGCGAAATGCGATAGCAGGTTTATTATCTGCCAGTTGGTTTGTTGGCTCCTCAGCCTTTAAATAGTTTTTTGTATTAGTTTCATTCATTTTGGGTCCCACGAGTATAGGGGAAAGGAGGTCCACCGCCACAGAGCCCCTATGCTGCGGTAAGGCTAAATACAACCGGAGGGCGCCAGGTATCCGGAGGCCACCGTTCAAAGACACAATAACGCAGTGCCATTCACCTCATAGGCACGGTTCGATTGACACCTGAAGTTGCGGGTTTTATCGAGTTTTCCTCTCTAGATCCGCCATATTTAGTTTAGAGCAGGGGCACCTCGGGCAGGATGTGACTCTGCGTCACGTATGGTCGGTCTTGGGTCAGTGACAACATTTGCCAAATAACCCCTGGTAGCTCTACCTTGGCCCCCATAATCTGTAATAGATTATTTCGTTATTTTCAGATATTTACCAATAGGACTACCCAATTAACTTCTCTTATGTATAAATTGGGATCACAGTTTTATACAAAACTCGTTGAAGATGCTTTTAGTTTCAAAGATATAGTTGCGATATTACTTACATGATTGCATTAACTTGCAAAGAAGTTTAGCGAAGTTGGCCAGATCAGGAAATAATACAAAAGCCAAAATGAATCAAACTGAAAGTAAATTTTAGGTTATTTGATGTTAAGAGGTCATTTGAATGGACACTTACAGTTATTTGTTAGGAGGTACACTCGTAGATCTCTAGGCTTTCAAAGAAAATCAATTTGTGAAGCGGCTTTTGTTTTTAAATACTGTATTTTTATTTTCGATTTAATTCTCAATTCATATGTACATACATACACGACAAAATGGGACATATAGTCGGTCTCAGATAAAAGAAGCATAACTTTAACAACAGATTACTAGGTGCAACTCATTTCTATGTTAAATAAATCATAAATGTGAAAATGTCAGCCATCAATAAATATTATTGACTTACAACTGAATACTATTTTTCAATTAACTATTTATTTTTCATTTTTTACCAGAAGCAATTAAACAAATGGAAGGCTATGCTCTTTTTATGTGAGACATAAGATATGTAACTCTAAAATAATTAATTAAAAGTATATGAATAAAATGATTTGTATTTTCTGTAATTAAATTTTGTCATGTGTTCGAGCTGCGCTTGGGGAATTGGAGCTCTGACTGAGGCGTGACAACGGGAGCTAAAAAAGTCCTCCCTTCTTTCACAATTCTGCCACCCCTTTTTTGCAGAGCATCCATTCCACTAGCTGTTTGAATTTAAGCATTTACATATACGTATTATTAAAATAGTTTGAAGCAAGTGCGGTTTTAATTAATTTTTGTAAGCCTTAAAAAGCAAGAAATGTTCTTAAACTTAAACACAAAAGGGCACATGTATACATACATATATATTTAGCGTTTGCTTTTTAGCTAAAATAAGCAATAAACAATCAATTGCGTTACTTTTCTTTTAAATTTAAATTAAACTAATTGGGCTTCATTTTTCATGGTTATTTCATGATTGTATATATAGGCGTGTATATATATATATATATAGATAGATTCTTGTATATAGTATATGCATTTATATATAAACACACAAAAATATTGGAGTCCTTTACGTGTGAGAAAAAGATATACAAAAAAAATTCTTTAAGTCTCAGGTTTTGTGTCTTTTGTTGACCATTTTCGAGTTTCTTGTACTTTTTGTGGGTTGTCATCAGATAGACTGTCTTTTTGTTATTGTGGTTCGTGCTTTTACAAATATTGCATATTAATTATTATTATTGTGTAAATAAATACAATGTTTTGGGGAAAACCTATGGAAACTGTTGCTAAAGAGCGCTTATCAACTAAATATTTGGAATTGGAGCGAAGGTTTTCTTTTTGTGTAAACATATAACTAGCTTGTACATCTCTATATATAAAAGTTAAAGTATACATAGATGGAATGACACACGAGTGTCTTTTTTGAGTTACGAGTTTGATTCAAAGTTTCAGAGCCTGACTTACGAAATAGGTGCAATAAGAGAGTCGGTTTTGGTGTGTTGTCTCGTTGATGTGCTGGGCAAAATTTCTAAATAGCTTTAAATGCCGACGAGTCTTTAAAGTTCTTCGAGAGTTTTTTGATTGCAACATTTTTGATTGGGTCTGCGCGCTGGGTCTGCCTGCAGACGAGACGACGTTTGGTTTGTGAAGGCAACAAATCGGAGAATGTACACATTAAATTCTGCTAAATTAATATAAAATGCAAGCAACTTAGATGAGAGCGTAACTTAACATGATGATGCTTAAATCTACGAACATGGGGCACGCAGTTGACGCTGGTTGATGATAATATATAATATATATATATTTATGAGCATATTGAGAGCACACAAAACGGGTCGGTGTGTCCTTCCTTGTTTACGTGTGTGTGTGTTTGTTGGTCAAATGGAAACCACAACCATTAACAAATTTTGGCATCTATATATGCTGCAAGCAAGAAAGTAAAAGCTTATAAAGAGGTGACTACAGAGAGAGACACAAAGAGGAAAATGGACTTTAATACTCACAACTAATTAAATTAACATTCAGTTAAAACAGCACAGTTTGATTTATTGATTCATGGGTGGCATTGGTATGGTACACTTAGTGTTATCCATAAAGTTTGGCGGGCCACCTGTTTAAAGAAAAGACAATAGGCAATCAGAATGGCGATTAAACGAACGATCTGCTTTTAGCAATCCTTGTGGAACCTTTTAAGATGATATATAAATATATAGATATTTACAACAAACAAACATTTATAAAAACATATTTAGAAACATTTATCGAACAGAAACATACATATTTATTTGTTTTCGACACATTGTGGAAAATATTTTGAACAACCTGTCAAACTTTCTATATTTTATTTCAGTTGTATATGGAATAATATAGGACACAAATCCTGTAAGGGTAAAGAATAAAATCTCAATTTCTAATCATCTTTTTTTTTTTAATAAAATTAAAATTTTAATTTCTACAAGTATTAAAATCACAACAGACCATTTGCCATATTACGCAAAAATTTCGATAACCTCTTCTTTACTAATAACCTCAATTTAGATTAGGTTCGATTAACCTGCTTTCTTCTGTTTTATTAGAACTTTTGTATTAAATAAAAATCAATAATACTATTATTTTTCAAGCTAGGGTACTTTCAGAGCTATTTTCTGGTAGCCAGAAATAATTTAATTCACTAGTAAAAGATTTCGTTTTTTAGAAGCAATCTTTACATCTTTAAAGAACTTTGCAAGAAGTGAGAACCAATTGTAAACTGCCATAGCTATTCTGATATTCATGTCAGTAACTAAAACGACTTTGGCTTTAATATTATAACAAAATATGAGGCCCAGGCTATATTATAATTTTACTGTAAGCAAATATAACTCAGAAATCATGCTTCCCAAAGGAAGGTACAGTTTTCAAATGTTCAACGATCCGAAAAAGATGTTGGAAGCAATTTAAAGCAACTAATTAACGATGCATATTTTAGATCATATATTTTGCTTCCTTTATAATAGCAGGATAAGACTTTGTGCTTATCTATGCGTTGATGAGGCTGATCTCTTCAGGTTTTGGGTTGTGGTTCGGCTTACCATGCATATGACTCATATGTCTACTGCCAGCATTGCCATGATGATGATTATATAGACTGGCCAGCGGTGGCACATTGTATGGTGGTGGCGGTGGTGGTGGCATAGCCACTTGTTGCTGTTGTTGCTGCTGTGCTTGATAGTTAGAAACGCTGCGCATATGCAAATAGGGCACTGGAGGTGCAGCTAGCTGTTGTTGTTGTTGCTGTTGGAGTGGTGTTGGTGGTGGTGTGGGTGTGCTTGGCGGTGTATTTGTGCTCTGGCACGGACTATTTAGATTGCGAGTCACGGCATTGTTCGAAATTTGTTGCAAGAGACGGCAATCGGCGGCCGTATAAACAGGCGCACTGAGCGGTGGTGGCTCATGCTGGAATGTTGTGTGGTGCTGGTGGTGGTGTTGTGTGTGGTGTGGTAGTGGGTGCTGCTGCTGTGGCTGCTGTTGGGCGTACGAGCCGTGCCCACTGTCGCACGATGAAACGGAACCTGTGGTTGTGTTATCAAAAAGAGTAGAGTACAGAATAGAGAGAAGAGCGAAAACGTAGCAAAGAGTGCCATGTATTGCCAAGCAGTGTGTAGAGTAGAGTAGAATGCATAGATAGGTGTAATAGCTAAGAAGGCAGCGTTGACTGCCTGGTGCAATAAAGTGTCTTAGAACCAACCACCGAGCCTCAACCCAGCAACCAACCACCAAGCAGGGGAATACAGCAATAGAGCGAGAGTATGTGAGAGACTAAGGCGAACCTAGCCAGCAACGGATACAATTTTGGCAACTAGAGTTAGGCTACATTACGCATTAAATTCTAGATCTAAGACTATATAAGGTCTGGTTTTAGTAGCACCATAAAGCGTTAAATTGCCAATCAAAATCTACACTTACCGGAAGTCACGGATTTGCGAAGCGGTAAATCACGAAAAGTAGTCACACTACTGCTCTCCACCGACAAATCCACAGAAGGCAGCGGTGGTGGGGGCGCTGGCGTATCTGAGTGCGAACGCTCGTGTATGGCGCGTGCGGGAATGATATTGCCTGCAAAGATATTAGTATTATATCAGACTAATGGGATTTCAATTGCAGATTAGCCAGCTACGTAACTTAGCCTTAAACTAAACGATTGATAGTGTATGTGGAAGATTATTCAAGCGTCGAGTTAAGCAACTATTTAGTAAACAAATTATAAATACATAAATGATGAATTCGAATGCTATAAACTTATCTTTTGAATTGCAATCACATCATTTTGAGCTTAATTATCTGTATACTTTGATTTAAATAGTAGTATTACACTTAAATGAGAATAAAACAGGAACCTTAAGCCCCCCGAACGCACTGTCCACTGCCAGCAGTTGCGATTGTGTGCTGTGCACTTTGAATAAATGCTTCATTAGTTTTATTAAATTTTAACAACAATTGGTTAGTGGGTACATTTGATTCCATTATTACAGTAGAGCTTTCAAGGCCCATTTATTTAAGGAATCTGTGCGCCATTTATTTCTTTGCTTTGCTTACTCAATGAATAAAACTCGCAGCCAATTTTGATGTTTCTTAGATATTTGTATATGGATTTCACAGAATAATTCGGTTTTAAAACATTTTCTTTTATTCGCACCACGTGCTTTGCGCAAATCTTTAGTTGCATTTAATTCACGTGACTAAGGCTAGATTTGTTTTTGGAACATGCAGCCCATTATTCACAGGTTTTCACTTTATTATTGTATCGAAAGTTTTAAAATACTTGTAAGTGTAATTTCAACAAAATTACGCAAATAATGAGATTAATAGAACTGCACGGGCTGCTGGAGTTGCCTGAACTTTCTGCAGTAAAGTTAAAGATGCGATAACACCCCAAAAATGTACAGTATTGGAAAATTTCGATGCAATTTAAATCGTGTCAGTGGCGTCATAAAAGCGCAGTGTTCGGCGAAACGCTTTGAATTTCAGCCATTTGCTTTCAGTTGGAAACTGGTCCTATTATTTGCTTTCCAATTGAATATAATAATATATATGGATTATATATAGGGATTGTTATTAACCTACAAAAAATTAAATAGTGTTCCAAAATACTTTTGTCCTTTTACATAAATAGGATATCGATAACTTCTTTATGAATTTAAACCACGGAAACCGTAAATTTCCACAGTTTTGAGCGATATTGTTTCTGATTTTGGAACTTTAAAGTCGTTAAAGTTTGTTACGTAATAAGGCTAACATTTAATTTCTAATATTATATCTAAAATCGCATTACTTTTCGTGGAAGATAATTATGTTGGGTTGTTAAGTATACCAGTAAAAACAACTCTACTTACCACTCGAGGCCAGCCGGCGATGTGCGCAGGGACTAGGACTGGGCGTGCACTGTGAATTGACGAGCGGCGTGGTGTTGGGGCCGCCCAAAGCCACGGGCGTGGTGAAGCCATGTGCCGCATGCATGTGATGCAGCGGCGGAATGACGCCCGGTATAGCCGAACCGTGTCGCGGTACAAACGGCTGATGTGGTCGAACCTTCGAGGATTCCGAAAGGGCCAGCATTTTCTTAACCGCTTGTGGTGAGGCGGTGCCAAATTTGGGTCCATTGTTGTGCAGCTGTCGTCGATTGTGATCGCTGGTGGAGCTTGTCGAACTGGTGGTGGAGAGTGTCGGGGAGCTTGGATGTCGTTTGCGTAATGACAGCGACGAATTGGGCGCCGATGAGGATGAGGTATGTGAATAGATGCTCAGCTGATCGCCGGCATTGCCGGAATTGCCGCTACTGACGCCGATGTTGCTGCCACCACCGATACTGCCGCCGCCAACACTGCGATGCGATGTATTGCCATGTGAAATGCTGCCCGAATACGTGGAGCCATGCGCCGGCTCGCATTCGAGCGACAATTTGTGGAGGATGTCCTCATCGCTGATTATCTTCAGACTGTTCAAGTAGGCCTTGACGCGGCGCACCATTTGCGCTTCTTCGAACATTTTCTTAGGATTGGGAGCGGCAGTGCTCTTCTTGCGTCGCTTAATGGTTGCCTGTCCAGCATTTGCCGCAATGACGGTGCCGGTCGCAGCATTTGTTTGCGATGCAGACATCTGATTGAGTGAAAAGAGCGCATTGGAGGGCGATTGACCTTTGAGTTCGAGTATGGCGAGTAAATCGTAGGGCGAACTACACATGTGCGTCAGGAGTCGCACCTCCTTGGACAGCATGCGCAGCTTCTCGAAGTTAATGAGTCCATCCACTCGCGTATCATTGCCCAAGTGTATGAAAGTTAGATCCTTCTTGACAATGGGATAAAAGGGTATTATGGGATGCTGGGCCAGAAGTTCCGCCGAGACAAGCTGCCGATATTTGGACATATTGCGCGAGGGATCCATCAGATCCTGAAGATCATTGAACAAACGCTGATATTTCGAGGGCAATTTTTCCCAGGTGAGACGTAAACGCGACACCGCGCCATGTCCCAGTCCCGAAATAATGGCGAACATGGAATTAAAATTGCGACATTCCTTGCAATGGCGTGCAATCTTGATAAATTGTTTCACGATCTTCATGCGTCGCACGATGTTGTGCTCCGTACATATTTCGCTCACTACCCAGAACATTTCGCGATTGACCAAATCTGCAAATTTGGAGAGCATAGGCACGCCATATTTCGAGGGCAGTTCAAAGAGCTCGTCTATATATTCAGTAGACTCGATCTGGCGAAAATTGGCAAAGTCCTGCAGTGTCAGCTGTATGGCCAGCTCGTAGGCATTGAGCTGAAGAAAATGGACACTCGACTCACGCACCAATTCCAGCGCCAATTCGTCTGGGACCAGCGGTTCCGTGCTGTCGTTCAGCTTTAAATAATAGCGAGCCGCAAAGCTGATGCGTTCGGCAAGATTTTGTAGCTGATCGGGCAGACGACGTTGCTTTACCATGCCGCCCTCGCCAACACTCACCTCGCACAGCGAGAAATTCGAGCTGGGATCGTGTATTCCAAACTCCTGTAGCGTCAGCATAACCACCTCATGAGCCGTCGTCTCCTTGTAGATGAGTACATATTTGCAGGTCTGATCCGATTTATACACCTTGAGCACGTGCTCCGGGTAATCGGGCAGCATGTGCGCTGAACTGCTTGTCAACGTGCTCGCTGCTGATGGTCGATGAATGTGGGAATTCAAATAGTTGACATGCAGCGCATTGGTGTCCTCATAGTTAAGCGTGGTGAGGTTTGGATTGGAGCGGGATTGATAGAGACGGCCGTTACTGGAGCTGCCGGGTAAAGAAACGGCGCAGCTGTTGCCCGCCGATTGTGTGGAATTAGATGAGGAGGCAGAGGATGTTGTGGACAGTTTGGTTTTGGACAAACCACCATTGGCAGTTGCCTCATTGATCAGCGTGTCGGAGGAATCATTGAGACTAGACTGCTGCAGGCCACCCATGTGTTTGTTGAGCAAATTCATCTTCGCCAACGCCTTCTGCAGACGACGTTTGGGTGCCAGGGTCATAAAGCCACCCGCCTTCGCGCCTGTCACACCCTCTGGCGCCTGCTCCACGCCAGTTAACGATGACTTCTTGGCCGAAGTGTTCACACTCTGCAGCAGCTGTTGCATAAAATTCGATGCCATGCTGCCGCTACTGATGGGTGGCGTCTGTGGTGGTGCACAATCAGTTTGATCCCCGGGCGCATGCATCAGCATGTCCACCGAACTGAGGCGAGCTATATGAGCTCGATTTGTGGTCAGGTCGTCTGTGGTGGACTCAGAGCGTCCGTGAAGCTTTGCTATGTCGTTGGCGCAAATGCGTCGAGGGCTGCGTATTGCTTTGAAAGATCCTGAGCTGCTGCCGCCTGCAGAGCCATTATTCCCGCTCTGACTGTGTTCCATAGCCTGCATAATCTCCTTGAATCCCAGCAAATTGCTCTTCACATTGATGCTCAAATGTGTGGTGCTCGTCAGCAATTCCATCGCTCTCTTGCTGGTTACATGATCCAATGAGTTTCCATTAACCTCATGTATTTGATCGCCACGCTTAAGACCCACATCCTGCGCCTTCGATCCAGGCTCCACCTGTGATATATAGATGCCGACTGTGGCATTTCCTGTTGCAGCGGCCACGCCGCGCAGCTCGTAGCCACCAATGATTTGAAAGTTGAGCGGTTCATCGCGAGAGGAGCGCGTCAGTGTGCAGCTCCTCATGCGCGCCTTGGCAGCGCATGCGATGTGCAGCAAACGCAGCTGGCTCAGCAGCTTCTTGCGCTCCAAGCCCGCTTCGAATATTTCCAGGAACTCCATCATCTCGTGGTCTGCCTCGAAATCAGTGAAATGATTGTTTACCCAAAGCAGCACGACACGCGTGACACGATCACGAAGCTCCTGCGACTTGTGCGACTCCAGCTGATCGAGATCGAACCAGTGGAGTAGTTTGCTGGTTACCTCCTGTGGATTCTGAATGAATATGCGATGTGTGAGCAAGAAATCCTCCACATAAGTGGGATCTGTCATTGAGTTCTCCTCTACGAGCTGCTGCAGCAGACGCTCCGGCGTGCCGCGGATGACCACATGGCCACGTTTTGTATTTAGTGAGGTTCCTGTGATACTGCTTCCAGCAGAAGATGCGGCACACTCTGCCCCACTTCCGCCAATAGAACGCAATTCTGTTACCATTACCACTCGACCCTCTTCATCTTCGTGCCGGCGTGTATTCTCCTCACCCTGATGCTGGATGCGATAATAATCTGTTTGCGTGATGCACACAAATTGACAGTCATCGCATTTGGTACGCATCACTCCCCGATGATAGAGCTTATCCATCGTGGGCAGAATGCCAAACGAATCGCCCATCTGTAGTTCCTCCCGTGTGCCATTCCCATGCTCGATTTCTACGGCCCCATTGATTAACACCGACCAGGAGTCTAACTCCTCGCCATCGGACATGACCACAGTACCAGCTTTGTCCACAACCGCAAAGACCATGACGGAGCAAAGAGCACGCCGCACAGCCAGCGTAATGTTGGTGAAGGCCTTAAGGCCTTGTGTGAATTCCAGCAAGATTTCCACATCGTCTTCGGTACGCTCTGATGGATCCTTCTCTAGGCAATCGCGCACTGCGTCGCGAACATTGAGACTCTGTTGAAATAAATGAATGGATATGATCAGTTTTCGAAAAGATCAGTTTTAAAAGATCCTAAGTAAAATATGCAAGTACTCTGTAAGCAGGTTTTTAAAATGATTCGCCCAGATAAAAGCTTAAAACAGCTTGTTTTGATAACTAGTACATCAGTTCGATTGATTCTAACAATATCGATAGATTACACTATTTTAATGAATTTATTTAATGTAATTTTTAAAAGTTTGTGAAACAAGCATGCGTCAATCAATTCATAACGTATATTTATTTTTCTATCATGCGTACGGGACGCAGGCGAACTTTAATTAATGATTCATATGCTAATTTGTACGAAGTATGTATTTAGTTTTGTTGGGTCTTGGATGATTCAAGGTCTTGCTTCCACAGACTATAACTTACTGAACTAAACTGTTTTACTAATTTCTTTATGTTTTAATTTATCTTGACTCATTAACTTTTACAATAACACCCACAAACAAAAAAAAAAAAATTATTCGCCGTCCAGTTTTGAAAATCACATCAATTATAAGCCCAGCTGTTAGATTTTCTGATATCATGCAAATGATTGGCTAAATCAATTGTACATTACTTTCGACATTCTAGATGTCCCCTGCTTGGATTTATTTTACTTACATCTATGCTTTCGGCGAGATCCTCCTCATCGGAGTCCACCACCGACTCCACGAGGCCGGAGAGATCAATCTCCTCGGCCTCCAGCGATGAGCCGTAGGCAGAGGCCATTGTGTCGCTACCGCTGTACGCTGAACTTGTGTCACTCGAATGTGAGCCGCGATTGCATTTTTGATGCAATTCCGGTCGATTGTTGGTGGCAGCGCCTGTTGCGCTTATTGCTGCTGCTGTTGTTGGTGGTGTGGGTGGATACTGTCAAGAGATCGCAAATTGGCATACAATTGGGCCACAGTTAAGCTCGAGTGCTAGCTACTCACATGATGTCTGATATGATGATATTGATCCATTAGTTGTTGCTGCCGATGCCTTTGTTGATGATGCAGATGTAGATCTTTGGAGTTGGCAACCGCATGCCAATAATGGATATGCTGATATGTGTGTGTATCTCTCAAGTTTAGTATTAATGGCTAGCTGTAAAAAAAAACAACAACAACAGCGACAACAAAAGAAGCACGTTAGCAACAATATTGGCAACTTGAAGAAATAATTAAGCGAAATTAAGTAAGACAAAAATGAAATCGCTTAAATCTTGCCATAGTTAGCAAAAGTTGTGTGTGAGACTTTATTAGTCAATTTTGTTTGTCTTGCTGTTATTGTTGTTGTTGTTGCCGCTGCTGTGGTTTGCTTTTGTTTTTGGCTTTTGTGGGCGCACAATTTGCCGTAGTACCAACACACTTTCATTTTCTGCAACAACAACAACAACAATAATAATAATGGCAGCGACAGCAAAAACAATGCTACCAATAAATTAAGCTGTACAACAACAACAACCACAACATAATAAACAAAAAGCAACGACAACGGAAAAAAAGAGAAATAAATTCTCATGCAATTGAGTTGCTGACGCTGTCACTGCTCAGCCAGCGTCAACGTCGGCGTTGGCATCAGCGTCAAATATGTGTGGGAGCGCTTAGCGCTGCCGTGTCGGCAGCTACTGCATGTATGTGTGTGTGTGTGCTCACTGCTTGATTGTTTTGTGTGTAGGGGGCGACACAGAAAATAGTAAAACGAAAAGAAAAAAAAAATTGTAGGCGACGACTTCCGTTCGCTGCGCTGCGCTGCGCGTTGGATAAGCCATTATAATAAAAAAAACGAAAACTATGTTATTGCAAAATCAAAGTATAATAAATAAAACACACTTTGCACTTTGAATACACACACGCACACATACAGCCAGACATACACACATCTACACAAACACTAAATATGGGCGTGTTGTACAGTTCAATGATTTTGCCAGCCCCTATGCACACAAGTCCATCGTATTTATATTTATAACATTGTTGCACATGCTAATTATACGCACACTATTTTTTTTTGCACAACGCGTGTAATTCGCTCACTTTCTTGCGCTGTTTTTTGTGGCCTGTTGGTTGTACTCGCACTCGCTGCTTGCTTTGCATAAAGAAATTTCAGCTAGCGTGTGTGTGTATGTGTGCGCGTTGTGAGCTGCGCATTTTTGGAATATTTTTCACTCACACACACGCGCGCAGATTTTGCACAATATTTGTAAAATCGTTCGTGTTTGTTTTTATGCCGCCTCAAAGTAGCTTTTTTCTGATTACTCCACTTTTTCGAACAATTTTTGAGCTGGCGATTGCATTTTAAATTACAAAACTAAGCAATAGAGCAGAAGTTAACGACGCGTCTTAAAGTGTGACCACACTTTGAATGCTCAAAATACCTAAAAAGTATGTAAGGCCAATGGCTGCCAATAACAGTGATGCCATCTGGTTGTAGAGGGAATAAATACAACTGATATGGTAGCTTCATTTAGCTACATTCAAAAATAGGAACTAGTTCGTTCATTTAATGTTCGGTTGTTTATTTGCAATTGTTTACAATTTCGTTACAGCTGATGAGCTGTGTTGTTTACTTGAAGAATCACTCGGAGCTGACAAATAAATAATGTGTACTTTAACGTGTCGCACCTGTGTCACGCCCACTTCTAGTCAAGTATACAAGCTCCAGGAAAAGGCGACAAAGCATAATAAAGTTATTTGGGAAATGCTTGCTGATGTCTGCTCCCTAGATGTGAGTTAAATATATCTAAAATGTGCAATTATTTATTGTTATCTTTATCATGCAGCCCAATAATGCACTGCCGCAGCACCTATGCTCCGACTGTTTGCAGCGGCTGCAGGATGCCTATGAATTTGTCCTGCAGGCCAGGCAAGCGAACGACGAGCTGTTGGCTAAATTGGAGAGTTCCTTTTCAGTGGAACAGTTTATGGATGTTAAAGTGGAGGACAATAAGCCGATCCCAGACACAGATCAAGAGGAGCTGCCGAAATACACAGAGGGAGACTCAGAGTAAGTGATAAACAGATGCCTCGAATTTCATTTAACATTTCTTTTACAGCAAATTCGATGAGATGCCGCTCAAGGAAAGGCTGCAACTTTTACGCAAACAAAGAAATTGTAAAACAGCCGAGAGCCCTAACGATCCCTTAGCTAGCGACCTGTCGGAAATATGCGATGGCCAAGTGTAAGAAACTAGTCTTTGCTGTTGCCATTTTAATTAATCTTATTCCATGTTACAGAAAATTGAAAGAATGGAACAATCAAGCAGATTGTGGCAGCCAGAATGAAAGCGCTTTAGTCGGGAAACAATATAAATGCGATCAGTGTGACAAATCCTACTATTGGCCCGCCAGTCTCATATCCCACATGCGCAAGCACACATCTAAAAGCAATTGGCTCACGTGTCCAAATTGTCCGCACAAATTCTATCGCAAGGACAACATGATGGCTCACATGCGAAATAAACATGGTGCGCCCCGCGCCTACAAACGCTCCGGCTCTACACTCCCTAAAGTAACGGAGCTGGACATTAGCCTGTGCCTGCCACATGGCACTAAAAGGATTCAATGCATGCTCTGTTTGCAGAACTTCTCAAAAATTGCCCTGCTGGCCAAACATTTGCAAGCTCACGCCGACCAAGCGGATGAGGTTTGTGTGGCCAGCGAGACGCGTCGCGAAATCGCCTCCAGCTTTTTCGCCGATGCCAACAACGTGGATGAGGCACATCTAAAGCAACGCATATGCGAGTACTTGAACGAGCAGAAGTTCTCGCCATTCTATTCGATAACCAACCAGTCTGGTCGCGAACTGAGTCTGGAAAGCTCCGAGACGGACAGCGATTTTGAGGAGGAGCAGCGGAAAATAAATGCCTTGGCCTCGCGTTACAATTGCGAGCTCTGCTCTCTCAGCTATGCTCGCAAATATCAATTGTTCGATCACCAGCGCCAGCAACACGACTGGCTGGAGGCCCCCAATGTGTGTGCGCGTTGCCAGGCGCGCTTCGTCAATGCCGAGCTCCTGCAGCAGCACCGTACACGGCAATGCAACAACGTTCAGAAGCTATACATCTGCAAGTATTGTCGAGCGCGTTTTCAGTGGCGCCAAAACCTGAGGACTCACTACGCCGTGCACAGAAATAAGGTTTGTATTAGCAGCAGGCCACCAAAATAGAAATATCAAAATTGTCCGCTCTTCCCACGCCAAACAGCAAATTGAATTATCGGCCGTCAGCCTTTCCTCAACTATGTTTTCCCTACAGCTAAAATGGCAGAACATTTTATTTTATGTCTGATGGTATATCTAAATATTCCTAGTGAAGTGGAAGGTAGATAGCTCTCAGTATATGCTTCGAACAGTGTTTTGATGATTAATCTGTTGTTTATTTGTAACATCAGTAAACGGTTTTAATTCTTTTGACCATTGTTTTCCAGAATACTGTCGTCCATTGCTCGCTGTGTGATCGCACATTTCGGGATGCTCGCGGCCTCCACACTCATAATCTGAGCATGCACGCCGACAAGTCCAGCTTCATGAGCTGTCATTGGTGCAACCTGAAGTTCTATAGACGTGACTTTCTGCTTCGACATCTGCAGCGACGGCATGGCCTCAAAGAGCAGTATTTGCCACTTGCCGAAACCCTCCTCGCCGCCACATCGCAGCCAAATGGTCAAAAGCGCATCGCCTGTAAAGTTTGCGATATTAGTTTTACGAAAATGAAGGAGCTGCGCTCTCATTTGCTCTGCAATGCGGCTGCTCATCATAGCTACGACTCCGCCTTGAACTATTCCATTACGAATGCGCAGGGCTTCGAGCTGCATTTGGATGACACCGACACGGACTCTGATGCAGACCAGGATGAGCATCCGGCAGCCGCCAAATACACCTGCTCGCTGTGTCAGGTGCAGTGTCGGCGCATCTATGAGCTCCAGCAACACCAGCGCGCCATGCATCCGTACGATGAGCTGCCATATGCCTGCGGCAAGTGTATCTTCAAGTGCGCTGCCAAGGTAAGTAGACATCGTATAATCTATAATACTATTCCTATTCAAGTTGCTGTTGTTTGCTGGCAGCCCCTGTTGGAACGCCACGAACGCAGTCAGTGCCTTAATGTGGATAAGCAACTGAACTGTGCGCTGTGTAGTTATAAATTTATGTGGCCAGAGAACTTGCAGCTGCATGTGCGTCTGCAACATGCCACTGGGGCGGCTGGAAGTTCTACTCCAGCTCCTGCTTGCGAATCCAGCACAGATCTGTTGCGTTGTCCGCACTGCGATCGCACCTATCAGCTGCAGGCTCGTCTACGAAATCACATACGCGATGTGCACTCCGAGGATGGGCCCAAGAAGGCAAAGGAGGCGCGACTGTTCCTCTGCTCGCAGTGCGGCATCAATTTACGCTCCAGAGGCGAATTGCAGCTCCACACCCGACGCCACAACAACGACAAACCCTTCAAGTGTGATCTGTGCAAGATGGCATTCGTCTCCTTCTTTGAATTGAAACTGCACCGTCGCAAGCACACCGGCGAGAAACCCTATCAATGTACCTTTTGCCAAAAGGCTTTTGCGCGCTCTGACAAATTGCGCGTCCATCAGGCCACCCACAAGGATAAACGCAAATAAACTACCACATCCGAAAGCCTATAATTGGTCTACTTAATCGAAGAAAAATATTGAAAACGACTCTGATAAAAATAGAAACTACTGTGGAAGCTAACGCACATGGGGTCGGTGCTGTTCCAGGCTTTGGATAGCGATAAGCTATGTTTAGTTTAACAAATATTAGTTAACTTAATAAGTCCGGCTTTAATTTCCCTGCAAGTTAAATTTTATTTGTCTGATCATCATTGTAATTGGTCTATTGCCAAAAATGTGATCCCACGATTAGAAACCGGACTTTAGAAATGAAATATTAAAGTATTGTAAATAAAGTATTATAAATTATAGCATAGTTTTTTTATTTATTACATTATTAAACCACCAGCCAATATCTAAATTTAAGGTCCTAAACAAGAGATAAATAAATGGAGCTCAGAGAGTTTTACTTCTAGTATATTCTTCCTTCTCTTTCTTATCTATAAATGGGCTGTATCTATAAAAAACACTCTTCGCTTTGTAAACTCCAATGTAGAACTCTCGATTGCGGTACTCGTTGCATGTTCAATTAAAACTTAGAGTCGCAGAGACTCTTCTTTAAATAATAATCCAAGCATGGGCCTGCTAATTCAAGATTAAATAAAACTTTAAAAGGACGTCTCCGGAACACCTCCCCTATTAGAAATTTTCCATAATTCGATAAAAGGCCAATTTTAAAGCGAGTTATAGAATTGAATCTGCTGTTCTTGTTCTTAGTTTTTTTTTCTAATTCACAGTTCATTTAAAAAAATAAATGTTATGGGAAAATCAAAGTATAACTATGGATAAGTTGCATTAGTTTTCACATTACTTACCAATTTATTGTTATTCGAAGATCCATTTATAATAGGTAGAAGAATAGCTAATAGCAGCGTTATAATTTTGAGAAGATTGCTGAACATTATGCTCAGCTCAGCTTTCGGTAGTGTCGTTGATGCAAGACTGAGATCAAATCCGACTAAACACACGCTTTTCAACGAATATTCCTCCTCCTATAGAGAGATCAAAGATTAACAGATTATCATTAATCTGCTATATGGGGTGTGGAATTCAATTCTTCAAAAATGTATTGTGAGATTTAGATTTCACAATCGAGTTAAGCCACATCTATGATTGGCAAAATCTCTGATAAGGTCTTAAGCTAGACGTTAGTAGCTGGATTTGATTCGAATATCGGAATATTAATAGAGATTAATAGATCTTCAATATCGTTGGCGTATATTATTTACAATGCCTCGCTATATATTCATTTTCTCATTTCGATTCTGATTATTCTGTACATTATTGTTCGCTGGAATAAGTATTTTAGTTAAATGTTGCATTATGTAATGGGTATGGTTATTTATTTATTGTTTTTATTATTTTATGTATTTAAGTAGCGGGCAAAACAGTCGGATATTTGGTGTTCCATTTCTGCATTAGCTTTTTTTTTTTAATTAAATGAATAAACAACACACAAACTATGAACATCTGATAACAGATATACTATATATATAAAATATGCCTGTTTCTTTTTGCTTATCAGTTAGGAATGGACAGATTTTACTTGAGATTACCTGTTTGAAATGAATGTTTTAGGACATCTTATGACATTAAATTAAATTCGGTAATTGTAAGTAATTAGCCACTGGGAGTTGTGCTTTGCAAACAGACACTCTTTAAGCAATTTATTCGACTTGTAATTCAACAGGCAGTCGCCGGCTTAGGCCCCTCCAGGCGCGGACTCCATTGGCGATATTCGATTTGTGTGGCTGCCTCGTACTCCTGCACCAAACAGTCCACAGTGTCGCGTGCCGAGTCCAGCTCGGATAAGTCCTCCTTGAACATGGACTCCCGTCGAAACTGATCCAAGAACGCGTTACGCTTCTTCAGTTTATCGTATTGAGCTAGAGCGCGATTGAAAAGCGTGCTAATGGAAGTATTGTTTGCCATCATTAGGCCCGACACCTTGTGAGCAGTTTGCACATAGGGGGAGCTACGCGACAAGGCCACCTCAATGCTGGCCGGCCCCCAGGGTATGAAATGGGCCAGTTTGCGATCCCGTATACGCTGCAGTGATTTGTGGACTTGCGTTGGATCCACCTCGCCCTGCAAAGTATAACGAATATAAATGGGCCAAGCATTGGGCAGATTTTTAAGTTCTTGCCTGTATTATGTTGAGAATCGATATATAACAGTGACGATTTTGTTTATCGGCGGCCGACGAAACCATCATATTCTTGGGCTGCAACAGCCTACGCATTACGTCCAGTACAGTGGTCTTGCGCACATTTGTTTTAGTCTACAATTTGGAACCGGTAAGTGGAAAGGAAAAACGTGCGTTCAAAAGCCAAAACCCACCTCATAGTCGGTAATCAACGGCGTGTAGCCCGTCATGAGAAAGTGTAGCTGCGGCGTAGGTATCAGAGGTGCCGTCAATCCAATCAGGTTGTTGTTCATATACGAAGGGTAGCGCAATGTACTCGTACTTACGCTCATAATGGTTGAAACCAGATTGTTGATCTGCGAGAACGTGGGCGTTTGAATATGCAACCGTTCCGTGGCAATGCGATTCAGTGCCGTGTTGTCCAGCACCACAACAGAGTCCGCACACATGGTTAGACGCTTTAGAGTTAATATTGAATTATACGGCTGGACAACCACATCACTGATCTCGTCCTGATTGGGAAACACACTGTAGGTTTGTATGAGTTTCTTGGGAAAATGATCAGCCAAGCTCTCCAGCATGTAGGAACCCATACCGGAACCAGTGCCACCAGCGATGCTGTGGCAGAGCACAAAACCCTCGAGTGAATCGCTGCCATCGGCTTCGCGATCAATTATGTCCAGCACCTCCTCCTGGACTCGTTCGCCCTGGGAGAATCCCGAGGCCCAATTGTTGCCAGCGCCCCCACCATGCTTCGATAGATAGACGTTCTCGGGATTGTAGAGCTAAATGGAAGACTCTTCCATTATATAGACATATTTAACCATGGTGCTTGTGAAAGATTACCTTGGCATGGGATGAGCTCATTATGTTGTGAATGACTCGCGGCTCCAAGTCAATCAGTACTGCCCGTGGTATGTAATGGTTGTCGTCGGCCTGGTAGAAGAAGACGTCCTTGCGGTCAATGTCTCCGGTGGCAAAGTCCTCCAGAACGCCATCTGGTGAAATGCCGTGCTCCAAGCACAGGCGTTTCCAGAACTCAAAGCCAACTGAATATGCAGATGCTCCGTTAAATGCCAATCATATTTAGTTCCATTTACTCACTCTGATTGCCACATTGGCCCAATTGTAGTGTAATTATTTCGCTCGGCATTTTCTGCGCTTTTTTTTTAGTTACTTTCCACTAATCCAGTCTTTGCACATAACGGATCTTTTAAAGCGCGCGCAACAGCTGTCAAAGCTTTGGTAACGGAGTTGGAGTTGGTGCTTCAGCCCTGGTCGCAGCTGCTGCGCGCGTTGCCAACCAAACAATGCGCCATTTTTTTCAATGCATTACAAGCTTCTTTAAAGCTTTTTAGCAGCTGAAATAAAACCAATTTATTTGCCAGCTCTTAGCGCTTTAATTTAATTTATCAGAAATTGCACAATTTAAATCCACAAAATAATCATTTAATTTTTTAGAAAATTCACAATTTAATTCTACATTTGCCAGAGCTTAGGTACTTGGTATGAGAATCGCAGAGGAGAGCGGCCACCATATTTTTATTTAATTTATTGGAAATTGCACAATTTAAATCCACAAAATAATCATTAATTTTTCAGAAAATTCACAATTTAATTCTACATTTGCCAGAGCTTAGGTACTTAGTATGAGAATCGCAGAGGAGGGCGGTCACAATATTTTTATTTAATTTACCAGAAATTTCACAATTTAAATCCACAAAATAATAATTTAATTTTTTAGAAAATTCCCAATTTCATTCTACATTTGCCAGCGCTTAGGTACTTGGTATGAGAATCGCAGAGGAGGGCGGCCACAATATTTTTATTTAATTTACCAGAAATTTCACAATTTAAATCCACAAAATAATCATTAATTTTTCAGAAAATTCACAATTTAATTCTACATTTGCCAGAGCTTAGGTACTTGGTATGAGAATCGCAGAGGAGGGCGGTCACAATATTTTTATTTAATTTACCAGAAATTTCACAATTTAAATCCACAAAAAAATCATTTAATTTTTTAAAAAACTCACAATTTAATTCTACATTTGCCAGAAAATTCACAATTTAATTCTACATTTGCCAGAGCTTAGGTACTTGGTATGAGAATCGCAGAGGAGGGCGGTCACAATATTTTTATTTAATTTACCAGAAATTTCACAATTTAAATCCACAAAATAATTATATAATTTAGCAGAAAATTCACAATTTAATTCTCGTTTTGCCAGCGCTTAGGTACTTGGTATGAGAATCGCAGAGGAGGGCGGCCACAATATTTTTATTTAATTTATTGGAAATTTCACAATTTAAATCCACAAAATAATTATATAATTTAGCAAAAAATTCACCATTTAATTCTCGTTTTGCCAGCGCTTAGGTACTTGGTATGAGAATCGCAGAGGAGGTTTCAGGATTGAATCACTCTGTTTAACGTAGGAGAACCATTTAAAAGCTTTTTATTTGCGGAAATAATGTCCTCTAAAATCGAATCCCACAAAATAGGTAGAAAGTGCTGTTTTTTTGAGACTGTTCGTTATAAAAAAAATAGAGTGCTGTTTCTAGGTCTTAAAATCTATGTAATTTGTATTTTGGTCCTCATTACGAAAAGATTTGGCCAATCTTACGTGTTTTAAAAAGTTTGCTTCGTGTTGAAAAATTTTTTTTCATATTATCTTTTGTATTGATCGTTGATCATCGAGGGGGGCTTTATAAGGTTGTTCATATTTTAATTATTATATTTATTTACATATTTATTTCCGACCAGTGTTATCCATTATTTGACGAATTGAACGAATCACCACAACTGGCTAGTTCGGAACGCCCCATCTCCGAGGGCTGTGGGGTTAAAATATTACTAGATAAGATAAAAATCCACCTTGTCTGCCATCCCAGAAAAAGTGTCCACGAAACACAAACAAATTTTTATTGAAAGAAGTGAGTCCCGCGGGAGCTCTCACAACGCCATCCCCCAGCTTCTCTGCTCCATAAAGGCCGGAAAGGGCTCAAAATGCGTACCAATTTCAATAAGCTGCTTCGACTTAATGCAAAGCAAGCGACTTAAATGCATGTTTGTGCCATTATTGATGACCTTAGATACATATTGCAGCCCCTGCCACCTGCCCCCTGCCCTCTGCCCACCCACAACTGGATGGCCGGATAAAAAGCAACATGTTTTCTTTGCGGCTTGCTCGCCCATTTCTTGGGGGTTGTCAGTGAAGGGCACGAGGGTGTGAAACTAGCGTGGCGAATTGGCGAAGGGTGCAGGGTGCAGGGCACGTGGCTTAAAACACACACAAACATGGCATAGAAAAGAAAATAATAAACATAAAAAGCCAAATCCTAAAGGCACAACTCGCCTTCTTTTTTTCCGCTCTGCGCCGTGTCTCCGTAAGACTTGGGCGTGGGCTTAGCTGATGACTTCATGTCCCCAAGGTGTGCGGAGGGCTGGCTGGCAATGCAACGACGGCTTACCCACTGACATCGTCTGCATTTTTATGGCTTGTATCCTGGCCAGGTTTATGGCTTTAAGAAATATTATATTTATACATAAATTTCCAATGAAATCAGAGGGCAGAATTATAATAAAAAAAACAAAACTAAAAAGCATTCGCATTGATAAGTGTTAAAAAATCGATTGCAACAAAAATATGAGTGCAATGAGTGTTGAAAATACTATAACTATGGGTTACAATATATACATATATAGTCAGCAGTCAAGCTTATGAACATCCTTACAATCGAAGAATATCAGAGCTTATTTTATAAACAATATGTTAAAGAAATTTTTTAGAAAATAGGTAATGGCCGATATTGCAATTCACAAAAAGTATTGTTGAATTTTGATAATATATTTTCCAATGGCTAATGCCTTAGACTTCCAAGAAACAAACTAACTCAATACTCGGTACGGCTACTGTTTCGTTTCAGAAATTTCCAAAATTGTGGTAAATATTTATTGATAAAATGCAACTAGAGAAGAGTTCTAAATTTTTCTTGTTGTCAAAATTTGCCTCTAATTTAAAAGATTTTGAAAGCTTCACATAAAAATAAAGTTAATAAAGTTATATTTAAGTAGAATACGTACTTGAAACTTTTTACTGAACATTAAGGGGTTTTAAATTTTTCATGAAATGTGGAAAATTTGAATAATTAATTTATGATTTATTCAAATGAGATTATTGGTGCCATATATTTACAATTTGGAACTGCGATAGAGGGAACATATCTGTGACGTTGATTTAAAGGTATTTTCGATCATATTCATATAGGTATTTCCCATTTGTAATAAATGTTCTTGGTGCATATTTTTTCAATGCTTTAAAAATCTAGACACACTTTTGCTTTCCATGCATGCCAGTTTGAAGCTTTTGGCCGGCATTTTTGTGTGTTGTTAACCCTCTGGGCACATTTGGTGCTTTGTGTGTCCTTTTTGTTCTGCTTTGTTGTCCTTTGCTGCTTACAATAAAATCAAAGATTGCGTCTGGGACTTTGTTTTCGCAAGCCTTCGAACAAAAATAAGTCAAATAAGCACAGACGGTCAGAGAAGTTGTGAGCATCACGCCCCCAGAGACAAAGGGCGGTCGGAGTGGGTGGAGGGCTGCACCAAATAGCTTATTGATTTAGATTACAAACAGAAGGAAGAACTTTAAATTAAAGCACCATGAAATATGCAAGCTCTATGGACAGTGTCCATAGCCCACATCTTGTTGATATTTTTTTCCGCTTGCCTTTGTCGTACGTTTTACTGCCGGCGTTTTTTCCAATTAGCAACAATTCGGCGCGTTCAAAATCCCAAGCAAGAGCAACCTAAACCACACAAATAATTACGTTGCTGCCAAACACAGCTGGGGGCAAAGCAGCACAAACAATAATAACGGTGGCAGGACGAAGGAACACGGGAGCTGGCAACAGGAGTCCTTCGTACGAAGAACAGCCACACTGTAGTAAAAATGTGCAACTTCCGTTTGCGGATTAAATGTGTGCGTCCCGCACAGCCAAAGCCAAAGTAGAATGTCCAATTGGACACCAGCCAGCAGTAACGACTGTGCCCGAGCACAGTGGGGCAAGTCAATGAGGTTTCGGAACCACAAATATGCATTTATGCAAAGAAATTAAAGTGTGTACGAGAGATAAAAATAGAATATATTAAAAGAGCATTTGGGCAATTGAAGACTAGCCCAAAAATAGTTCAAACATAAAATTGTTTGAATTTAAAAAGTATTAAAGGTTGATGATGATGGTACCTGGATTGTATTTGAAAATATTCAGAAATTAATATTCATTAGGTACTTTAAGAAGCAATGATATAAGTTTCTTTACAGAGAACTAACAACGTGATCACAATTTCTTGTTCTATAATACTACTTACTTACAGCTGTAAATGGTCCGTCATTAGCATTTCTTTTCGCTGTAGTTCTGACTGTCAAAATTCAGCAATAAATTAAATATTAGTTACTGCAGAGTGTTCATGGGTTCATTTCGAACTTTATTGAACAATGGCTTCCATAATTGAGTCAGTATTAGAGTCCAAAGACCTCTATTAAACTAAATAAACATACAATAAAATATGTAATTGAATTAATATATTTAAAATTAGTGGCAACCAACCACATGCTCTTCTTGATCTTCCATATTTTTTAATATTAAAATAAACTAGAAATTGAAATGAAATTGAATATAAATTAAAACATGAATGTTCAGAATAATAGTTTGATGATCACTAAATTAAAAAATATTTGAATAATAAAATGGTTGTTGTTACTTACGCATTTATTGAAATTTATTGAAATTTTCTGCTACTTGCCTCACGGTGCGACCGTGGTTGAGTCGCCATCGTGGGGGCGTCAACAAAATCTGTCTGTAATTGAGCTTGAGAGTCACAGCTGGTCGGTGGACTTAACAATGCGATGATGAGCTACAGCGGGCCCAAGTTCCCTTTCCAGTTTGAATTAATAAGTTTATTATTTTCAATTTCACATCCTCCTAAGTAGTGGATTTGTATTTTATGTTATTTAATTTGCGTATGCTCAGCCAGACAAGGGCTCGACAAATACAGTTGGCCAGGTGTGGCCAATAAGACCAGCAAAGACTTCCGCAAGCCCGTCCTCAAAACAGTCTCAAAAAATTGGTAAAAGAATTTTCCGAAAGTTTGTGAACTTCTCTGGTTTTCTTGAGCTCGTCTCAATTAAAAGAAAGATTTGTCTTGCATTTCCATTTATTTATTCGATAGTGTACCTAAAATTTAAATGTTCATTATAATTTTCGCTTTAAACTGTTGTATGCATTGCCACTTAAGCTAAGTACTCGTACATTGCAAATATGCATTCTTCACTTGCCTTGTTTTCAATGCGCCTAAACTTCTCTTAACATGATTGTGCTCAACATTTTTCTCTTTGTTTTACTTGTATTATATGTATGTGTTTGAATGCGTCTATACTCGTAGCTATAATGTATAATCTTTAATCAATTGAAGAACTCAATATTTGTATTTTATCATGAATTACATGCAATAATTTATAATAAATTGATTCGTTGCAATTGAAACGTTTTCTTGAACATTAAAATTATTTTGTTACACTATTAATATGTTCATTAATTTAATCACACCCAACAAATTAGCTTAAATAGAACGCCAACATTTTTGGTATCGCCTTATTTGAATAAAATGAAAGTGAATTATTAGCAAAATTGGATGCCTTCAATGAAATCGGAATAAAATAATATCGTTGGAAGGCGTTGTGCTTAATTTTTGAGCGAAAACTTTACGCTAAATTATGGAATTTATAGTTAATTCGTTTTGAAAAGATATTCGGCAGGCCGAAACGAATATTCTAGTACTTACAATAATTTAATCTTTAATTCTTAACCTTTTCAGTTTTTGTTTTCCTACAGCGAAACCTTTTTGAAGCTTTTCACAACAAAATCGTGCAAAAATACTAATGGAAAGCAGAAAAGGCACAGGGAAAATTTTTTGGAAATTAGTTTCCGAGAGAGTGGTGGAAAATAAAGTCCTGATATGCGTCTAATTGACTTAGTACAGATATCATTAGCCGATGCTGATGATTGAACGTAGCATCAAATTTAGATGAGAAATATGCGTTAATTATTTTTAAATGGGCAGTTTTAAGCTTTTTGCGGTTGAAATACAAATTTTTGTCCCTTTTGTTTTTGCTTTTTTGTATACATTTTTTTTTTTTTGGTTTTTTTCGTGAAACTTTTATTGTCAAAATTATATGCAGGTTTTTACTCATCAAAATTCAATTTTGAGTTGTAGTGGATAGATCTAGAGGGGGCGCATAGGTCTACGTTTATATAAATATAGAGTTCAATTCATTCATTATTTCATATTTTATATTACTTGTATATATACACTTAAAGCAAAACACAATTATTTAATCATGTAGATACAATAGATAGATAGAGAGCGTTCAGGTGGAGGAGCGATAGGTACACACATATGTCAATGGTTTTACTTCCAGATTCTATTTGATAGAATACGCGTATAATACTACAGAGATTTTGCTTATCATACTTGTATACCCCTATGTATGAAGGTATTTGTTTTGTGTGTAAAACTGAAATGTCTGTGTACATATATCAGCAATGATATTTACATATTTCTAATCTAAATTTGGTTATTTAGTTGAAACTTAGTCTATTACATCGAACTTAAGGCTACGCTACAGCTAAGCATTTCCTGTTTTTTTTTTTTTGCTTTTCAGTAGTGTCTATACCCTAAAAATCCGTAAGTTTTTTTTACCAATAAACATCCTTTCCGCGTATTCCCACTAAAATATTTGATTTCATTTTCAATTTGGATGAAGCCTTTGAAGCTGAATGAACGGACAACAGCAATTTTTTTATAATTATATTCATCGATCGATAAATGTAGCTCTGTTTAGAATCTATAGCTAGTTTATAGTGTCGATGTGTTTTATCTGAAAAATTAAAGTAGAGAAAAGTAGAGAAATTTGTGCTCTTAGTTGATATGCAACGTGTTGGAAAGGATATCGTTATAACGACGACAAGCCGTAGTTTTCACTTTTAATTGATAGTTTTTTAAATGCATTCTCGCTTAGATGCATAAAATTCGCATTGATTTTTACTTTTTATTCTCTGCCGTATATGTATGAGTAAGTATTTTGAAATAATTTTAAAATCGCGTGTAACTTTGTATGTTTTTTTTTCTTGAATTTACCAAACAACTTTTTAATACATTAGCGTGTGGGTGCTGGGCTTAAAACCCAAGTTCTTGCGTTGCAAAAATAGATGTATTTCCCGAAAATTGGGGCGACTCGATTCGTTGCGCTGCCAGCACTCGCACATGAGATCGTAAATTTCGCGCGGACAGTTGAGCGGCATGGGCAGCAGTTCCTGCAATTAGTGTGGAATAAAATAAACAAATTTAAATCAAACAACATATATACATAAGTGCTGGTATCTCTTCGCAAAGCGCCCGATACTTACATGCATCTTGTCGTCCTGATAGATATGTCCAATGTTTTCAATAACGTTTGCATCCGTCATGTGCTCGTAGGGTTGTTCGCGTGCAAAAGTCAAAATCTCCCAGAGGGCAACAGCAAAGGACCAGACGTCCGATTTGGTGCTGAATTTTCCCTGCAAAACAAAAGAACCTCTTGAGTTTCTACTTCGCAATACGAAGCAAGCAAATTACAATAATTGCAAATGTCTTTCAAATGGAAAAATAGCTTAATATTTATGGAAAATGTGCCAAAAACAACTTAAAACTGCTGTGAAAGTGTATTCGTTTGTACAACCAATTGGACGCTTTTGTAATCGCTGATCTTTGCATATAAGTTTAATCTGCATTTAAGTTTTAAAGATTAAGTCTTTGCATATAAGTTTAATTTATGTTTTAAAGATTAATTGCTTAAGAGCAGGAATTTGTTTTAACAAATTACAAAACAGTGCTGCTTTTAAAACTAATTGATGTTTGAAAAGTGTGTTATTTTTTTCAAAAGCAGAAAACCTTAAAACAAAACAATATAAAAAATATATAAAGTTAAATACAACTTTGAAAAATGTTCCCCTTGTTTGGCATTCTTAAGCATAGATACATTAAAGCAGTACGAAACATATATGTATTATTAAATTATTATAATTAATTTTATATCATTTCATTTGCCATCCGGCCTAAATGAAACAGGAATAAAATAACTGACTGATAAAAAACAGAATGCAATCGTAAGCCAATTAATTAAGTAGCTATCCTACAATACCATAGATAAGAAGAAATCCCTGCTTGGTTAGTAGATAAACGACAGGCGATATTGTTTATACAACATAAGTAGTTGTAAGCAAGAAATCCAATAGATATATGTATATAAGAGCAGTAATTTAAGTAATAAAGGAAGTCTAAAATGAAATTCAACATTTCAAATGTACTGGCATTTTCTATAAAGAATTAAATTACTGATGTCCTTGTGTATTTTTACACATCATATATATAAATGTTAAATCAATGTCTAACTAATTTATTACCAACAAACAAAACGTAGAATTTATGTGAAATATTTCAGCCTCGCCAGTACAATGTGGATTGTCATTTGTTTTATTAATAATCGAGCATGGCCAAAAAAAGGTTTCTATATATTTCGCTTTTGGCTCAAGGATTTGTGTGACGTCAGCTTTTGTTATTTCCGTTGTGGTTATTGTTGAATTGTTTTTGTTTTGCCTTCGAACTCCAACACGCACCAAAGCGCTATTCATGTACATATGCTGTTTTGTTTTGTGTGTGTGTGTGTGTGTATGTGTGTGTGTGTGTTACTTACATCCTGTGGCTCTGTTTCCGCATGGCAATGTTTGTTGTGTCTGTTTTGGGTGAATACTCATGTGTGAGTGCGGGGGAGGGGAGGGGGGGATTGCTTGCAACTGTTGCTGTTGTTCTCCACTGCCTTGCCCCAAAGGCAATGAAAACCCAAAAGCCGCTTGTATAACAACCTTTGCAGCCCACACACACACACACACATTCCACCTACGGTCTCTTTTTCCACACACACAAGCACATACATATATGCATGTATATCCATGTATGGTTGAATGTACAAACATATTCGTTTGTCCGTTCGTTCCTGTATTTGTGCGTTAGTCGCATTTTTCGTGTAGTTAATTAATTTATTTAGTGCGGTTTTTCGCTCTGGGATTTATAAAATATTTCACCACTTTTTTGTGCACCTTTTCCAGTCCTACTTTTTTTATTCGGACTGAATTAAAAATTGTAAATTATGGTTTCGCCTAACACGAACTAAATGTTTTGTTGTCGTTTTTGATTAGTTCCGTGCCACAAAGGATATGACATGGATGGATTACAGCGGATTCCTGTACGTAGAGGAACTCGGTTGTTGCAAACAAATTCCATTGAAAATTAAAAATTTGCTAAGTTCATTCAATATCGATAAGTGCTATATGTGGCTATATTCTGTAAAATTGCTTGCTTCCTGAGAGCGTATTCAAATGGTTTATAATTGGCTTAGCATGGCAAAATTGTTTTCCAATATTGAAAGTCTCTACATATAATCAATCCCTAAAATCCTGAACAAGCTTTTTTATAGAGAGAATTGAGTGCACTTAAAATATAGTATTGAATTAAGCATTAAATAGATAACATTTCAAGAGCAGATTGTTAGCAATTTGCTTCGATTAAAGGGAACTTTATAAACAACCATACAAGAGTGCATCCCAACACTCCATTAATATTTGAAATTTTCCAACAAATCAAACACACAAATTTTAAAATAAATCCTTTTTTATGGCATATTTATGGAAGATCTGTTTAAGGTAAGCCTCCTGTTTGGAGGTAAGCCAATACCCTTTGAAAAGCATGATTCATACATTAGTGTTAAGAATTTCAATTATTGAAATGCGTTGTGAAAATAGTAGCTGCCATGACATGGTGGTGAAGAGAAAATAATAGAAATTGTCAGTTAATATCGGTTACATGTATCCACAAACTGTAGCTGTAAGTATGCTCTTCATATGCTTTGGACTTGTCATTCCCGTTAATTTGTTTCCCTTCTGTGAAATGAAATAGATTGGCACACCTGTGCTTTTCATACCACACGCGCTCGTTTGCGAAACAACCCATTATTACATTGCGTTTAAGCATCAATGGCGAAACGAAAACTGACATAAATCTGCAGCTTAAAGACACAGCACAGAAAAAGCAAATTAAAAATAATTAACACAATTACAACTCATTTTGCTGTCAAGCTGCTTGAAGTTGCCTGCGTTCTTGCCGTCTTTCAGTCATTTGTGCCATGTCCGTGTCCAGAGGACCTTTCACCCGCCCACAACAGCACTGTTCATTAATTTTTAATTATAAACTTGCGCTTTGGCGCACACTTCATGTAGCAAAGAAAAGGAGCACGACACAAAACAACAACAACAACAACAACAAAAAAATGAAGAAAAACGAGACAAAAAAGTTGATAAGGTGCGCCAGATATTGGCACAATTGAAGTAAACGAGCTGAGTTTTAAGTTTGAAGTGCAACCAATGCCATTTTTAATTAGTAGGGAGGTAGGGAGGTAGAGAGGTGGGGAACTTACCAGCAGGACACTCTCCCAGGCCATCCAGCGAATGGGCATCGGTTGTGTTTGACGGCCGCTGGTGCCCTCCAATTGACAGTAGTCCGACACATAGGCCGAACGGTTTATCACAGTGCCAATGGAACAGACCTTGACGCTGAGCTCCGGTCCAATGATGCAACTCCTGCAAGGGGAAAGATAAAATGAAAAGTTTCATTAATTTATGCACATGTCAAAAATCGGTAGCAACATTGAGAATTCAATTAAAAATACCAGAAATTAAATAAACAAACACTTCCGCAGGGCAAATGGCAACGACTCAGCCAGCCAGCCAGCCAGTCAGTTAGTCAGTCAGTCAGTTAGTCATCCAGGCAGGATATGCTGTTTGCTGACAGAACTTGATTGCTTCGTCGACATCGTCTCCTCATCATCATAGACCGAGTCCGAGTCCGTGTCAGCGTCAGAGTCATCCTCCTTGGCGTCGCATGCATTTCAAATGAGACGCCAGCGCAAAACCACCCTCTGTCACATTTTACTGTAGTCTACTTCAAGGGGTTGCTGCCGTTGGCTGCCAACAGTGCCGGTGCAAAACAGATTCTACGCTACGTTTGGAAGCTGGCAAGTGGTCAGTGTGTTAAGCCCGAGGGCAGACAGAAGGCTGCTCTCCTGCTTTGTATTTTTGTATTATTGTTTCAGTTGTCGTTTGTGCTTTAACCCACCAACAAAGTTAACCCACAGGAAGCAACAGAGTATGGGCAAGAGGAGAGACAACAACAACAACAACAAAAACAACAACGACAGTACGTTGGGATCAACAAACGTTCAAGCATGACTGAAAATGACAATATAAGCGAAGCTGTAGCGAGACCAACTGCATACATAGAGGAGTAAATGAAACCATGAAACGGTAAACACAATCAGCATTTGATATCGTGCGAATAAGATAAATAAAAAATACAAAAACAAGAAGTTAGGTAAATATATTGCGGTAGATGCGGCTTGAGGTTATGACCGAGGACAGCTAGCAGGCCATAGAAATGAAAAACGAGTGCGGAACAGAAGCAAAAACAAAAGTATATACTTAGCTTAAAGTAAGGCTGAAAGGCTTAGCCGATATGAACAACAAAACATCCCTCAGCGAACTGATCTCTCATCGTCATATGCAAGACTGCTACAAGTTTAAACTATTTTAAGAATTCTTGATTTTATTTAATCATTGAGGCTGGGTGGAAAAGAGCTGTGCCTGAGTTTGAGGGACTGCGGTGGTTAATGGGTATTTGCCAAAAACAGGGGTGGATGTTCAAGAACGATGTTTGCACGGAAAATTCGACGTAGACAATTTTTTTCTTGAGTATTGGAAAACGAAAGATTTGTATGAGCTGGCCTTAACCACATACTTATAAAGTAAATACAAGTATGACTTAAAATAAAGCCATGTACGCTTCAATATTAAAAAAAAGTTAAAAGAAACTGAATAGATAAGTAAATTAATTCAGCAGGCAGTTATATAAAAGCAGTTTTATTTTAAATTTGTTTGAAAGCAGATTGAAAGTAAGTATTAGATGAAGTGTGTTGTATGGAGGTTAATACTTTCAGGTTTACCCCAAATTAATAAACTTAAAAAGTTAATCTGGTCTGAAATTGGTTCCAAAAGTATGAAACTTTAATATGAAAAATAAGCTCTGATTGGTTTTAGGCTTGTTCAAAAATTGTTTAGACACATATCATCAAATTTATTTAAGGTATGGTTTAAAAAATGATTCAACTGCTAAATGAAGCCTAAATGGATTAAAGAGAAAAACTAACGACTTGTTCACTCAAAGAAGTAAATGAATTTCCAATTCGCGAGTTAAAAAGCACCTGAAAGTTCAACAAGTTCGCTTATTCTAAGTAGTTCCTATAACCAGGAGATGGATAGGAGAAATGGATGTCCATTTGTGGCAATGTTGTAAATGCTCGCTTCTCTTTTCCTTCATTTGTGCACACAAAAGTTGATAGTTGAAAGATGGTTGCAATCTTTCCAATTTTCCAACAAATACTGTCTTAAAAACTCGAAAAAGCTATACCAAACAATTGCTTGAATAGGATAAATGGACTTTCTTTCAGTCGCAATTCGATACCTATATCAACATCCCATTGCGCACATACTTGTATCGCACATCTGGCCATCAAACAAATTCATTAAAGAAAATTCAATCAAATATGCAAAGACGATGGCAGCAATCGTCCAAGCATTATGAGCGGACCGCATTACACATAAGCAGACAGCTCTGACGTGCATAATTTCCTGTTGTTGCCTGGACTCTTGCGGGTAATATCATACTTGTACGCAAAAGGATATGAAGTGCTGTCATATTACAAATAAAATGTCTGACTCAAGTGCGCCATCAAGCGTCAAGTGAAGCGTCGAGTTGTTTTTCCTGTCTACGTGTATGTTCTGTAATGCGTTTAGGCCGAATTGCAAACCGCACGCCACTTGCCACTTGCCACTCGCCACCCACAATCCACAATCCACCACCGATTGGCAGGCACAGGCATGGGACCATCCCTCCTGGTGGCAGGGCAGGTTCTGATTTCGTGCGTTATAGATTTCGATTCCTGAGACAACAATTGAATTTGTGTTGAGTGAAAGGTTTAATTTTCAGCTGACATGCGACGATATATTCGTAATGTTAGTTGCAACACAGATCAAGTGGCATGCAATCCTCGACTTGGGGATGGATTGTTAGGGGGGAGGGCGCCGGCAGCAGCACGCCTGTTGAGTGACTAGTTAAGTAGGCTTGTCTAGGAAGTTTACGCATAGGCTTGGATTTTCATTTTTCTCTCTTGACATGTATTGACAATGACACTGACACGTGTCGAGGCTTTGCGCCGGGGTGGAAATCGCACAAATACAGCAGTAGCTACAGTTTTGGGCTGTCTCTGTGCTGTCGCTATGTTGGGTTAAGTGGCCAGAGATATTGTGAGGAAAACGAGCAAGCTTATGAATAAAGTGTACTTTAACATTTGCACGTTGTCATTGAAATCTAAGCTTTAATATGTTGCACAGGATATAAGTATTTTATCTAAATAACATTTATGTGTTTATTATTTAATTTCTATACCTTTAACGGGTTAAATCAAATTACTTGTATTCTATACTCAACATGAATAATTGCTCATTCGTTCTTTGCCTTTGAAATTCAAATAAAACTGACGCTACAATTAGCAGGCACTGTCAATCGTGTCTTGGGTTGAAATCAAATCAAATCAGTTGTAAACATTTTTAAAAATGTAATTCTTAAGCCAGAAATTCAAAAATACAATGATTGTTTAGCGCAGTGGCAAATTTTAGCAATAGAAACAATAGAGTTTAAAAAAACAAACATCAAAGCACCCATAATATTATCCTTATATATTCAATGGGCAGTTCATTGATCTATAATTCAGTAATTTATTTAAGCAGAAATATTTATCTTAAAAGGAAAAAAGACATTTTTTTAGTTTAAAATATTGTTTTCTGGAAAACTTTTTTTAAAATTGATTTTCTATGTTTTTCGGCTTAAGACTAACGGAGTTTAGATAGATATTTGTATACTGAGAACAAATTGAAAGCACATGCTTTCTTATAAATATCTTGAGCTCGAGCCGCCAAACAGACAAAACGACACTATTATTAATGGTAATTTAATTAAAATCCAATAATTGTTTCAATTGTAGTTCGGGTTAGACTTTCAAAAATTGTCAACTAAGTTCTTTTATTGGAAAGTCTTTGTGGTTTTTGGCTTGATTTTGGAAGCGAAGGGACAGTTTTTTTGTACAGCATACAAAAGTCTTACTACACTAATAATTCAGCTAACTTAGGGAGCACTTTAGTCTTTAATATAATATTAATGGTTAATAGAGATAATATATTTATAAATTGCATTATCAATATATTTAAATGTACATACTTTAATATTGGAAATATTTGAAGAAACCTCTAAATACACTAAGTTTCTTACCTCGTCAAGGGGGTTTCTATATTGTTATCTACATACTCGTCTCTCTATTGAATTTTAAGTAACTAATCTAGTTAAGTAGTGTTGTAAGCCTGTTTGGCTATGAAAATAGTTGAAGAAAGGCTGTGAATCACTTGCCTATATTTCATTGCCCATATCTCATTACTAATTATTTCACATGCCTGCAGGAATCCGCAAACGTGGCTCCCATTTAGTTAGTACTCGCAACACTCTCAATTACCTGTACTTGAAGCAACTTTGAAGCACCTGCGCAGTGTGCGCTCAATTAGCTGAAATTGCTGAAAATTTACACGCTCTGCGCGTCTTCAGCTCCTGTCTATACGACCGGCCAGATCCATTATCTACAGTAGCCGACAGGTCCAGCAGGGGCAGGAGCTGGAGAGGGAGCTGGAGCAGGAGTACGAGTACGAAAAGGAGCAGGGCGGGCTAACCAACTGACGTCCTGCAACCGCACTGTTAACCCAATTAATGTGCGCTAAAACACAAAACTCGACCATAAATTCAGCAAAGAAAAATATTCCATAAAATAAAAGCCGGGCGTATGCCCGCTTGCTCTGCTGGCCAGCGCCAATTAAAAAGCGCCATAAAAATTTGTAAGCTGACCAACAAATTAAAGCGCCAAAATTGTGCAACTGGCAAAAGCAACAAAACAAAAACCAAAACAACACCAGTAACAATGGAAAACCGGGGGAAAAAAAAAAACAGAAAAGCAGAAAAAACAAGCAAATGGCCATCTACAATAGACACGGGCGCAAATGCACTCGGACTCGGTTCCGAAATCCATGACCAGGCTCAGACCCGGGCTCGCAAGTTTCGCTAACAAGCTGTGCCAGGAACAATAACAACAACAAAACACAACACGATTTTTGTTGCTGTAGGTTTTAGCTGTAATGTTTTTTTATACTCTACACAAAAAAGCAAGCAAACTTTGCAAAAATATTTGTGACATGAAAATAGTTGATGTTGTTAATAAGCTAACTAGAATTAAGGGATTTGGGTGTATACTTTTGGAAGTCCATAACGTCCTGGGATATTGCGAATTAAACATGGCATATTTTTATTCTTTAAGCCAATCTTAAATATTTTGAAATATAAATTTCCAAAAAATGTCATGGTAAAAAAAGTAACTATTGCATGTCTACAATGATTTTTATTTGATTAACTAATAACGAATATTTGTAGC